TGAGGCAGTTACCCACCTGAAGACAGTGGACGAGGTTGCGCAATACCATGAACTGAATAAAATTAGTCTTCAGCAGCTTCCGAGACTAGCTTATTAGTCTAGATGGTTAAGCGCTCACGCAAGTGACTGAAGGTCTTGTATTCGAATCCCGCATGTTTAGAGTTCTGCCCAGTTCTGCCGAATTTTTTTTCATTCTTCTCATATCTGTCTCCATTTCTCTGAGTAATGTGTTCATTGGCCTTCCTCTTCTCCCTTAACGTTGAGGGTTTCAAGTGAAGGCTTGTCTTGTGACGCATTTGAGTGCACTCTGCAATGTGTCCTATCTACTTCCAGCGCTTCCTCCTTATTTTTTCCTCCACTGGAATCTAGTTTGTTCCCTCCCACAGTAATTACTAGATGATGACTTTCGTATTTCTAAATGTTTCCGCCACATACAGTAGAACTGTCTTGATATTTGTATTGAAAATCCTGATTTTATTGTTGGTTGACAGTTGTTTGGAATTCCAGGTGTTGTTCAGTTGTAGAAATGCAGCCCTTGCTTTGCCGATCCGCGCCTTCACACCTGTATTAGATTCACATTGCTGATCATGGATGCTGCCCAATATGTAAAGGTTTTTACATCCTACAGAGCTTCTCCATTCGGTGTGACTTGATTGGTGCATTTTGTGTTGTATCGGAGAATCTTGCTTTTCCCTTTATGAATGTTGAGACCTGCTGCTGCTGAGAGTGCTGCTACACTGGTCGTCTTCTCTTGCATATTTTGTTGCGTGTGCGAAAGAAGAGCTAGATCATCTGCGAATTCCAGATCGTCTAGCTGCGTCCTAGCTGTCCACTGTATACCGTGCTTTCCTCCAAATATTGACGACTCCAGAGTCTAGCTGATCGACAGTAAAACGAAAGAAGGTGAGAGGAAGCTACCTTGTATAAAATCAGTCTTCACCTCGATCGAGTCTGTCAGCTGACCTCCGTGCACGATTTTGAAATTTAAACCATTTTACGAAGTCTGTATAATGTTGGCTATCTTCTCGGGCACACCATGGTGTCGAAGAAGCCTTCACAATGTTGTCCAGTCCAGTGCTTTCTCGCAGTCATTGAAGTTGATGAAGAGTGGTAGGTTTCATTCAATTTATTGTTCCACAACTATCCGTAATTTTGCAATTTGGTCAGTTCACGATCGATCCTTACGAAATCCAGCCTGTTGATCTTGAAGTTGGGCGTCTACGAAGTCCTTCAATCTGTTTAACAACACCCTGTTAAAGACTGCTGGCACTTTGAGAATGGTGATGCCTCTGTATTTCTCACACTTTCTGAGACCGCCTTTCCTTGGTATTTTGATGAGGTATCCTTGTTTCTAGTCCGTTAGCACTTGTTCTTCATCCCGAATCTTGTTGAAGAGAATGTGGAATATTTTTGCAGTTGCTGTCACGTCTGCTTTCATTGCCTCTGCTGGAATAATGTTTGGTTCTGCTGCTTTGCCGCTCTTGATTTGTCTGATTGCCACGCTTATCTCTTCAGTTGTTCGTCAATGGATGTTGGATAGGTTCAGTGGGAATGGTTGATTTAAGAGTTCTTCGAAATGCTTTACTCATGTATTTCGCTGTTCTTGAATGTTGCTTGACTACTATACCTTCCCTGCTTTTCACTACTCGTTCTGGTTCACGAGTTTCTTTGTTGTACCTGACAATTGTCTCATGCTTCCTTCTCTTGCAGCCTCTCCTGCAGTCACTGCTAGATCTTCCACCAATTTACGTTTGTCTGCTCTGGTGCTTCCTCTCACTCTCTTGTTTTCATCTGTGTATTCAGCTTGTGCCTTAACTTTCTCTGCTCATGTTCGGCTGGCATTGATTGCTGCCCTCTAGTTCTTCCTTTCTTCAATTTTATCAAGAGTATCAACAAAGATCCATTCCTTACGATGGTACTTCCTGTGGACCAGAACCCAGTCACATGTTGGGGTGATTGCCTCTCTAATCCCATTCCAAATGTTCTCTACTATTGTTTCCTTTCCATTAGGTAGATGGGCCTAGGACTTATTGCTTAGGGTTATCCTGAGTTCGTCCACAAGAAGGATCATAATAAACCTTTGTGATGTTATTTCCCCCGTTCTCCAGTGTTTCTTGGGTTTCACGCTGTCTTCATATCCAGTGGTAACCATGCCAACCCTGGCATTTAGGTCTACCGTTATAATCGTCTAATCCCTTGATGAGCATCTGTCGACCATTAACTGCAGCCGCTTATAGGTTTGATCTTGAACGTCTTCGGTGTAGTCGTTGGAAGCTGCATAGCATTGAATGGCGTCCATTATGATGCCCTCTTCGCTTTGAAGGATGATTTGCTGATTCTGGGTCCCTGAGATTCCCATCCCATAGGTGCCTTTTGTGCTTGCTTGGACAGAATATGTGCAACTCCTTGTGCATGTGGAGCATTTTATTTTTCATGGCTGGAGTATAACTGCAACTCTCCTGAAGCTAGTCTAGTGTCCAACCTGAGTCCAAGCACCTCGATATTGTATCTTTTCATCTGTGCAGCAACTTGGAATAGTCTTCCGGACCCTCAATGTCCGGACATTCCATGTACCTGTAAAAGGATTTTCTACTCTAACAGTTCACTCCGACTCGAATCGTGTAGGTTGATACGCGATCACCCCCCGTCAAGGAACAAAAACACGATAATTCTGGGGGAAAACGGTTCAAAGCAATAATAAACCTTCTAGTTCACAATTAACGCAATGAAGAATAAGTGCTTCCAGTCCGTTACTGCTAAGGTATCAAATCAAAATATAGCTGAAGCCATATTAAATATCAAATTTAAACAACATATGTACAGTTCAGAAGCAAACATAAAAACTTCAATATAAGTACAAGATATAGAAATAATAATAATATACAATGATAAAATCTCAAAATGGAATCAAATAAAGTACCAAAATGTCAACATAAAGAGTCAGTCATATCATAACACAACTATATATATATATATATATATATATATATATATATATATATATATATACATAGAGGGATTTTCCAAAAAAACCTTCATAATAGACTCTACAGTACTTAAAAATGGTTGGTTTGGTTATTAGAAGGGGTATTGGCCTTTTGACTTTTGAAAGCACTCAGTTTTCACCATACGACGTTAAACCTGTTCTTGATCCTTCCAACTCCCAGTTTGGAGTCAAAATGGTTTGAGTTATTTTTTCTAGTAAGCGTTTTGTTGGCGAGTTAGTTTTTTACGGGAAGGATTAGCCAACCACACGCTTAATCCTCACCCTTTATGCGGGCTTGGGGCCGACATTAGCTCAAGAGGGGATTCAGACGGAATCGTGTCACAATAATGATCATCATAGTTTTAATTAATTTAACTCTCGTTAAGCATCCTTGCGAAAGCTGGAACTAATCTTACTATAATGTAGAGTACTACTGATGCAGTTACATTGTTACAATAAGCTGAAAATACTTAATCGACATTTGCCACTGTTATAGTGCTGCTATCTATATACAATTCTGTTATTGTCCTACGTGCTAGTTAAAGCTCCTTAAAAAGCTCTACTGCATACTGCCTGCTAGACTCACATAAAGCCGTGGCGTTTACTTTTCTGGATTATCAATTTCAGTACCAAGTTTCCCCTTTATTGGACTATAATGAGGAGTCCTTCAGATTTTCTGGTATCTAAGAAATTATGTACGGCACATTAACGTTCATGCGAAAATTCCTCATATTATTACAAGTCATTTCCGTGAGAGATTCTTGTTCAGTCGTTCAATCTAGTACGAATGTTGAAAGTAAAATTTCTCGAATACTCATCTTCCGAATATTTGGTTCGGCTGCATCTGGCAAATGATTGTTAACAACATGTGTATTAAAACTGAAACCGGACGGTAATTCTTACCTAGCAGTGACATATATTTTATATATATATATATATATATATATATATATATATACTAAAATGCATGTTTTACTATGTTTTGGCTTTTTAAAATTAATCGCTCGTCAGATTTTTAAGTCAGTGCATATCCAGATTTGTGATACTATGTACATTTGATAGATTGAGCACCGTAAACGTAGGAGAGTACGGCTAATCGATTGCTTTCTTCTTTTAAGTTTGACAGTTTGGACCAAGAAGTTCAGGAGTTTGTTTGCTTTAGTGTAACAGACGTCTTTCTTCGAGCCAGATAAACATCTTTCTGAACTCCCTTTTTATTGACTTGGTTTTCGCATCTCCACTGAGATTCGCAACATTGTTATAGATACATTTTTATGCAAAGAGTTCTGTAGTAGCTGAGGTGAATCAAGATGTGACGAGGCGGCTAAGAGTAAGCCGAAACTCAGTGCTAATATATACTACAGCAAAATTGCTATTCACTAATGAGAATCAGTGGTAAGTTTATTGAAAATAATATAATAACAAACGTTATGAAAGAAATATTACTGGGAAAATTCCTTCTGTGTCTACCATAGCAAACAGAATTCACTATGTTAACAAATGTTTCACACGGTAGGCGCCAAAGGCCTGAAAGAGAATTGCGTGAATTCATTATTGGTAATCAGTGAAATTCCAGATCAACAGTCCCACGAGGTGAAGAGTGGTCTAAAAAGGGATGTTGCAATAGCTAAAATCTCTGAACCAGAGGCCATGGCTTGATTGAATTGCATGAGCAGTGACTCCGTTCAGAATGCATATTGCATGCCATAACATGGGAATCGCTGGAAATGCAACGAAAATGATAGACTGCCTTTCTTTAAAACTACAGGCATAAAAGGGCAGCTAATAAGTGGTTAAAGGAGTACAGGCCTCAAAACTAAATGAATTTTAATCGTTTCGGACAGGTGCTTGAACAATTTTTTATTAAAAGCTGTTCCAGATCAAACAAGATTCTACGTGCGATACCAGATTTCACTACAAAATTTGAAGTCTGTAATTCTTTGCAAAGGTAATAAGATATCAAATCATCGTTTGTTTTTACGGCACAATAAAAACACATTTAAATTACGACATACTCTTCTTGGCGGGAGATTTAGTTTTCTTTCTGCGTGTTAAGCTGCAGTCAGGTTAGTTCTCAACTTCCTATATGGTTTCTGTCCTTGACAACTGAAATCCTGCATGAAATTTCCACAATTTTCGCCGTTCATACGGTGTCCGAGGAGATTAGGTATGATGAGCAGAACTATCAGACTAATAACTTCCTAAAAGTCTCATTCAAACAAATTAGAGTTCGTTCGTATTAATGCACTTAGTCCAATATTCAGCTCGCTCACTCAAGAGCGGCAAACCGCAAGTCAATTATATTCCTTACAAGATCGAAGAAGTTAATTTCGTCCAGAACATCAGTAGGGGACACAAATTCTGACGGACATTAATTGCTCTAGTTACCGTAACTTGTGCCACAGGTTTATACTGCGTCGGCAGTCAGAACGAGAAGGTTGAAAATATACCATTCAACAGACTTTACACTAATACCTGGTTTTACGCTAACACACCACCTAGCTGCAAACAGTAATAGTTAAGATTTTGATGGTGTTAGTTTTTCGTCAAGAAATCATGTGGCTCTACAGTCAGTTATACAGTCACTTTTTTCACTGTAAGGACATTATCGTATAGGATAGACAGACACGGATACAACGCGGAACTTCGTACGTAAGTACACCAGTTCAGGTTGCCATACCACATCTGCACAGAGACGCAACTGCCAGTTCAAATCCAAGAGTGATAGCGATAGTAGAAGTATAAGCAGTAATGGGGAAGATTAGGGAGTGAAGATATGATTCGAAAAGCATAGTTCAGTGAGATAAATTTAGAAGGAGAAAGATAGAGGAAGATTAGAATTTGAGAGAAACAAACTCAGCTGTCCGAAAGACACTTGCTTTCGCTCCACGTGTAACCTTATCTTCCACCACTAGTGTCCAAGTCTCAAAATACCAACACTGCTATTCTTACTGGAAGGTGGTCTGAAAAACGGGGCAATTGCAATACTAGATCCATTCCACACAGGTCTTCAAGGTTATTTGCAGAATATCATTGATGGATAAAGTAGTCGTGGCATAACCAGGCAGCTCTACTGGTGGGAAATCTAGATTTACACATAAAGTTACCAACCTATCTAATTCGAAGCTTATTTTTCTATTATTTAACTGTGGCATCCGGCTCTAAAACACAAACGGTATCTTTCGAAACAATATAAATGTACGCTACTATAGCTTATAACCGAGATGTCTTGCTGCTCTTTAGCAAACTTTAGATATTAATCCAAAAGTGCTTGTGAGAACAAAGTGGGTTGTAACGCAAAAGTAATCAGTATTTATCAGTAGGCTTGTATAGTAGGCTATGACTCACTACAGGGACATCATTTTACTCGGTCGTACGAACGTTGGGAAAATGAGGTTCAGATTTGTGATTCAATAGCCAAACTAACGAGCTGCTTTAATGTTTCTATTCCCCTTGCTTTAATTAAGTCTTAAACCTTGGGTACGAGTCCCCTATATACAAATGTCGATATCGAAACACGCATGACAGCTAAACCCATCTAATGTCGGATCTGCATTCGTGTGTAAACCTCAAATGAGGCCAACCTGAATGGCACGCATGGTTTCAGAATAGTTGATTCAAAGTCTGTTCATCTGTGCATTCAAGCTTTTGACCAATCAGTAAACTTGGATTTAATTAATGAAGACGAATTTTCTATTATTGACGGGTTGCCGTATGAGTTGGAAAGTAAGCGTAAATACAGTGGTGACGTAGAACGAATCTGTATTTAGTTGAATAGTTGCAGTTTCGCTTTACATAGGTATCAAGAGGGAACAGTAACATTCTCTTCATCTAAGATATTTTTCATAACTGTGAGCTAGGATGCTGCCCTGGGACACAGACCGAAGCAGACTAGATGATCTTAAGGTGACCAAGAGCTTTTATCCATAAGGCAGTGAAAGGCACGATCACATGTTAGCCAGTAACTTAAGTTATTTTTGTACCCCATTCGATCCCTAAGGATCTCAAAGATCACGCAAACCATGGGTTTTGATTGGAGGTGCATCATCCATATCCGCCAACTCGGTGTCACTTCCTTGTTGCCTACGCTGTAGATGGAAAGTCTATGGTGGAGGCTAGATTAGCAGAAGCCCTAATGACCTGAGAACGTACCCACAGATTTCAAGAAACAATAGCTTGAGGCCAATCTCGCACGATATTTTTTGAGTGGCTCAAGTGAGCTAGCTCTGTACGTCGAAGGTTTTACCCCTCAAGATGGACTTCCGTCAGAGCCAGTCAAATGCAACGTAGAACTTCGTACGTAAGTACATCAGTTCATGTTGCCATACCACATCAGCACAGAGATAAAATTGTCAATTCAAATCCAATAGTAGTAGAGGTAGTAAAGGTATTAGAAGTAATCGGAGAGGTTAGGATTAGAAGATACTATTCAAGAAGTATGATTTAGTGAGAAAAGTTTAGAAAGTCAAAACTAGGAGGGTTGAAGAACCCAGAATATTAGGATTTGAGAGAACACAAAGCATAAATGCACCGGCGCCATTGCGAACGATTCTAAGCTATGTCATTCAAGGTCTCTAACCATCGATTATTATCGTCTCGCGGACCCCAACCAGGTAGTAGACAATTAGCGACATGGCTAAGTCCACTCGTCAATGACTTCATGGATTTCTGGCATGTTTTGGTTTGGCCGCCCCTAACTTTCTTCCAACCTATTCCCTACACTACAAAACAAAGCTCGATGTGGCAGTCGGTGGTTGGGCATACGCAACACGTGTCCCAACCACCTCAACTGATGAAGTTTCACCACTTCATCGATTGATCTGCCATTCTTACCTAGTACCCGTTTCCTAATAACAGCGTTGCTCACTCGGGTGTCCCAGGATATACGAGCAATGCTTCGAAGACACCTATGATCGAAAACCAATAACCGACGAGTATCTTCTACTCTCACTGGCCATGTTTCACAGCCATAAAGTAAGACGGAGCGAACCACTGCGCAGTACACTCGTCCTTTAGTCAGCAAACGGATATCTCGCCTTCGCCATAAGTGACGCAAGTTAGCAAAAGCTAATCGAACCTTCTGTATCGGTGCTGAGATTTCGTCAGTCACCAGACCATCGGCACTGATGAGACTCCCAAGATAAGTGAAGCGGTCTACACGTTCGACTACTTCACTCCCTATCACTAGTTCAGGTGCCGATGAAACCCAATCTTGAAGCGACATTTTGCATTTCGAGGGGGAGAACCGCATCCCGAACATGCTTGCATTGTTGCTTAGGGTGGTCAGAAGACTATGGAAATCCGTGGTTAAGGTGAGATATGACATTTTCCAATGTCAGCCTTCTCTAACCAATTCCTTCCATTATTAGAAGTCAACACATCTGAAGATGCTGATATTTCGAAAGCGACACTTGGCTGCCAATATGCGATCGGTAAAATGGCTTCTCTTTTGGATAAAAAGTCTGCGGCTTTTAATCTTACTACTCCAAGCAACTTGCCTAACATCGAAACTATAAGAACAAGTGTTGCAGTCAATATAGCTCTACTGGTTCACCGCGATATCTATGCCTGACCATTACGATAGCAGCATAGGTCTGACTTACAGAGAATTGTCATTAAGAATTCCAATCTAAAGTAGCGTTTATCAGGATTCTCCGCTTTCCTTATTCTTTTTTTAAGAAATAACTCTGTCATCACCCAAACTTTCCAGCCACTAGTTGTGGCAATCACTTACTACCATATCGATCGGCCATTATTCAATCAGTTGCAAAGTAGAACTTGGTATATGTGTACGTCAGTTAACGCTGCCGTATCCCATCACCATAGAGAAATATTGTCAGCCCGAATCCCAATATAGTAATGATAACAGTAACAGTGAGGTAATCAATGATGCGACTCAAGAAAATGTAAACCAATGTAATAAATGTTTTTTAGTTATCAGTAATCTCGAAGCTTCGAATTTTGCTGAAGAAAAAGGATGTATGCACCTGCATCGTCGCAAACGATTTTTAGCCATGTTCTAAGTCTCTAACCACCCGTTAGGATTGTCACGCAGACCGTAACCAGGTAGTAGACACCTAGTAACATGGCTCAGTGCAGTTGTCAATGACTCCGTGGGCTGGTGCCGTCTTAGTTCCTCCTCCTCCTAGCTTTCTGCCAACATACTACGCCGGGTAAGGTCGCCCGTTTAGGTAGGAGGTGGTTGGGCCTACGACACACATGTCCCATCCACCTCAACCGATGAAGATTCACTACCTCATCAGTCGACTTGCCATCCTTACTTAGTACCCTATTCCTAACTAAGGCATTGCTTACTCAGTGGTCCCAACACACATTACCATTCGTTCGCAAACACTGATGATGGAATACCAGCGACCTACGAATACCATAAGTTGTTAGTGGCCGTAGAGTAGGAAAGAGTGAGTTGCTGCATACATGACTCATCCTTTGCTCAATAGACGGATGTCTCGTTTGTGCCATAAGTGACAAGGTGACCGAAGACAAGTGAGCCTGATTTAGTGCTGTGATTTCATCGGAACTAATCAAACTCCGAAGATATGTGAAGCGGTAGATACGTGAAGCTACCTCACTACTTATCATAAGTAACAGCGTTGACTTATAACTGAACATGTCACAGAATTTAATGTTCATCAATAATGTTAAAAAACCCTTCACTCCCATGCGGATGTTCGCTACCTCCAAGGAAAAAATTGACAGTGTGATTTATCATTAAAATATCTGTTACCTTTCTTTGTAGATGTTATGGGAAAATGTGGAACTACAATTCAAAGTTGGTTTTTAGCAATAGAGAAAGGCGATTTATCTTTGGTTCAAAAGCTATGGAAGGATATAAATGATATCGATGTTACAGACAATTACATTCTAAATAACATAAAGGTATTTTGCATTTGTTATAACCTATCTGGTAGCATGAAAATGTAACTGGACTCATTGTTGGTGCCTATTACGGCCACAAAGACATAGTTAGATGGCTTTTAAAAAATAAAGCAAATGCTAACTGGGAAACGAATGTTTGTTATACATTTGTGTATTATATCTGATCACTTTTAGCTTAAGTGGCGCCCAATTCATTTTGCTGCTAAACGTGGTCATTGTGCCACTGTGGACATGCTTTGTTCTAGCGGAGCAGCCGTCGACCCTGTTACAATGGTATGTAATTATTATATCCCACATTGTTTCAGAATAATGAAACACCACTTTCATTGGCTATACAATCCCATATGCGGGATACTGTACGCAAACTTGTACACTTGGGAGCAAAAACAAGTAAAAGTAACGAGGTAAGCACTTTTCATCATCGCATTTCACAACTTTTTCTACAAAATATTTCCTTACTGAAATGTGTATGTTTGTTCATGATATTACTTTATTTTTTTTAGGGTATCATTTACCATTACGTATGCCCCGGGATGTTAGTATCTGACAATTCGGCACCAGGACCACGTGATTCTATCGATTCCTTTCGTGACAAGAACTCGCAGCTGCAAAATCAGAATGCACGAACTAACTCATCCATTTTGCCTGTTATTTCTACGTCATGCTTAGATGATGATCTCAAAAAATTTTCAGTAGCAATTTTTGATAGTCAGATAATCATGAACCAGCTTCAATGCCAATCAACAAGTTACGACCTGGAACTTGCTAGACGAAAGAGAGAACTTATCAGGCGCTTACCACTTTTACCATGTATATCATTACAATCAGCAAATCAGTTCCTTCAACTGATTCAACGTGCTTCACGAGCGGATTTACCATTAGATAGTCGTTTGTTGGCTGTTTCCAATTTGTTCGATTTACTTTTAGTCTCGCCTGTCAATGATGTGCATAACGACCTTTCAAACAAAACACCTAATAGTGCGTTTAATGAGCCTTACTTGCGTCTCATTGAGGCATGTCTGTGTGAAACTCATTGTCCTTTAGAATTAACTGTTCAGTTAAGTAGACTAGCTGTTCATATGGCGAGTTTGGGGATAAACAAACCAATCGATGTTAATGGTTCTGTTGCTAGTGATGATTTAACACCTAAATCTAGCACACCATCAAGTCACGTTATTTCGTATATACTGAAGCTACTCAGAAAACTAGTCCTCAAAGGTAATCCACAGTATAGATCAGGGATTCTTGCCCATCTGTCACGCATTTTATCAGATTTGTACGCGCCGGCGAGTGATGGAAAAGAATATAATATCAGTAATTTATGCTCCTGGAATGATTTAATACCTTACAGTTCAAGTGTAATGTCGAGTCTCATACGCTTAGGGGAATCCTTGGACCAGCCGTTGAATGTACCTCGTTTTGCTCAACTTGTTGGCCTTATCGCTCGCTGCCTAATCAGTGTTTTTTCAAGATCTAGCTCAAGTTCTTTCTCTGCCCGTTTTTCTGATTTGGCAGATATCCTCGTAGGTTGGAGTGTGGATTCGTCCGGAACTTCAAAAGATGTGAACATTAATACTATCTATGAAGAACTTTACTTTGGTCTTTCACACTGGTTTCTCATGTCTACAGAAGAAAAAGTAGATGAATGTAAACAAACATCATTGTCTCCGATTATTAACGAAAACATTCGGGAAATGATCGCTCATTTGTTAGAGGACAGCGAAAACTCGCTTAATACTGCCATCTCCGAATGTGCTATCGTGAATTGCAAACGTGGCACTCCAATATCAGGAAGTGTGAAACAAGCATCAGACCCGAACTCTCACTTTGTATCGGTTCAACTTTATCTCAACGTTTTATGTAGTATATTTGGAGGTATCTGCAAACATGCATTTGAGTCTACTCAACTCTGTTTCAACGACGTGATGTCTGGGAATGTTTCACAATGGATCGAACGCTTACTTCACATCATTCAATCTACAAGCGCTTACTATAATTCATTGATATCACAAAAACAAACTGGTCCTTGGCATTCAGGTCATGGAAATGTTTCTAACCCTCGTATACCACTCACTGTCTTGGATGGTATTCAGTCTTCAGTTTTCAAACTTTTGAATTGTTTAATACAATTTTCTGATTGTTCTAAGGTTGATTTAATAGCAGTAGACAATTGTGTGATATCCACTGTGGATGCTGGGAGTTTACCTAATACCAATTGCTCTTTATCTTCTTTACTTGAACTCATCTTCACTGTCCTCAAAATAAAACACTCATCCACTTTCACTTCTGCTAATCCTTCATCTTTGCTCAAATATTTTGACTCACATTCGAAATTGCATCATTTCAAATTCTGTTGCAGGTCAACTAATGAGAGAGAAAGTTCACCAAGTCAGAAAATGTTTCGTATGTTGTGCTATATATCATCAACACTGCATCTTCAAAGTGCGGTTTGTGAGTTAGCATTGTCTGATCTTCAACTGGCAATCGGTTCACAAAAGCATTCTGATACGTCTGCTTCTCATAACCGCAAAGCTGAAATTCTAGGATTATTTAGTTTATCTTTACTAACTGAAGCTATGAAAAATTTGTCTTGTGAACTTAAAAATGAGTTGCTTTACCGTGTGTTTGATATCATCCAACCAAATTGTTCTGAGAACTGGCATTATTTTTCACCTCGTCTTAGAATTATCCTCTTGTCGTTCATGAACAACTCGTCACTTGTCAAACGGTTTCAGCCAGTCTATATTTGTCATATGATTACTAGTTTTCTTTCTGTGAAGTGTATTTCAAATATTGAGTGTTTTCTTCTTTTTAACTTGACTGATTTGTTTTTGTCTGAAGGTATTCTAAATCCTGACGACCAAATCTCTTTAATTTTTAATCTTATAACTCTGTCAAAGCGCATGCTACTCACACAAATAGTTCTCGACTCAATAAACAATGTTTTCACCTTAGTTGTAAATGTGCTTATGAAACATACACTTCTTCATATGGAAAAGGGAAATGCAAACCTCGCTTCTCATCTCTTGCATTTGTCTCAGATCTCATTATCTTACCCATGCTCGCAAGTTCAAAAAGCTGGAAATGACCTCTTACTCTTTATTGGATCATTTTCTTTATGTAAAGCGGAATTCCCAGCAACATGTTTGTATTCGGAATTGCTTTGGTTCACCACTCGTCGCCCGGACCAGTCAGCTACAGCATTATTACCAGTATCTAATATAAACGATTCCGATGGTAGTCATAACAATCTACTAACGATGACCACCGCTTTCCCTAGTTTACCAGCAGTTGCGGGTATTTTAGGCATTTTGACAAGGGGAGCTCCATATACTCAAAAGGTAGAAAGCAGTCGACTAAAGATTTTAAAGAGTCCTTTTGATTGGATACGACGTTTATCTTGCTTAGTTTCTCCACTTCCATCCGATAAGAAGCAAGATCTTTCATTATTACAATGCACTAGTTTCATTCAGCCTGTTCTATGGCACACTGCATGGGCAATGGTTGATTATAAATTGAAAGTAGCCCCTTGGGCTAACCCGCTGAAAACATTCTTCTCTCTTGAGGGAACTTTAAGAGCGTTTATTCAGCCAATTTCTTCCAACGATTCTTCTAATAACAATCAGCCGTCAATCATCTCATTCCATGTAGCATCGTCAGAGGCTCTCTCTCATCAAAAGAAGAATCGACATTTAAGCCAGATTCATTTACTTCTAAACTTCCTAAATTACCTTGAACGTGTTATTTTCAACGCAACTAATGGTCTTGCAATTGCAGTGTCCCGTCCATCGAAATCTGCTTCTATATTTTTCACAGCAAATGAAAATACTTGTACCCAGTGGTTTAATCGTATTAGAATTCTTCTCGTTCGCATCTCAAATGACTTGCCGTTAATGTCCTGCAGTGGCATCGGACCAGCCAATGAAGTTTTGTCGACAACTGTATATCATGCATATAGCTTACTCAAAATTGTCTCAAATTGCAACAGCATTAATGTTCAAGATATTTGGATTAGCACCTTGAAACAATATGGTGACCCTACAGATTTATTTATTTATTTATCCAAAGCACTTCATCATTTAGGTGCATGGGAGGAATTGAAAGCATTAGCACAGTAAGTAACGAAAAATAATCTTTTGTTTCAGAAAACTGTTCTGTCCTCATTTATACTAAATTACTTTTAAGTAAAGACAACCTGATTTCTGTAGATCCTTTGTTAAGTCAGAGGCATAAATAACGCAAGACCTGGTACATTAATGTAGCAATCTCAGTTACCGGATTTCATATTGTTACAATAAGGAAAAGTCGACAGGTGTAAAGACAATTATAGGAAACTAAAAAATAAAATTCATTCGAACAACCGACTTTGTAATTAAGACTGATGATTTAAGGAAGAATGTAAGCTGACTGATTTCTGTCTGTACTTGTATCATCTAAATATTTTGACCACAGATTAAGGCTTTTATCGCAGACATCATTCGTAAAGTCCACTTCTCTTATTTAACCTAGACCATATTTCAGTTGTTTCGTGGATTAATGCTGTTTTGCTCTAACTATTACTACCATCCACAGAGCTCTTATTTTGAATCACACACTATACTAAGTTGATTATACAATTAAAACAAATGATGAACGTCTTTTCATATGACAGCTGTATTCTTCTACTGGTGGTATCATAATACTCCATCCGTGCTTCAAAGACACTATCGAGGACTCGAATCTAGTAATAGGATTTCTAGATATCAGTTATTTATTCTTGAGAGTTATTTTTGTTTTTTCATTTGTGTCTATAGTAGGTAATTGAAAATCAAAGAGTTTCGTCTCGTGTTTAACAAGTGTGATACATTTTTATCGGTGTTTTTTCTGTAATCATTCTTTAATTATGATGAATTTATATTTCCAGGTGGACAGATGACCTTTTCACAGCAGAACAAAATCCGTTTTCATGGCTTCATGGTATCTCTTCGCTAACTCGTGGTCGTTGGGATCAAGGGATCTTACAATTAACCAGTTTTCTTGATTCGAATTTGCAAAAAAACAAGACTTTGACTTCAGAAAATCTTACTACTGATGAGACTGAGAAATTGTCTGTTCAAACATCTGTAACGTATGTTACAAATGTTCTTCTGCAGATGTACCTTTCTGAAGGTAACTATTCACGTGCGCATAAACTCCGAAACCGTATAACATCATGTGTCAAAATGAAATCTTTAAAAGAAAATTCAATGTTTCAACTTAATTCAGCACGCCTCAACTGTTTGAGTAAACTATCTGAGTAAGTTTGACAGTGTAATTAATTTTCCTCCTTAGTTATTACTACTCTTGTTATAATAATATTCAACCTTCAGCTAATAGTTAATCTTGAAATATGTATCTATTTACTTTCTGATTATTTAGTGAAACGATTCTCACTCTTTAAAGTTGCCTGTATCTTCATCGTTATGAATTAATCACTAATTTACTTTCGACTAATTTTCTTTTTGATATGTGTGCGCAATTAGTTTCTCGTGTTGCTGTTTGGTAGGTATAAAATTGCACAGTTTTCATTTACTCTGATCATATTATTCTAGGTTTTTATTACTTTGTATTCATACAGACTCTATCTTACTCCTTATTTGTTTCCCTGTAGATGGGTTTCTGAAAATGGGGTTGAAGATAACCTCACTTCAAATTCTGCTGAACTATGGTCTCAGAGGTGCCTTCAGAAGCAGCTAGACAATTTGTTGGTGAGTGCCGCTTCCGTAAAACATCATAGTTGTGGCGATACAGAGGACGAATCGTCGACAAAATGTTTGTTGGAGCTAACAAAAATTATAAGACAGAAATCAGCAAATACAACCTTCCTTCTACCTTTAAATCTGTTTGCCGATTTTTACTCTCAATCCAGTTATGTTCTGGATGATGGTTTGCAAGATTATCTGATCAAAGCTGAATTCCTAATCAATGAGCGATCATGTACTACATATGGAGCCGCAAGTCCCGTACACTTTTCTTCTTGGGTGCACCTTATTTCGTCTGATATGAAAACCCATTCTGTCGCGGAATTTTCAGCTTGCCAGTGGGCTTGTTTGAATAACTGTCCACATCTTGCTCAGCGTTTGCTAGTAAAAACAGCGAAATGTCTTACACTTCTTGATACTTCAGAAGATGAGGAAGCAACGTACTTCGATAAACTTTGTAACATCGCTTTATCTTCTTCCCATGATATAACATCCAAATTATCTCGATTGGATACTTTGAAATTTTATAACTGCATGGCCAGAATTCTGTGGTTATCTGGGAATGGAAAGGATGAGCGTGAATTAATTAGTAAGACAAAAGCTATTACAATGTTAACTTCTGGTCTAAAATCTGGATTAATGGGGGAAAATATTTGTGATACAATTAAGACTGCATCTCAGTCTAGTTTAGAAGCTGAAATGGCTCTAAGCCTTTTCGACTGGTTGGAATCACCTACAAGCACCAACGACATTTCAATGGCTGAAAAAATATATCAAAGTTTTATCAGCACAAGTGATCCAGGAGGAAAGGTATTTTCTACATAAATTGATAATTGGTTGTTTGTCATCTTTTACTTTTACAACCATACATTTTCGTATATTATTTTGTATGATATAAGTAAAGGCCCCATTAACCTATGGTAGAATTTGGATTTATATCGTTTCGCTAGTAGAAAGAGCAACGGGTCGACATAAGGCCTAACATTAGTTTGTTGGTCCACGTTACCAGTTAATCCCCTCTAATCGACTCGAAGGTGGCATCAAACATTTTTGGTCGGCTGGTGTTATGAAAGTCAAGTAGACATGTCTTTAGGAAATAAAACTTAATTGATTTCTCAAAAACTATTATTCCCTCAAAGTAAACAACTGACACAGTTCCTTTCTTTTTATGAAGACATGGACGAAACATTTATCAACATTTTGAGTGATTATGCAAATAATTTGGTGTGCGTTTCTCTTCAATGGTTGCCCTAAAGCTGGTATACAACCATATTTAGGTTAGCAGTGGGAAATGGTGTAACCAGTCGTGTCGATTTAATTACTTAAGAGATTCAGAAGCTCCGTTAAGTTGTGACATGATGAATTCTCGGTACTGACACAACTTGCTTATCCTGTAATGGTTATCGAAAAGTAAGTGTTCAGCTCAGAACATTTCTGTATTACCCTACATCCTGAAAAGATATTCATCGAAAGTGAGCCTTCTGCTACTTTTCGGTCTTCAAATCGTTGCTTGATTCTAGTGAAACCACCAAAAAATTAGTGCTGTATAGTACTAAGCACAAATGGTAAATTACTTTATTTATCATGAACCTTCATCCAAAAGCTGGTTGAAGCATGCGTAACTTCTCTGCTGTCCCAGCGCGATAGCGCAAGACCAGGTCAGAAGAAAGCTAAAAGCGGCCAAACTGAAATGTGGCACTAGTCCGAAAAATCATCTAATAAATCTGACGATGTTGATATTGATATTGACGAAATTACCTCAATCGGATTTATATTTTACATTCTTCTAAATCCTGAGCTCAGTATTATCCCATGCTTTCCATTTCCCCTTATTTTTTCGTTTTGAGCTATGTTTCTTTTGTCTAAATTCCTTTTGAATTCAACATTGTTTCTGATTTTGTTAATTCCATTTTCCATGTTCATTTGAATATTGGCCACCTGTTCAATACACATTTTTTCTCGATGTTTGATTTTGAAGTAAAACAAATGTTACATTGTAACGTAATCGTCCCGAACATACCACTTTGCAGCTCTTACCTTAAGTTGTTAATTCCATTTGTAAAGGACATTCACTATTGCATTACTCATGTATTTATTCTGGCTTAAAGACAACGTAAGATTCGATATCTGTATCAGTTTAGATTGTGTTGCTTCACATTAGTACTCTGCGAAGAGACTGCCTACGGTAACACTACGGATATGGTAGGTATCTACTTATCCGATGTTTATCATGCATTTTCACTGACGTAACTCAAGCCAGTTGCTACTGTTTTTATGTACCTATCGAATGTATTTGTCTGGTTGCCACGTTTGTATTATAGCTTTCAGGTTTTCTTCATGTTTTTATCATAACCAGTATAGGTGTGTGGTATGCATAATAAATGTTCCAGCCTATCTCAGGCTCTGTAGGTACCCAAAATAATTAATGCTCAACTATCTTTTATCCGGGCGTGGAACCAGCAGTAACCCTAAAAAGGCTCCAAACGGAGCTATATATATATATATATATATATATATATATATATAAAAGCTACCTTCATTCCTAAAAAATTAACATTTGATTGGATTGTCAGTTCGAGCTACTATTTTGATATTGTTTGTTCACACTAACCTGTTGTTTGAAAGTGACAAGTTAATGGTACAAACTTCGCTGGCGAGATGATAGTAATCAATTGTTAGAGATCTTGAATGACATGGCTCAAAACCGTTTGCTATGGCTCAGGTGCATCCATTCTTTGTTCTCTGACAAACCCTAGTCTTCTGAATTCCTCATCACCTTTATCGTCTTCTTTTTAAGTTTATTTCACTAGATTCTACTTCTTGGATAATACCCTCAAACGCTCATACCTCCGATTACTGCTGATACTTCTACTTCCTCTACTGTTATGGGATTTGAATTGACAATTGCGTCTATGTGCTAAGGTGGTATGGCAACCTGAACTGATGTGGGTACGTACGAAATTCCTCGTTGTAACTGACTAACTTAAAACTGTTTAGGTATTGTTCCAGTGTTTCCTAGCTATAAATTTTATCTCTGAATCACTTCAATTCCAATCACTTTATTCTACTTTTAGTCACAGGACTTTTCGCGTATCGCATCAGACCTTGAACTGTTCAGTTGCTTGTCAGATGTGTCCTGGTGTAACGGTGTGCCAGAAATTACTCAACCTTTTCAATCTACCAATTCATCTCCTGGTTCTTCGACTTCATGGACTAATCGTTTACTAATGATGGCTACACATCTATCTTCAAATGGTTCATCTGCATCTGTTTGGCTGAAATTGGCCAACTGGTGCTATTTACGTGGACATAAAGAGGTAAGCAATACGATACATCCTTAGAATTTGCGGATATTTTATACAAATCCATTTGTTTGATATTGCCCCCGTGAACATTTGATTGTTACTAATGTTACCTAACTACTGATAAAAATAAAAAATCCTGTCAAAAAAATAATACTCCGTATGAATACACGGGTGAAACAGACTCAAAGTAAGCACTGTTTTCTTTCAGTTTACTCATGTTTGGAGAAAAAGTGTGGCCAAGAGATGATGTTTTTGATAATAAGAGCACAAATAGTACAGTGGAGCGCTGAAAATCTGTCGAAGGATACTTCTGTACATAACAAAAATCCATATAATTGCTACATCAAGTATATTTGAGTATTCAGTTCGAACAAGAGGACAACAAAAATGTACTTAATTCTATTCCTCAGAGAATACGAAACAATACTACGGGTTCGCCACTGGCTTCATTTATGATTCGGGCTATACCGAAAAATTCTAACGTACTACTATTATCATTCCTTTTAAATCATTCAATCATATATTGGCTACCATTTTGCTTCTTTCGCGTAATTCTAGCCTCATAATATACTAACTCGGTATATATGTATAATGTTAAGCTGGTGTTTCGATATGTAATTATTAGTGGGATGATCATCGCTAATATTTTTTTACTGACCTCGGCATTACCTATACAGATTTATCACTAAACTCTTCTAACCCTTTCGATAGGTTCTGGAACACAGGCATAGTTTCCGATGTCCAACAATAGTTGTGTTACTTGACTTCAAAGCGAAATTTGACTCCGTTGATCATGGGATTCTGTGGTAGTGTTTGTCATTGAAAAGTCTATCAAACGAGTACAATAACCTTGTACATGCTCTCCACTCTAACACTACTGGTCAAGTCAGAATTGATGGCGAACTGTCATCGAGATTCATTACTTCAAGTTTTATTTGTTGAAGTCGCTGACAAAATGCAGTCTCCTGACCACCCTAAGCAACAATGTAAGCATGTTTGGGATGCGATTCTCTCCCTTTAAATGCAAAATGTTGCTTCAAGAGTGTCTTTCAGCGACACCTCAACTGGTGATACGAAGTGATGTAGTTGAGCGTGTAGACCGCTTCACTTATTTGGGGAGTCTCAGGAGTGCTGATGACCTGGTGTTGACGAAATCTCAGCACGGATATGGAAGACTTGATTAACTTTTGCCAACTGTCCTACTTATGGTGTAGGCAGGAAATCCGTTTGATGACCAAAGGACCAATGTACTGCGCAGTGTTTGCTCCGTCATAATCACGGATGCGAAAAATTTAGGGAATATTCTTAGGCACTAGTATTAGATCTTATATGTCTCCGAAGCATTGCTCATATGTCCTGGGACCACCTAGTAAGCAATGCTAGTGTTAAGAAAAGGGTATTGGCCAAGGATAGCAGATCATTTGACGGAGTAGCGAAACTTCCGAATTAGTCATAAGGAGCGAAGTAGCTCCACGTGTGTACCGCTTCACATATCTTCGGAGTTTGATCAGTTCCGATGGTCTCGTATCTGATGAAATCACAGCACTAAATCAGGCTCACTTGTCTTCGGTCACCTTGTCACTTATGGCACAAACGAGACATCCGTCTATTGAGCAAAGGATGAGTCATGTATGCAGCAACTCACTCTTTCCTAATCTATGGCCACTAACAACTCATGGTATTCGTAGGTCGCTGGTATTCCATCATTAATGTTTGCGAACGAATGGTAGTGTGTGTTGGGACCACTAAGTAAGTAATGCCTTAGTTGGGAATAGGGTACTAAGTAAGGATGGCAAGTCGACTGATGAGGTAGTGAATCTTCAAAGGTTGAGGTGGATGGGACATGTGTGTCGTAGGCCCAACCACCTCCTACCTAAACGGGCGACCTTACCCGGCGTAGTATGTTGGCAGAAGGCTAGGAGGAGGAGGAACTAAGACGGCACCAGCCCACGGAGTCATTGACAACTGCACTGAGCCATGTTACTAGGTGTCTACTACCTGGTTACGGTCTGCGTGACAATCCTAACGGGTGGTTAGAGACTTAGAACATGGCTAAAAATCGTTTGCGATGGGGAAGTGCATTCACCCTTTGTGTTCTCCCAAATTCTAATCTGAATCGCTCATCACCCATATCTTTCCCTTTCTAATTCTATATCACTGGATTATACTTAACTAATATTTTCAAACCCTAATCTCCATTACCGCTTATGCATATATTAAGTCTACTTCTATGTGATTTGAATCGCCAATCTTATTTCTGTGCTATTGTTGTATGGGGACTTAAGCTGATGTACGTGTGTAGAGTTGTACGTTGTAGCTCACTAGCGCCTTGTTGGTGTTGTATAAGAATTCGTTCCGGGACATATTCGTGCCACCTTTGGTTTCGATCATGACTGAGTGAGTCAAAGAATTAAGATTATTCCACAAGATTTTTGGGAACATTTAATCTCTATATTACACTTACTTGGAACTTATCATAGTGTTTAACTGAGTGAAGCAATATTGTTTAGCTAAACCGACTTTTAGTCTTGAGCATGTTACAACGTTTTACCAAAAATTACCGATTTTTGTTTTGCTTTTTCATTTGTGATCCCATTTATGTTCGTAGATTCATGAATTTCAGTCGGCAGCGAGAAATTTCAATAAGGTATCAAATGAGAAAACCTCTCACCATCCAAGTGTCCCTGTCCTTTTAAAATTAGTGCAACCACAGGAGTATGCTTCACTAACTATTTTGGCTGAAAAATTGTTTTCTTCACCATTAGAACATTCATCTGATGACGGTCAAGAATTTGATATGTCCATAACTTCTCTAATCAGTGCTCTGACAACTTTTTTGGCATCTGATCGTTTTGATGAAGATGACTCAGAACTATTCAGACATCATTCTGACTTACCTGTTCATCTCCACCAGTTCTCTTCTCAGTGTCCTGACGATCCGATGGATTCCCAGGTTAGCTGAGTTCACGAAGTTATTGTTAAATATTTCTCATTCCTAAATTGTTTTGTTTATAACTTCACTGAAGATTGTTCTTTTGAAAGTTTGATAGATGCTCTTATATCAGCAATTCGTCTTAGCTAAACCACCGTTAAAAACTATGAAGCACTGAATAGCTTTTTCATGCTGATCCACAGACCTTCCACCGGGTATCAAGCTAGGACATCCACTCTCGTGCAGACCTTGAACCTCTAGGCTATCAACATAGTTTACAGTGATATATATCTCTAAGATCACTCAGTTCACGGCTCAGTGTTCTATAAGTCAGACGTTTGCGTATGGACGGTGAAGGTCCTAGGTTTGATACTCTCACGGAGTCGTGGATGAGTCCCGAACTGGAATGAAATGGTTGGCCAGTGTTCCTAGGTTTTCAATGGTAGTCCAGTTAAGGTTAGTTGATCATTTATTCTATGAAAATCTACCTTATTAAATTGTTTATTATCGGCTTTATTAAGGGTAGTAAATGTATCTCATCACTAACGAAATAGTTAAATTGTATTATTTACTACTTGCTTAGGATTCAGCTTCAAATCTAATTACGATAGTAGTTCGAAGTGCATTATATTTGGAATTGTTATTCCAGACAGCAATAAACAGTAGTCATTTTATTGTTGATAATTGATTCGAATGCTATTTATACGTCTTATTTTTCTTAAAAATCACATTTTTCTGTCCCATACGTCAAATAAATGACAGAAATCTGAACATTATGACCTAGAAATCTTGTTCTTTTGACATGTTTTACTAACCGAAGTATGTATATTTCCATGTAAGATTTTCGTTGAACTTTCTCTCTCTCTCTCTCTCTCTATATATATATATATATATATATCTATATATATATATATATATATATATATATATATATATATATATATAGTGATTGCTCATATATTTAGAAGCATAACAATTTCCTGTTAAATGTAATTCTCTATTTCCGTCCATAGATGCAGCAGAAATTCTTTTCACATCTACGGAATCTTATTCCTTCTTTGAGTGAACCAAATTTGTCAAGCGATTCAATAAAACTTTTGCATCAGTTATTAGTCTCAATTACTGAACGTCAACATACTCTACATATGTCAGCAGCTCAAGCATATGCTACATTTCTCACTATAGCAGATCAATCCAGAGGATCAAGAAATTCTATCTTCTACAAACCAATTACTAAATTAGACATAACAACAGGTAAGTTTTAAGGAACCTATCATTCTTACCATAGATATAAACTTTGTTTAGTTGATTATTCTAAGTTAAACAGTTTCGAATCGAGTACAAAATAAACACTTGTTCTAATTGATACATTGCAGATAATCAAACAAAATAACAGGTTATGATTGTTGAAACCTGTCCAATTCATGAACGTCCCAATATATCCAAAGCATGGACTAATTCATATTTTGGAACACTATTAATTTGTCGTGTCATAAAACCGTTTTATCCAACAGTATTTGTCGTCTATTTCTATTGATGACTGTAAAAGTGAATCCTGACTGCCGCTTCTTTTCTAAAATTGTGTTTAGTATACCATTTGTATGCTGCGATAATTAGTCGTCATACATTTATCGTATGTCTAAACTAACATCTTAAAAATCTGTCCTTTATTTAATCTTTCGATTTTTTTTAATTATTTTTCCTCATTCAGCAACTTTGAAATTCCTGGATTTACTGTGCTCACCATCTCGCAAGCTCCGTAGTATGATTTCAGGCTTCCTAGATCAGGCGAGTCCAGTATTATTGGAGTCTAATCAGAGTATGAATGTACAATCGGACAGACTACAATGTGGCAGTGGATCTAAATCTAGCCCTACACTAGGTGGTCCGACGATTTGGGAAGCTTGTTTGCCACAAGTTTTAATTCGATTAGGTTTGCCAGATGATATGATACGCAACTGTTTAGTTGCGCTATTGAACCGACTTATCTATATTGGTACTGACCATAATGTCAATTTCAAATGGAATTCACCATCCTTCCGCTTAGCAGCTCAACTTGTGTTTCCATCTGTTGTGGCTGCTTCTGATCCTGTTAATCCAGATAAAAACATTCCAGGCATTGGATGTAAAGGTATTTTAATATGCTGAAATGCTTAAAATTGAGTTCATGCATCATTTTAGTTGACGTCTTATCTATCTCTGACTTTTGAATATTGATTCTAACTACTACTGTTCCAACATCGTTTGTCTGTGAGTACTAATACAATCCACACAACTTCTCATATCGTTTTGTCATGAAAAGATCTCCAGTGAAAAATGCACCACTACCTCCTTTAAATTTTTTTTAGCTATATAACCATTGAAATATCCGTACTCAAACATTGATAGCTCCCATCACTCTTGCAATTGATTAATCCCTCTTATACCTGTTTGTATAAAAAGTTGTGTTAATATGCTATGCAATCGGTTAGGTTCAAATCTACCAGTTGTTTATGAAATAACTGCCGCAAACCACACGACCATAACTCGTAGAAAACACAATATTTCCCATAGTTTGCAGGTACTAATCGTCTCTCTATCATTAGCTATGGAAACATCGGAAATCCATTTTGTTTATTGCTTGCCTTTGTTTGGTTGTATTTGCTGAGACACTTTCAGAGAACATGGTGCTTGAAATTCACCTTAGGTGGATTACAAAAAAAATAATCGTTATCAACTGTTCATTAAGATCACCTCCTCCCTTTAATAATGCATTGTATTCTACAAACAACTTGTATGCACGGGAATATATCTTAACTCAGGAAACGAGTAGAACCCAGCTATTGTTATTGCTTAATATTCTCGGATACCAATCCACTCGATAAGTCCCCGAATCAGAACACGGTTGGACTGGGAAGAGATTATATTCCATATAGCAAGGTTAAATCTTAGTAAGAAGTCGAAGCGAAGGCAAACTAGAATTGACGTTAGTATCTTTATAGTTTTTACATGAGAAGCTTCTAGAATGTTCTCCAAGTACTGACTAGCGCTGATTAGATATGAATTATCCAATCAGCGTGCAGCTAACGTATTTGTGCTTTAATCCCATCTATATCCCGCTTACAATGATATTATCTCACTATGTGATGACTACCTGAATCCTGATTAGTTATTTGACGTTTGTTGAGTAAGGCATGCACTTAGTACTTTCTTGCGTAAATATATTTTATTGTGGTAGTACATCAATGAAAGTAATTAAAGTTGGCATAGATTGAATGTTCTTAAGTGCTATTAGCTGTGTTATGACCGAAGAAAAGTTAATTCTATAAAGATATGGTTATTATAGCTTTGCTTCGCAATACTTACCGTCTTCGGACTGAAGATGTTTGATTATCATTATCTTCAAAAAGTTTCTCTCATTCTCTCGTATTACCAAGCAACGTTAAGTTTCAACATGTTCCCGCATAGTATAGACTTCAATAACTCTTAAGATAAAGGAATTTATTACATGATACACTAAGTGTATCAACGTTGGAACAACAGTAGAAACAGAAGTTAATAACTTAGAGTAATTTAAATAGTGCTAGCTTGCGATAAACACCTTTTTTGTGCTACCCCGTTCAACCACAAAGCACTTGGCACGGAAAAGCACTTTTTATTGAACTACATATTGTTTGAAATCCATATAAATATCCCGTTGCTTTTTGAATGATTCTAGTTACTGGACAAGTAATTTTATTTACACCAACTTTTTGCCTCTTATTTCAGAGACTATTTCTGGCACAACTGACAATCTTGACCTCACGAGTTCTACAGACGCACCTATTTTACAGTCAGATTCGAAGCCTAACCCGTCCTATTCGTTTTCAAAAATAGTTATTGCTCTACGAAATGCAGGTCTTAGTGATCTTGTTCATCAAGTGGAACTTTTCACTTTTGAACTACAACGTATCACTGTTTTATGGGAAGAATTATGGCTGGGCTCGTTGGTACAACATTTAGACGAATTATCCAAGAAGGTAATATTTTTAATAAATGATGTTAATATTTCAACAAAAAATTGCATCCGTTAAATTGTAGACATTGCAGTCATTTAGAGCCATTTGAATTGTTTTGCTTATTAGCTTTCAATTTTCCATTCTCTGGAATAAAAACCACTCATGAAAAACAACTTTTTACCCTTGAGCACCTTGTAAACTGACAAATAGCAGTACCATATTATTCTACAAGCAACTTAGTTTTGTCTTCACACGTAGTTTTTATGTAATTTCTCTCGTTTATATATGTCCAGAGTTGTTCTTGCTCATCTCATGCCTACTATATGGGATTTATTGTTCGAGATTAAGGTATATCAAATATTAAGTAACCAAATTAGTTCATAGTGAATTATGTATTATCGAAGCTTCTTTCTTTGTTCTAATGAGCGACATATCTGATACAAAGAGTTTACTCAAAATGTAATGTTGTTTGTACATTGACTCCCAGATTTATTTAATTGTTTACAGATAAATCTCTTAGAATCTGAACTAAAACGAACTGAAAAAATTGATGTATATCAAACTGTTGACAATTCTAAGGATTTATCAATGCGTGTTTCTAGTAAACACATAATCATTGAAAAAGAAAATGCCTCCTTATTATCGCACGACATTGATACAAATAATACGTGTTTCACTTCCTTGACAAATGTTGAAGATGATCTGTCGGAATCCAAAAATTTTGCAGAATCAATTGATTTAGCAAAATACTTTTCTGCACTACAACCAACTCTTGATTTATTATCACAACTTTACTCTTTGACTATACTTGTTACTCCTGAAACTCCACATGAAGAATGGTTTCAAAAAACTTTCGGGCATGTGAGTTCTGATTTTTCCCTGTTTTTTTTTATTAATATTATTTTTAAATGTCAAAAAACCGGAAGTTACCGTTTCTTCATTTGAACTAACTCTCAAACTGTTCACTCGGTAACTAATTAAAATCAAGTTAATTACAACCTGCGTTCGCAAAAGATCATACCATTGATATTAATAAATTATGCAGTTAGTCAGTCACTTACAACGTAAAACTGTGTACGTACGTACATAAGTTCATGTTACCATACCACATTGGCACAGAGACACAACTGTCAGTTCAAATCCCATAATTGTAGAGATAGTGGAAATATTAGCGGTAATGGAGAAGATTAGGGTTCGAAAATATTTTTTAAGAAGTATAATCCAGGGAAGCAGACTTAAAAAGTGGAAGATAAACGTGATGAGGGATTCAAAAGATTAGCATTTGGGAGAACATAAAGTGTGAATGCAATTGCTCCATTGTAAACGACTTTGAGCCAGGTTGTTCAAGTTCTCTAACCATCTCTAACCGCAGTGCACTCATCCTTTAATTAGCAGTTGGATATCTCGTCTACTCCATAAGTGACGCATCTTGGCAAAGGCCAATCGAGCCTTCTGTACCTGTACTGAGATTTTGTCAGTCACCAGTGTATCAGCACCGATGAGACTCCTGAGATAATTAAAGTGGTCGACACGCTCAGCCACCACTCCGTATCACTATTTCAGATGCCAACACAAAGCAATCTTGAAGCAACATTGTGCATTTCGACGGGGAGAATCGCATCTAGAACATGGATTTCTCGGTAAAGATTCAAACCGTAAAAGGCCAGACGTTAAAATATTGCCTTTTTAAGCACGTTAATGTCGAAGTTAAAAGAAAGTGGACAACCCTGACGAACATCATTTGAAGCAATGAATTCCGATCACTGTTCGCCAAAATCTCTCACTCTCCCAGTAGTGTTCGTGTAGAGAGCTTGTATAAAGTTAATGTACTTCTTTGGTACACTTTCAATGACGACCAGCATTAAGACTTCTTGAAACTCATCACATATACGTATCGTGCAGTTGGCCTTCTTGATAACAACTATAGGTGCTGCCCAAGCAGAGTAAGAGACGGGCTTAATTACTCCTTGTTGTTGAAGGCGAATCAGTTCTTCATCTACTTTTGTTAATCTTGTATAAGGCACGGGTTCCTTTGGACGGAAAACAGGCTTAGCCCCAGGTTGCAACCGAAGTGTTGCTTTCGTGGCAGAAAACCGACCCAATCCTGGTTGGAAGATAGTTGAAAATTGCGTCATTAGCTTCATCGTAAATGTTACAGGGTCATGTAGTTGTGATACATAGTGGCATGTGGTATTTAACGGGACATCAGCTAATTTTAACTGGTCGAACCAATCTAAACCAAGTAAATTTAGGTCAGCTAGCGTTATATAACATACACCAGTAAATGACGAGTCTCGGAAGGCAACTTTACATCCCTATTGTCCTAACAGACGATGGTAATTACCACATGTAGTGTGAGGTTACATGCCAGCCTTGCCGTTTCGGTCCAAATCTCGCGTGAGGGGATGTTGACTTCAGATATCGTATCTATTTGCAATGCAAACGGATGCCCATCAATATTGAGAATAATGAATTTCCTCTCACCTAGGGATGAGCTTTGACATGAAGATATTATGCTCGATCTAGTAACTGTCATTTTGGTTTTTCTGGATCGGTTCGTCTTTCTCTTTTGACAGATACCATCTTTATAACCGACGACGTTACACTTCTTGCATCGATATTTGCTAAATGGGCAGTTTCGTACATAATGCCATGCACCACAGAGCCAGCAAGGAGCATGGCCATTCGTTTTCGTCTTTCGGACTGAGCTGAATTGGGATTGACTGGGTGTAGCAGAGGCACATTTATTCTAGTTAGGTGTCTGTTGCACTACACGTACTTCCGATCAACTAGACCCACCAGTCTGAACTATGTTCGTTTCTTGTTGCACATTAATGAGGCGTTGGTATCCACTCGATATGTCACTAACGGTTTATTAAGATTCTTGATCCAATCGACACAGCCGTTTTCTTATGTCACTAGACTTTTGGGACTGGAGGCTGCAAATGATTATAGTGACTATAAATTGGTCTTCAGACAATGATTTCGTGGTGTATTAAATTACGCTTTTATGTTTTATTTTTTGCATGCTGAATTAACATCTTGATACAGAAGTCACCGTTTCAATCCGATTGTATCACTATTCACTGAATTTACAGACAGGGTATTCTCACCCTTGTCTCTCAGTTCGTTGCCTTATTCCTGCGAAATCATACGAAGATTCAAGATATGATCATGCGCTTCCATTCTGTTTTAGATTCCTAGTTTCTAGTGTGTGATTACTTTAAAATAACCACTTAGTTAAATATTTCTTCTGTAATTTTTATGATGTTACTCAGATCAATGTCTTCTCCGTTAGTCATCGGATGTTTTGCGTACCTTTCTTAGTTATATGATACGGTAAGTAACTAATATTAATACGTCCTTTCACTCAGTGAAATAATAGTATAATCTCTGAGGATTAGTTTCCGAATTTCTAATTCCTCAGCTGTGGATTGTTTTTTATATCTGGGAAATTATGTACTACTGCATTCAAGCATTTATCCTTATTATTTCCATTGATTTCTTGGTTGCTTATAATCCTTATTGAACACTACTTTAGGTTATTAACGAACTTCAAGAATCATTATTGCATCCTGTGGATTTTCGAGATGCAAAAGAACCTGTTTCCCTTATTCGTCAACTTATTCATCAGCTACAGACAACTCGCCAATCCACAACGTTTTCTCAAATCCCTGTTGTTTCTCGAGTGGGAGCTGCTCCTGAAATTGATATTCGACAGTCTATAAACAATTTATCCTACCTAAATCTACGGCAACTTAGTCCTCGGCTTTGCTCATTACATTTCGAGAACGATCATTCAATTAGTCCCACAGGATCCTTCGCCTGTGGGATTCCTTTACCTGGACACCTCGGTATAGGGGCCTCTTACTTAGGTAGCCGTATCACTGTCCTGCCAACAAAAACTCGACCAAAGCGTCTGTTACTCAGAGCCCAAAACGGTCGTACATATCCTTATCTTTTAAAAGGTTTGGAAGATTTGCGTCTTGACGATCGTATTATGCGTTTGTTCGAGCTCACAAGTCTCGCTGCAGTCGAACTGTCATCGATTAACTCTAGACATTTCGAAAATACTTTTGCCCGAACATACTCTGTTACTCCACTAGGAGTTCGTTCTGGTCTTCTGCAAATGGTTCAGGGTGCTGTTCCTCTCTTCAGTCTATATAAAAAGTGGCAACTTCGAAATTATAAGTCGTCATCTAGTAATGGTTGTATATCTTCTACATCTGTAATTCCAAGACCTGGAGAACTATTCCACACTCGCCTTAAAGAGTTGCTGCATGCTGCTGGTCAACATTATCAATCTCAGTCTCGTTCTAATTGGCCTATCGATGTACTGCGAGAAGTCTTAATAACTTTGGAAGCAGAAACGCCCCCAGATCTGTTAACTCGTGAGTTATGGGCTTCAAATCCCTCATGTGCCAGTTGGTGGAGAGTTACACGCACATTTGCTAAGTCAGCTGGTTTACTCAGTAGTTTGGGATATCTGGTTGGTCTTGGCGATCGACACCTTGATAACCTCCTTATAGACCTATCTACCGGGCATATTGTACACATAGATTATAATGTTTGCTTTGATAAAGGGAAAAGTCTGCGAGTAGCAGAAAAAGTTCCGTTTCGATTGACAAGGATATTAAGGCATGCACTCGGACCTGCTTGTCAAGATACATTAGTACGTGGTACGTTCCGCTTTTCTGCAGAAGCTGGGTTACACGCAGCTCGTCATATAGTTGACCCTCTTTTAATACAGCTCAAAGCTTTTTTAATTGATCCTTTAGCGGATTGGCAACAAAAGAAACATCCATCATCGAACTCACAAATTGTAACTGATTTCATTCATCTAGCTGCTTTTCATGGGGGTGGTAGCACAAATTCTTGTAACTATCAAACAGTGTCAACTTATAGACGTTTGCGTCGTGTTGATTCCGAACTTCGAATGTATTCAGGTCTTTTAACATTAAGACTCGTTGATTTAATTCAAAGTACTTGTTTGAATTCAGTATTTTCGTCTTTGGACTCCGTTCTCTCGCGTCTAACTGTTTGGACTGAATTGACTAAAGCTCGTCAGCATTCCTCGTTTATAAATAATCGTTACTTAACTTTAAAAACCGCAACTCACAGTGATCTGTCTTCTTCCGAGTATCATTGTCAACAAGTAGAAAAAGCAAAGCAGACAATACATGATCTTCATGAAGAATTTTCAAAGCAGAATAAAATATGGATAGATGAAATTTTATCACATTTTCAAAATTATAAGTCTCTTGTCGATCCCACATGGTTATCATCCATAATTTCGTCCAACGAAGATGTGAATTCACCACTGTGTGTGGCCTTATCCAACTACTACACAGTTGCTAGAATTTATTTGACCACCCCAGAATTTATTGATTCATTGTCGAAATGGGTTAATCAACTTAAATGTTTTCATTCACAAATAGATTCATCAATGAAATCTAATAATATTGATTCACTAATGAATTTACTTTCATCTGATATTCCTCTATATACTTGCGATTCCGATCCTAAATTATCTATTGTACTAGAGCAATCAGCCAAGAAAAGTTTTCATCATTTATGTGAGTTACGTCGGATTAAAGAAGAAAATGTAAATTCACATTACGACTACGCAAATCCTGAAAGTACCATCCTCCATGAAATCAATAATTTGAATTTGTTTGTATTTGATCAAGGAGCTGCTGGTGTAACAGCTTATTGTTGGGCCTTATTAGATTATGTTTTGAGCGTTTCTGGCAACTCTCTTGCTATTGAGATGGAGTTTAAAGAGTGGGATTTAAATAGTAGTAACTGTCAAACTGATACAACTCATTTTAAGAGCCTTCCACTGGATCAGCTTGGCACATGCACAGACTGCTTACTAAACTTGTTTAGTGTTCTTCGTCATCAATCTACAGGTACCTGGAATTTTAATGCTGGCTTCGAGTCAGATGTTAGAAGAGAATTGGCATTCCTCATTGCTGTCAGGGATTCTGTTTGTTGTATTACGCAGTTGCGCGCTAATTTGTTGAGACTTCTAGTTCCTGAAGCTATTGAATCACTTATAACAGCTAGTATATCTATGGTTGAGAATTTCTCCAAATTCGTTGTACAAAACATGACCAAACCAACTATCAGCAATCTTAAACAACTTGTGGATAATTTCCTGCTGAAAGATTTCATTATAGAAAACCAAGGAGACGCACAACTCCATCATGTTCTTGTCGCTGTTCACCTTGCTCTCACCAATACAACAGCTCAATTAGAGGAGATATCTGTACGGATTAGCTCATGTACAATAACAGCTTTAGCGTGGTACTATGTCGATATAATTTCTCAAGTTACTACAGTTTTAATGTCCAAAAGTTCGAATTGTTCCGAAGGCGCAGCTTCTTTATGGAAATGGGAGCCTAATTTGTCGAACAGTATTCCTGATAATATAACATCATGTTCATGGACTGATGAAGTTTATAATGCCGGGATTATGGCCTTTGTTACTACACTTGAGAATGGTTTGACTCACTGGCAAACTATTCGTCGTGGTTGTACTGATAAGATTGAATTAACCCCTAAGCTATTCATTGATCCTATAGATAACTTTATTGGTCGTTTATCATCACGTCTTGGACTATCAAGTTTAGTTGGACTAGCATCAAGTCGTCTGTTTTGTGCACTCGTTGAGAACACAGGATTATCGATTCATAGGCTTTTGATTGAAGGTGAACTCTCTGCTAAAGCATCTGGTTTGGTCAGTGTTGTAAGCCTATCTGCTGAGAAATTAATCGAAAGTGTAAATGTTCAAATCTCACTGACGCAACCTGTTAGTGTGCAGCATCTTAGGACACCTGCATGTAATCTTATTCATCGACTAGTGAACCGCTCAAGTCAAATAAGTCAATGTTTGGAAGAGACATTCGAAATAGAAGCCGCTGAACGACATTATAAACATCTTGTTTTAAGCGTTTCAGCCTATAACTGGATGCATACAATTCAGATTCAAGAAAAGTCACAACTTTATCAACAAGATCCATGTGTTTACTTAACAAATACCCTCAGTTCAATCAAAGATGCCGCCGAATTAGAAGGTGCTTCCGATGAAAATACTTCAGAGATTTCAGCAAACACTGTTGCCCGGTCAATCTATTATATTGAAACTTTGAGATCAAGGTATGTTTTTCTTCGTATAATTATAACTATCGTAAAATTCTTGTGCAATGAAAACCACTTTTTTGTGCAATGTTTTCTATTGTTTATGGTAGATATTTTCCTACACACGCAGTACTTCGATATTCTATGATAGAGTTTAGATCTTAGATCTGGATGGTTTGGTTTTGCTGCTTTCATTTTTCTTCTGAAGAACATCAAAATAAACTTTAGGTAGAAATGAATTATTCGAATTTTTGTTATGACTTCCAGCTCGTCCTATTATATTAGCTTCTTGAATAGAATTTTTACGCAGTTGATTTTGTGAGTTCTTGGGCTGTTGCTACTGTGGTTAAGAATTTGATCTGTATGGGTTGGCTTTCGATATACTTGGATCTCCGGTTGTCCGGTGTTGATTCTGGTAACTAATACAAACAAGAATGATAGTTTATTATTTGAATCCTTTTCCATTTTGAATTTTATGTTGATGAAAACCTTGCTGATAAGGTTGCATGGTTTTTCCAGCCCGTCTCTTTTCTAATTAACAACGAATGTGTCGTCCATATAACGAACCCACATTTTTTGGCTGGATCACTGGTAAAATCGAGGCTTCCTGTCTTCATAATTGCTTTTGTACTAAATTCTGATTTTGGTAATAATGTTAGTGTTTTTTCGTTTGAAAATATGTTGTTAAGTATAAATCAACAAGTTCTAATATACTTTGGTCCTGACGCTTCCTGTACTTTGAGAGATTTGTCGTAAAATGTTCTGTTTTACAGCTTCCAAGCTTGTCAATCCTTATAATGGTCAAGATGTTGACTAATTAACGTTTATTTAGATCCCATTACTTGTGTATCTGTTGATAACTTGGCACCGTAGAAAAAGATGTGTAGGCTGTAATTTTTATTTCGATAAGCCTAGATTTGATTCTCATTCATTATTAATAATATTTATTTATATGTGATCTTTTTTATTCAGTGGTCTATCGTCCTCTTCATCCTTCTCACGGTGTGTGAATATAGCCAGTGAACTATTAAAGGCAATAGAACTTAAGGAAAAACTAATATCGGAGTTCAATGAGTTGGACTGGATAGTTTATACAGTAAAGGTAATGAGGTGAACTTTGTTATATATATTCATATATATATATATTGATTTTCTGAGAGCAATCTAGTACTGAAGATTGCATACTACATATTTGCCTTCATTTAGTAATCCTCCAAATAGTAATTAAGACAAGAAATTCAGTCAACCAATTAAATGCAGTATCATCATTTTAAGTCTGACAATCTACCAATACTTGCTGTTAAATTTTCTCCTTGTAACGAAATTCACAATTACTAAAATGGCTGCACTGAATTTCATTCACCATGCCTTAGTATATATTAATCTACTATTCAATGGTCTATTCCTCTCTGAACTATAATCATTTATTGAGAAACGATTTCAAATAGTTTAGTATTTATAAACAGCCAATCAATTGAACCAAATATAAATTGTTGTAACATTAGTTAACTGATTTCGTTTGGATATAGTAATTAAATATATTGTCAATAACTAAAGATAATTTTAGCTGTTTAGGTTAGTAAGTTTAATTTAAGGAATCGGTCCAAACTTAGAATTGTAAATTTTTTATTAGGTTTACTCACAATGGTTAAAGCATTCTTTTGAAAAACCTAATACGTAATATTTTAATAAATTACTAACAATCACACTCAATGGAGTTCGATTTTAAATTTTAGGACACATACGCTTTAAAGTGGCCGGTTCATGGTTGGTTTCAGTCATCTTCTAACAGCGATTCAGGCGAAGTTCTCGAAAGCGACGTACTTGAACTTATCAAAAGTGATCTTACTTCTGCAGAATTAGCAGTCAACAAACTAAGTCAACAGCTTTCATTTATCAAGGAAGAGTTCAACGAGATGTACCTAAAATCAGAGTCGTTAAACGATGTTAGCTGTAATCGGTCATTATTACCAGTTGTAATTTCAAAAAAAGCTAATCGCAACCCACAGTCCTGTCGCTCAACAGCTCTTTCTACTTTGCAGCATACTGTTTCAGTATCATTGTGTCCTTCTGAAGCATCTGCTAATGCTAAGCAACCTACAATGATAGCATCACTGCGTTTCCAGCTTAGTACATTGCAAAAGGAAAAGTTTTCAGATATTCGACAGATCGTAAAAATTCTCAGCCGTTATAATGCTGTTCGGTTCAACTTACTACATTCCGATCACATTTCGGTCAGTGAAACATGTTCTGCATCTATTTGGAGCACTTGGCTAGACGGACATCAAAATTGGACTACTAATGTCTCAAGTGTTTTAAAAAGATTAACCAAATTTATTAGTTCCTTCTCACCTTCAGTTAAATCTTATGCTTCTGGATCATGTGTACCTTCTGAAGAGGAAACTGAATTTGCAACTAGTTTAAGTCAAGATTGTTTACTTGTTAAATTTAAGCTTGTAGAAGTACTGATCAAACCTCTGGTAGATGGAATTTATGAAAATGTTTCTTCTAATCCACATCTATATCATTCTCTAGAAGGTTTTCTGGAGATGCTCAATGCACATTTCAAAAATGTCAAAGAAACCATGCTCGTTCAAATGAAGGAATCTGGAGTCGAAATTACCGAACCTAAACCAACACAAAAGGTTGAAAAGGTAAGCAATCAAGTTTTAATTTTTAGACTTCGTTGCTTATGAATCATATGTTTTACCGTTGTTCGCTCTCTGTTTGGTCTGAGTCTAACTATATCGTGATTCTTTTTTTTCATTCTCAGGTTATATTTTCAGGACGATCTCTAAATATGTCAGCTTTGTCTGTTTGGAACCGTATTTATGATCGTTTGCATGGATTTGATTCGTTTTTACCAACAGCTAACACGAACCAATCAATGTCCATCAATGCTCAAATAGATGCTTGCATTCATGAAGCCACTAATGTTGATAATCTTGCTCTCATGTATGAAGGATGGACGGCATGGGTATGAATTTCTCCAAGTGATTCACTAATATGCTGCAATTTACACTACAAAGTTACTTTTTAATCGCTCGATCTGGAGGATCACGCGGTAAAAGGATTGATCAATTAGTACCTCTAGGTAGCTTGAGGAAACCATACCCATAGTATCCATCATTTGCACGCGAGAAAAAACTAATCAACATGCCTATTTCGTTTGATGAATAGATAGTAAGTAATACTAAAATTGAATATATGTTATGGTTCATTCGATGTATAATGCATAATAATTTGTAGGTGGTTTGTTTGTTTGTTTTACCATATTAGGAGTAGTGACAGTAAGTATTGGTTGTAGTTCCCATTTGTAATGTAACTTCCAGGTAACTCATAATATAATTGATCACATCAGCATTATAGATTTGATAATCATGTACACAAAATTCGTAACTAAGTTTTATCATTCAGATTGCATCAGCCGTTTATCGCCTGCGATGATATTCGCCCCTACATTGTCGTCTCATAAAACCATTTATAAGAAGCATAGATCGCAATGATGTGTACAATCTAGTCTTATTATGAATCCTATGTATGCTAATTTTTCTAACCAATGACGATAGTCTGTTGCAACGTTAAACGTACGTATGTACGTTAGTTAATATATATATACATATTACAACTTGCTAGGTTGTCAATAATCTGTCACTTTGTTCTATGATATCATCCTTGACTTACTGGTTACCTTCAGAGTACCATCATTCTGATGAAGTTCAGTGTATGATGGTTCTAGTGTGTAGTAAGGTATTTACTGTAATTGTATATAGAACTGACAAATGCATCTTTTTGATCTATCTATAATTTATTGTATTAATCGTTCTAATTTTTCTATTACTTTCAGTTCCAACTGACGGACTAACTAATGGTTGTTACTATGGTCTGTAATTGTCAGCCACTTTATCAGCACATCTTACTTAAGGTCAACGTACTTACTGTTTCAGCTAAACTCTCTTGTTTAACGTCTGTTACAACTTACGAAATCATATTCTTGTGACTTCATTTATAAAACCAAAAATGTTTTGGTTTCTGTTGACTGAATCACAAACTGGAGTTCGTTTTGTATTCGTCGTGTTGTTGTCATCACCAGTTATAACATACCTACTGTTTTTTGTGTGTATTTTTTGTTCATCACTGTCCTTCCTTACTAGTGTCCATTGTTACATTTTTGTTGTTGCTTTTTTTTGCTGCATAGTGATAAATAGTATTTTCTCGAAGTTCTACCCGGTTTTTTGTTTGTTCTTTCAATCGCAGATATGAAGGTTAACCAGACAGCTTTACAATGCAAATTGATTTTAATATTGTCTATCCATTTTATAATGGGCATGACTTTTAAAATACCTAATTGTCGGATTGACTGAGTGCTTGAAATTTAACTGTTAACTTGTTGATGAGGATAAAACTGAGAAAGCTGTCAAGCTACATAGCTTCAACTAATTTCGTTATCATTGGAACAGAATAATTCCTCTTTGGTGGATTGTTAGTCCAATAAGCTAGGGTCAGTAATTTTATGATTTCGTAAGTTGTTCTTAACATAGTTTATATAAGGATAATATTTAGTTATCAATTCAGCTTGGTAAAATTAATCTATTTCATACCTATATTGGAGTACTATTTTTTAGGAAGTAGAATTTTTTTTCGACTGACCTATGTCGATCCACGTTGATTCGTTGCTGATGTAAATTGTCGATTTTCCCCGTTGATTGTCAACAGCGCCGTACATTGGTTATTTGTTTATATTGTAAGAAACTAACAGTGATAGATGTCAATTAAACTAGTTATGCCGGGTTCGAGCTAGTTCCTTTGAATAAGGTTAATGGTAGTTGTTATGACAAATGAAAATTGTAAGACTTGTAACTATTCAACCGACAGATTCAGAGTGTGCTGATTACTTTCTAAGACTGGGTGTATTAATGCAAAGACTCACACTAAACAGGTGTAAAATGACAAGATGTCGTCATCAAATTATGAATGTAAATAAAGCAAGAACAATTGTTCAAATTCAATAGTCAGATGAATCGCATGAAATTATTAGCCGTTTTATTAGTCGATATTATACCCATAAAATGTTCGTTGTAAAGTTAGCTGTTGCAGAATTCAAGAAAATAGAGGCTTGGATGAAATTTCACAACAATTTTCAGTGCGTCGTTTGAGGAAAAGACAATGTAGAGGCTTTTTTAGTTGTTAAAAAAGTATAAACGAAGACACGATTTAATCGAGGCGAACGCATATTTGACATCACTGTTGAATTAATTGTAGTCATATTTTAAGGCTTAATGGAAATAGTCTCTAACAAAAGACCAGAAATATATTTACGGAGTAGATTTGTTTTAATAAAACCGAATTCCATCTGAAAAGGTAATTTCCTCTTCCTAGTTGTTCAGTATTATCTGAGTTTCGTAAACATGTTTCAACGAAGAAAATAAATAACAAGAAAAATTTTGGACGATCATGATTCAAAAAATCACAATCTAATTCTGATGAAAAAAATATGGTTTTTTAAATAGAGTTTATTCCTTTAAACAAACAAAGAACAATTCATCTATTGTTTATTCATTCCTCTGAATCTCGAAATTCTGCTGGTATTTCTAGTTCTGTATTATGCGGTACTGAAACGACAATTGCAATCAGAATAGTAGTAATGTATATGAAGAAAAATAAACGATCTAAAGCAATTGCTAAAGTTCGCCATTCCATGGCTATTAAACGTTTACAATCTGTTTCCTTTTGTCGATTAACTATCATTTTCACATACTTCTTCAGTTCTCTGACGTCACGTTCAAGTGTAGTCACTGAATTAAAACTTTCTGATTCATAGAAATTTGTCATTCCAAATGGATAGTTGTCTACATTGTTATCAGTCGGCATACTTCCCATCATATGTGGACAGGATTTTCTAGGATATTTTTGAAATTCAGTTGAACCAGACCAGTTAGTAGTAATGTTTTCTAGATACTGATCTTCAAAAGCTGGATGATTGAGTGATTCATTACATAGTGGGAAAAATCCACCCCCAAAATATGTGTTTCGTTCATTTTTACATCTGTTTTGACTAACCTGTTTGTTTTTAATAGGAGATATTTGAGAAATGTTAGCCCTTCTGTGATATTTTTCAGTAAAATTCCTTCTTGAATTCCTCATATCTGGTAATGGAATTCTTTGTCTTACTAATGTTAGTCGTCCAATTCCTTCTATTATGATCTAAAAATGCAAAGTAAAACTAATTAATTTTATTTTCACATGCTTTTATGACATTTTATTATGTTGCATAAAGACGTAACGGCAGGTTGATTTTTATACATAAGTAGCAGTAATGACAAGGTTTCCTGAATAATATGAATTTATACTATTTCACGAATTTTCATCAGCCGCATGCAGCTAAAATGACCCCATTTTATTTTGCAAACTTCATTGTTCTTTCTCTGTTTAAATTTATCAAAGGATCTGATTGCATGAAGTATTATGAGGTTATTCGTTAGAAACCGGATAAACGTTACTACTATATCATACTTCACAGTAATCAATTTATTGATAACTAGTAAGAAATCAATTTGAGAGTTTGTGGGATTCGACTTTATTGAGATCTCTATTGAATTTCAAGTAACATCGAATATCGATTTCATATAAATATAAAATTCTTCAAGATTCCCAATTATTCGGATGTGAATCCAGGAAATCTAACAATTTTAACAAAGCTCGTTTACTAAATTAGAACGAAATTCTAGTTTGAAATTATAAATCATCGAGTTCTACCATGACTGGTAAATATTATTTTTATTATCTGTTTTTATGATTCTTTTTTTTTATTGAAAACACATGAACAATAGATTACCTTACTAAGAAAAAAATATGGATTCACCGCCTAATCTCAAATTGTCGTCAGTTCATATTAAAGAGATATTAAACATCTTGATAAAAAAGGAACTAACTTTACGAAAATAATGCAATATTCAACATAGGAATCAAATTAAACCTATGATATAAGTTTATGCGTCAATCTTATTGACCTTGTTGAAAATTTTTTTACTTTTGAGTATCTTTCTTAAAGAGGTGGTACATTAAATCACATAAATGCATCGAACATAACACCTACCCGACGTAGAAAATATGGTACTGCACCTTTACGATCACCACGAAAATAAAGATGGATCACCATAGTGGCTAAAAATGTCGATAAAGTGATCATAATCATATTTAAACAGAAAAATACACCTACAATAGAATGAAATGAAAGGATTTGATGTAAATTATCCATTCTGATCCATCAAACTGATTTTTATACCATTTCTCAAAATTTAAGTTTATATCTATATAGACGCTTCAGTTATTTGTTTATACATTTTATTTCAACGACTACAGATTAATCGAACCATCTGACAGCCTAATTTTAATTATAAATGATTCAACTTATAGCAGTTTTTGGATCCAAATTCAATCATTATCTTATTCTCAAGTAAAACATCAAACTATTTGTCGAAAAATATTGATATCAACCACTTATAAATCGAGCAAAAATAAGATTATTATCGAATCTAAGCAAAATTTAAGATTACGTTTATCCATTTTTGCTGGTCAAACATATTGTTTGATATAAATTTATTTTATCTGAGTGGTGTTAAATGTATACAAACACAGTTAAATTATCATAAAATATAATCTTTTTCATTTCAAACCGTACAAAAATAAGCATTTTGAACGTTGTATATTTAATAACTCATTAGGCTATAGGGAAAACAAAAAATTTATTCAAGCCTGAAATTAGTATTCATACTAGTTCAGAAATATCGATAAAAGTTTAAATTAAACTTGATTGTAGTCGATTTCTAGGGGTTAGCGACCCCATCCCCTTGAAAATCAACTCGCTAGAAAAACGCTAACCAGAGTAAATAATTGGAACTCTGCCCTGAGAGTTTGAAGGTTTTCATTTAGAGGACTGATGATGCCTCACGCGGAAGTCACGAGGCTGATGCCCCTAGTGACAGCCGGAGCAACCATCGTGGAATGTTCGCACAATCTGGCAGACCGGCAGAACTGTTCAACGTTTGGTATGGTTTTTCTTCGGGATACTGACAAACTTGACGAATTCAAGATAGCTCACAGCAATAAGTTTCAAGTCTTTCACCATCTCAATCGATAGGAAACTAACATGAAGAAAAGGATTAAAGCAGCAATCACTTCAGCATGTCATTAAGGTTTTGAGCCACAGAAAGCCTATCACAAGGAATGGAACTCAATTGTTATTATGGATAATATTCAAGAAAGGATGATTGACCAAATCGCCACTACGAACCATTGTTGAGCAATCCACTGAATGGATTTCTTCACTATACACCAACTTCCTTAACTCCGACATTCGACAACGTTGACGGGATGACACAGTCCAGGTTTCTTCGATCTACATCAGATAACCAACATAATCCATAATAATAGATTAAAGTGTAAAGTCATGTATGGAGGACAGCTCACATACTCGTTGAAAATCAAGACGGGTGTCCGGAAAAGTTTCTTACTCTCCCATTTTTCTGGCGGTTGGTTGGATTATGAAGGTACCACAATCTGAACGAAAGCACCGGATACATTGGACTGCTCGGATGCAGCTGAACGATCTGGACTTTGTAGACCATCTAGCCCCTCTGTCCCATACACAACAACATACGCAGGAGAGGACGACAGCAGACTCAGAAGTTGTGGAAGATTTAAAAACCTTCATATATTTCGGGAGTGAAATTGATTAGCACGGTGGATCTGATACAGATATGAAGGCGTGCTCAGGAAAGCAAGGACAACATTTCTACAACTGATGAACATATGGAGCTCAAAACAACTGCCAACCAACACCAAAGTCAGAATTTTCAATACAAACTGCACAGACAGTTATCTAACAGATACAGGTGTTTATTAACAGGTTCCTACGCAGGAAACTGTAGATCCATTGGCCGAACAGCATTAGCAACAACCTCTTGTGGCAGAGAACAAACTAGATTCCAGCTGGGGAAGAAATTAAGAAAAGGCGCTGGAGGTGGGTGGGACAAGCAACGCAGAAAGCACACAACTGCACCACTAGACAAGCTCTGATTTGGAATCCTCAAGGCCAAAAGAAAAGAGGTAGTCTGGAGGAAACACAGACGTGGAGATAATGAATAGCAAATGAGTAGAACCGTAAAGGAAGTCTGAGGACATAGTAGATTGGAGCATGCTGATCTACGTTGCATCTGACTGACTGACTGCATGCTGATCAGTGGCCTATGCTCTACGAGGTGCAACAGACACAAGTAATTAAGTATTTATATTCAATTTCTAAGTTGTTCACTATATGTTAACATTTGCTTAAGCATCGTTATTCCCAAAGGATAACGTTGATTACTGTTACTTTACATTTTTCACTGGTTAACTGAATCACACTTGTGTAATAATTCAATAGTAACTCAAAACGGCTGGTAGTAAATTAATAAAGTTCTTAAAAAGTATGAAGATATGCTACCAAATTATACAGTAAATTTAATTCCAACTAAGTTAACTTCATAACCTCAAAAGACGATAAAAGATAATAGCAAGTAAATATTGGTTTGATTACTTTGACAAAAGAAATTAACTAAATTACTTACCAATCAATGGGAAATTTTTCACTGCACTTGGTGTAGATTCAGCAAGTAGTAACAGTAAAACAAAAAATGCCACAAATATATTCATCCCTATGAAAAAATTTAATATGAAAAGCATGCTAGTAGAAGCTCAGCAAAATGTTTTCCACTGCCTACATTTCGCTTTATTTTGTGTATATTCAGTAGTGCTTTGCTACAGTCCCTACTCAAGATCATACTTATAGCCAAGTTTGTCGACAAGCATTACTGTACTTAGATTCAGCCAATCTACTATATAACAGGATCACCATCCAATGATACCATTAGAAATGAATCTTTGCCTCCAACGCAATTATTTTTGGTAAGTGATATTCTTTGGATATAAAACTTTGGAAAAGCAATATCACAGTCACTTATAGGTAATGGGAATTTTATAATGTGAATAGTATCCAAAAGATTTTACTAAAGGAAGAGTAGTTTTCATTGCAGATCAACATTCCATGGACACCCAAAAACCATAAGATCAATTAAGTTTACTACTAAGATGAAACAAACAGGGATGACGGGAGTGAAATTATGTTCGAGCTATATCGTGATTTCATTGAGGTTGAAAATATTGACGTTTAGATGTTGATCATGTGACCTAGATTTTAATGTGCCTTTCACGATGTCAAGTGTCCTGAGTTTGGTGAAACAGTTGTTCATTACTGTCTAGCTTTAAAAATCTGTATTGTCGGTTTGTTAAACTTTTTAAAAAGGAATCTCTTCAAATATCCTGAAAGTAAACTTTCACACACTATCAACCTAAATAAATGAATAAATAATTTAAAACCCAGTGTTAGTTGATTAATAACTGTTCAGTCTAATAGTATGGCGTTCTATACAACAATCCGTGAACGATGTTCTAATTATTCACAATTACTGAAGTGCTTTGAAATGAAAATCCTGTGTATTTATAGATTATTAATCGAAAAAATGAAATTATTGATACACTTTTTGAAACCATAATTTTCACATCATACGATAAACAAATAATCAACATGAATAGTTCAAAATAATATAGTTGGATTGATGATAAGTCATGTGCAACGTAGGTCAAACACTGACTAAATTATTACGTAACAAGGATATTATTGATTTGTATTTATTCTTCATCATGAAAAATGGATGTCATGAAAATAAATTGCTTCATGTTTAAATAAAAGTAGATTAGTCCTCAGGTTACGGTAGTAAATAATGTTATTTTAGAAGCATCTATAGTCAGTACAGATTTTTTGAGAGAAGGCTGAATCATTTCGCTAAATTTCTAAAAGGAAGTACTTTAAGCTTACTTAGTACCGCCTTTCATCTTAACATAATTAGATGACTTGTTTATTCGACAGGTGAATCATTTATTTATTTTTGATAACTTTGATATATGACTATACTTTCTTGAAAAAGCATGGGTCTGATTATCGAACGAAACTTTGAATTTACTTATAGTTCAGTCGTTGGGATTTTTACGACTGTAATTTTCCTCTTGAATATCTTACATTAACTTGGCTTCCAACTATATGAAGGTGTCCACATTAATCCTACATTTCCAGGTTCTTGTATATATTCACTTTGCTGTGTAAGGCCGGACAGTGTCACTTGTATTCATTATAATAAAAAAATTCAGATGGAAATTTTAAAACTAACTATCACAACATCTTGCATAAATAATATGAACACAAGATTTAATGATAAAATATTTACTCTAATAATGCTAAAAATTAGTTAAAAGCCAGATACTTTACAGGGACATGCAAATCAATTACTCTAAAATATGAGGTCTGTGAAGAATATTCACATCCATTTTTTGATTATATTCCACAAAACATATAGCTATTCATATCAATGAGAGCATAACGTTCAACGCTGGTCATATAAAATTCTGAAAGGAATTCGATTCTAAAGTTTGGAAAAAGTGTTTACAAGTCTATGTGAATATTTTTCGTGATGTCAGATTCCTTAAATGTTTCGAATTAAACATCTTCAGCATACATTTAAATCGTGTCTGATCTTTGTGAATATTCTCCAATGTTCCCAATCAAGTTTTTTTTAATGATGAAGCTGGTAGTGATCAATTACTTTATTTCCAAATAAGGCCTCATTTTTGACAGTTTTATTAAGTTGATGCCTGGACATATAAACATTTAACTGTTTTCCAAGCCAAATATACGTGTTTACCTCATCATGACTTATAATTTCTAGCTGAACTAAGTTTTTATAATCTTGATCAACTTGTCTGGTTTACTAATCCACTTTCACAGTCCGACTGTATCTCTTGTTCTGGAACTTTTATGAATAACATGGTTTTTATGTGGTAGACAATGGACCGCAGATTATTTCTAATTCCTTAGTTGTTATTCATTTTTTAAATCAATGTCCCACTGCATCATAACTTTAGTTGCTATTTTAAAAACAAAATCTAGATATAAGTCCTCATTATATAATATGTAAGCTGTGCATTTATCTCTTATTGCTATAGGCTAATAGTTAGTGCGACAACGAATATAATCGTAATTAATAAAACGAAAAAATTAATCTGTTTGATAGGTCTAAAAGTGACACATCCTTTTATTTGATTATGGTATACATAACGCCAAAGTGAGACTTGTGTACATAGCACTCTTATCAAAATGACTTTAGCCAAAGTATGTGATATTTTTAGACAAAATTAATTTAATATGAGGCATACCATCAGGATAAACTACATTGTCATTCTGTGAGTTTCGATAATATTCATTTGTTCAGCCCAGGCTGTACTTCATTGAAGGAAACAGATACAGGAATATCTCACAAACCATAGGTTCAATAACATTTTACATGCACATTATTGCTTTTTGAAAGCCATTTACAGTAATTTATCATTACCATTACCAAATCAGTGATGAACTCAAGGTTGTGTGTCAAAGTCTTTCTGGTAAGTGAACCGTAATATTAAGCGAAATATTGTTTCGTTAATATATAATAATAATAATAATGTACTCATTCTTTTGCAAAATTGTATACATATATTTACCAAGCATCATTTTTGCTGGAGATTCTGGAGGCAACCAAAATACAACCAACGTCAAAGATGATAACAGAACACATGGAATCACTAACATGAATACATAAAAACTCGGGTTTCGTCTCAAACGTATCAAATATCGTAACACTGGATATTCTCTTGTGATCACTTCGTTACCAACAGTTTGACTTCGACGTCGATGTTTCTTAACTGATCGAATCTGTATAGTACGATTGACATGATGTACTTCTCGTTCTTTCTCTCCATCGGTACGCCATTCGTTACTCGGTACGTAATCGGAAAAGTCTAAGTATGGCATTTCTTTTAAGGGAGGTGAATCTGGAATCCACCATAGTATGTCCATTTGAGTTCTATCGTACGTTAGTGATCCAAATTCTAACATGCAAATCTATGTTAATGGAGATAATCAGTGTTTATGTAAATATACTCTAATCTTTTCTTTATTATAGAAACCAAATAAGACAACCATAAACATGCACAATATGATCATGCGTAATCCAATAAAACGATCATGTCAAGAAAATTATGTGTAAACCTCGTCATATTTTATTTTTCCAGATTTTAATATACATTAGTCACTAAATCATCTTTGAAGCTCAGGATAATCAGGTGATATAAAATTTCGTTTGTGCAGTAATCGTTTTCTATTCAAACACGGATTAACAATCAGTTAGTGAAAAGTCATCGGACTAATCCAAGAACATAATCATATCCAAATATGAATTCTCAAGAGTGATACTCATAGAGTCATCAATATCCTAACTGCTAGCTTCAAGTTCACGTTCAGAAAACTGTTAAAGTCACTATTTCAACTACGATATTCATCCAGATCAATAACTCAGTAATGATCACAAATAACTGTTTATCACCTGAGCATAAACATGATAAGAATAAATTATTTTGTGCTAATCTTTTATTCCTATATTATATCTCATGTTATTGATCAGAAACTATTATTAGTTGAAAATCAGTCTTAGACGGAAATTATTTAGACAAAAATATAAAACATTCTTTCTAGGTAAAATTAGAATTGTTCTTATATTTTTTTAAACAGCTTAGAATTATCATCCTTTTGTTATTCGTGTTTTGGTTTTAAGTAAGAGGGATATGTAGTATGATTCATAAGGGTTTGTGTTCATTCTCTGTTTTTACTGAAGACTGAACTCTGATCATGTTGATATTCGTTTGTCTACACTGAAGAAACATTTAATATAGTTTGTAGACTACAGTAAAAGAGATTATGTGACCCGGAGTATAATGATCTCATTTTAGCCTAAAATAATAGATTATTAAGAATAAATATCCCACTATACGATGATTGATGGTTTTTGATGGGATTCCAAGTAATTATTCATTATCGGAAATTCATTACTACTAACTCATTGTCAGAATGGAATTTAGTGTGACTTAATCAGAGACAGCGTTTGACCACTCCAAAAAAAAGAATTTCCTGTGTATGGCAATAACGTATTTTAAAACGATTATAAAGATCGGTTCTGTTATAGTTGAAATAACTGCATGATTGGTCGGAACAAAGAAGTATTTTTTCTAGTGGCAAAGGGATAAATTGAAAGATTAATGGGCACCATTATAAGTCTGATATGATTTAAAACATCTCAAAAGAATGTTAGGTTTGAGAAATTAGTATGTGTTTATACAAACAAAACAAAAAGGAAAACAATCAAATCACTGGGCGACTCGAAAACATCTAACCTGCGTATCAAACGGGAAATATGTGATTTCAACTTCACATGTACTTTTGAATAATGCTTGTGGAAGCCATAATGTTTCTCCATTACTTGAAACTACAACACGAGCATCTCTATGTTCACGTAAACGTTCATCAGCACTAAAAGAAACATAGATAAAGAAATGGAAAGCTTGATAGGAGTTTTATCTGTAATAATGTATTTCTTTTCATGTTACTCAACACCAGCTAAAACAACATACCTAATTTCAAGTCTTAACTCGAATATCACACATTCGGTTCCCCTTTATTATCTTGTAGACAAGAAACAAAGAGTCGAGCGAATTTATTTTATTTCTGAATTATTCCATCAGCTGCTTACAACCTACAGTATTTTAAAACCTCATCGAAAAATTTCACCTTCTTCAAAGGTAGTTATTATTTAATGGCCCTTGAGCTGGCTCCTTTATCTATGAACGTTCAATTATGCAATAAATTAAATCTTCCTTTCAGTTTTCCTATCTCATACTTATGCGAACCCCGTTTCTGCGATGACTGTTATAACAAGCCAAATGCGGCTTCGGTTGAATGAGTTTATTTTGTCCAGTCGTTTATGCAAACAGACATGAGAATAGCAAGCGTTAAAGCAATACAAAGTCGAGACGGTGATGTAATTAGGCATAACTAAGCATTTATAGTCAGACAAAAATAAGCCGGAGATGTGATAAGCGAAGTAGGCAGCGCATATATTCAAGCAAAAACAACCAAGATATGAGCGAATGTTGTGGATCTGAAGGTCCCGAATCAAGCACTTAACCTTCACAATATTATGTTATCCAATGATGTATATTTCTAACTGCAGTCGATTTACGATTACAAAAATGTTAACTTATTCTTGGAATCACATTGAATTCATGACTAATAAACACAGCCTATCTGTTTCAGTTAACCAGCAAGATATGTACATACATATACTCATGTGAGTAAATCCCATGACAGCATGTCAAGATCAAACATTTCTCAATGAATTCTAAATTTAATAATAACATGTCAATTAGTATTTACCAGTCTGCAATAACTATCTGATATTAGAAAAGAATACGTAATAAAGCGAAATATCTGTTGGAATTATTAATTTGAGACCAGTAAAGTTATATTTAACATTGCAATTATCAATCAGAATTTAAATAACCTTGATACCATACAGAACTATATCTATTCCAATTTATAATTTGTACAGTTCGGTGATTTGTTCGTCAAATTCAAACGAAAAATCATTAGATGATGTAAAAAACATCACTTATCTACATGAATCAATATATTTTTCATGCGTCATACTAGCCATAAATAATTGCTTATAAAAGGAAATAAAGAATGCCAGTCATTTGTGGCCTTAACGAATTCACTGAGCACTGTTAAATCGATAATAGCTTATAGTACCTTATCAACATTTACTAAGTCATTACAATTGTAGCAAAGTGAAATAAAACTTATCACAATCAATTGTAGTATCCCGATGAACACAAACCAGAATTTCTGATCTCTCAGAACTCAGTGTAATCCACTTCTTCAGAATAAATAAACATCCAATTTAAATTAACTCAACTTTAAACAGTATGATGAAACAAGACAAATATATTTAGGTCAATCCAATTAGGTGCAACGATATCAATGCCACGTCATTTCGGTCAAGGTGAATTTGCTAGACACTGCTGAGTATATTTATGAATATTCGTGGGTATGTGAAATGTGAAATTTGTAATATCAAGGAGTGAAGATAAAATCTGTGCGTGTGTATTAATAGTGTGAGAAATGACTACGGTCGTTTGGATTTCCTTTCTGTTGAAGGCACAGGGATTAAATGTCGTGTAAAACCAATACTATGCATACATCTCTGACTGGTAAAAGAGATTGTATATGACAACAAATATAAGCGAACAATACTTTTTTTCTAATTAGGTCGTCGTTAGGCTATAACCGAATATGCATTAATATTGATATGAATATAAGGTAATCCATGAGTCAATGACCACAGGGAAATAGATTACAGGTTGATAGTGGGAAGACAAGTGCAATAATTGTGACAAGAATAATAAAAGCTTTGGTTACTAGTCCAACATAGGAAATAGGTCAAACTTCGATGGAGACCTAAAATAATAATTGCAAAGAATCATTGGAATTACGTAATAAGAAGCGCGTACGTAATCAGATAGAAAAGAATATAGACGGAAAGATGTGAAAAACAACAGACATATGCATATGGAGCATCTAACCAGATTTACTTTGAATACAAAACTAAATAAGCTTCTATATTAGCAAAAAGAGGAGCTTTTTCCATACATGCTTCTACCTAATGAGCTACCACCAAGTCTATTTGATGAGTTGTCAAGAAAATTTAGTTTGTCGTCACACTCGTACATACCAATGAAAATGATTGTTGGATGCATACAACTGAACAAGTCCAATAATTCTTCTTTATTAGTATTCTGGTCTACGATGATGAATGTGTTGTCAACGCAACAAGAGTAAAGATATCGTTTACTGAGAACCTCATTAAAGAGTGTATGTTGTAATTTTTCTAGGAAGAAAACAGCTTAAGTCACGTCTCGATAGAAGCCCATAGCTACTGAATAACTTTGTCTATTATAAGTATGGTTCAAGACAAATTGGACGTTCAGCGTACACCCAAGGATTAATTCTTTCAGCCCACCCTCAGGAAGCCAATTTGGATTTAATTCTCAACTAGTTGATTACATATATACTCGATTGTCTAGATTAGTAGTTACCTTGATAAACAAAAATATGACATCTGGTGAGATTATATGTTTTCTACCATTTTCTTCCATTCTGGGAAACGAGTTGAAAATTTATTTGTGGCTCCTTCTTACGACTGGTTTGTGTAAAAACTATAAGATTTGAATCAACTACATACCATTTTGTTATGTAGAGGATTGTACATATGTAAAACTCGGCAGAGAGGAAAGCCCAATTTATGAATTTTGGGTAAACAGTACCATCGTGGTGCTTTTGATTCACTCGATCTCAGTGAATCATAAGACGGACCAAATTATTTCTTAGGCTATAGTTTCTGAAAATAATTATTTAGCTATAACCCTATTTTTTCACTGGAGCTCTTATTATCAGTAAGTTTTTGAAATTTGCTAAGATCATTAAGCAGCGAGTTCATTTTATTGATGTCTTCCATTTTGTCCAAGAAAATCACAACTCCTCGATTGTCTGGCTTGATTATAACAGAAAAGTCATCTTTTGTTAGTTTTGTTAAGCGTCTCGACGCTAGTTGGTCGGTAGGCGTTTACTTGCACACTTGATATTCTTGTACTTTTGACAGCTATCGACTAAACACAGCTAGTTCCTCCAATGAGGGTGGGACGGGTAAGTCTGTTGAATGAACGTAAGATCTAAATTCCTATCCACTTCTGATAACCCTACAACGCGAAATGAACACAAGAGAGAAAGTATGAAGTACAAGAGGAATGAAGGTACGCATAGAGTTACTCATGACCATGGGCTTTTCGAAGGTTTGAGAACCACACTATATATAGTAGCGGTATGGATAAATATCCATTCAGAATGGTGGCACGTGATTATGCATTTTCTAGATGTTTTTCTGCGAAGACTATTTAGTGCCGATTGGATGAAAGGTTTTCTAGCGTTTACGGGTCCTTATAGATTTTCCTGACGTAAATCTCGGGGCTTCTTTACAGGGATGAAGTCAGTTTGGGAAAACAGATTCTCAAACTGTACATCAGTATTTTACGTTTGCTTATTTCAAGTCTAGATTTTCAAGTAATTATAAATACAGCTAAAAACTTTCGTTCGATCAAATTCTTCCATATAGAAATTTCAGATACTCAAATTCTGTTGATCTCACAAAAATTCAGTCTTAAAATAAGCATATACACATTATTTTCTTATTGATATTATTTTATACTATTATAATCATTAACTAAATATTCATCACTGGGACTTAATCAGTGATTTGAATGTCGGAGTCGAGAGTGTGGCGAAGTCAAAGCGTTACGAACCAACTATTATATATAGAAATTAAATTACTCACAAATTATGTAATTTAATGTCAGGAGTCCAAATCTGTGAAGGAAATATACGAACTGTCTGAATATTCCCATATTCACTTTCATTCCAACGAAGAAGCGAATCAGTCCATTTCTAAAATAATTTACAAATGTTCAGGTTAAAATGCCAGGCGAATAATTCTAAAACTTAAAATATTATTAACAGTCTGTTATGAATTGAAATTTTTTCTGACTGTAAGAATTTTCAAACTATGGAACATTGAAAATTGACAAATTATTGTTTAAAATCAATTTTTGGATATAGCTAACAGTAAATTATGACCATACATTGTCTAATCGATATTATTTTGAATGAATTCCTAAACTGACAATCCCAAACATTTCTCTAACTGAAATTTCATTCGTACTTTATCAACCAGCAGTAATCTTTATTCTAGTCTTTTAATGGAAAAGTATTTTTTAGTCCATTTGGAAAATTGCCTCTTTAATGTTCGGAAGTTTCATTTCGTTTTGAGCAGTTTAAAAAAGAAATACTCCAGTCTAAATCAACAATTCGGTTGACTTTAAACGTTTCTTACCAGAATATATTAAAATTTACCATAACGTATCTGTTGTAACAGAATAACAATAAAGTAACTTGGACTTAATCGCATGTTCTACTTGTGATAAAATCTAATTCCCGGGTATAGGATCGTTCTCTGCCGAGTCGTACCATACTAGTACAAAACGGCCATTCAGTACTTCCAGGTTTTCAGTAGTTGTCTAACTTAGGTCAGTTCGTGATTCCCAAATATAATAATATCCATCAGAATTAGCAATACATCACAGTATATAAGTAATGAATTTTAAGCAATACTTGTTATGAGAAGATCAATAAAGGTATTCAAATATCTAAAACTTAGTTAATGGAGCAGTATATAAAATTGTAGCTAGATGGTTGAAAGCTAAATACTTTCGACAATAAACCTTTTCATTTTTGCTTATCCCACTGCATTCTGAAAATAGATATCACTCTGACTGGAGGTAGTTATTCTTATTACGTATTTAATAAAAAAAAATTTCAATGCACAATAGTTTTATTTGGTAGATAAAGATAGCAAAAAAACCGGATAAAAATAATCACGACACAATTCCCTGTCTCTTAACTGACATCAGTATGACGCAACCCTGATAAATTAGTTACATTCTCGTTTTACAGATAATATAACATAATATGATATATAGAATAACCAATAAGGTATTATTCAGAAGTATTTCTAGTGAAATGTACCGTTTAGTCACGATTCACTTGAAGTATTTTTGAGTGAGACCACCACCATTTTATGATGAAAAGGATAAGTAATCAGTAATGATAAGTACAAATTTTTTTTTTTACCCCATTTGTAAATGGTTCTTTGTAGGTAGTTAGCAGTACTAACGTAAGATTACGTACAGTGATAGTTATTCATTTTAGATCATTTAGTTTTAAAAAGTTGAAATGTTTCAGTTGATTGCATGATGACAGGCGTGATTTATGCATTGTTCTATTCATCGTACTCAGCATCTTTATCAACAAGATTTATTCTAATGAAGTCATTTAGAAAACACTACTTGAAACACCTTTGTAACTTTCTAGTCGTAAAGTTCAAATTTTTCAGCTCACGTGTTTGATCATTGGAAAACAAAACAACTAGGACCTTATTCTACACTTTCTGCATCAAACATTAACTATAAATTCATGTACCTGAAAAATAAATCAAACCATTTTAACTCTGCCCTGGGAGTTGGAAGAACAATTATGACGTCTCGTGATGAAAGCCGAGTTCCCTCGGAAGTCACGAGGCCGATGCCTATTCTGACAACCAGAGCAACCATTCTTTTAGGTACATGGAACGTTCGAACATCGTGGGAGAATAGAAGACTATTTCAAGTTGCTGCAGAAATGAAAAGATACAACCTCGAGGTGCTCGGCATCAGTGAAACACACTGGACACAGGTAGGACAACTGAGACTAGCTTCAGCGGAACTGCTGTTATACTTTGGTCATGAAGAGGAGAATGCTTCATATACACAAGGAGTTGCACTGATGCTGTTCAAACATGCACAAAAGGCACTGACAGGATGGGAATCTCATACACCCAGGATCATTAAAGCATCCTTCAAGACAAAGAAGGAGGACATTACAATGAACGTCATCTAATGCTATGAACCTACCAATGACTACTATGACGACGATAAAGATCAATTCTACGAAAGGCTGCAGTCAATCGTCGATAAATGTTCATCAAAGGATTTGACGATTCTTATGGGAGACCTGAATGCCAAGGTTGGCATGGACAACACTGGATATGAAGACATCATGGGACGAAATGGACTGGGAGAAAGGAACAGAAACGTTGAGAAATTTGCAAACCTATGTGCCTTCAACAAACTGGTCATCGGTGGCACCATATTCCCACACAAGCGTATACACAAAGCTACATGGATTTCCCCGGATCACACTACTCAGAACGAAATTGACCACATCTGTATCAGTTAAAAGTTCAGAAGGACCATGGAGGAGGTGAAATCCAAGAGAGGAGCTGACATAACCTCAGACCACCACTTGATGGTCGCCAAAATGAAATAGAGGCAATGAAAGCAAACGTGGAAGCAAGAGCAAAAATACTTCACATTCTCTTCAAGAAGATTTAGGATGAGGAACATGTACCATCAGATTGGAAAGAAGGATACCTCATCAAAATACCAAACAAAGGCTATCTCAGCAAGTGTGAGAACTACAGAGGCATCACTCTTCTTTCAATAACAGGCAAAGTCCTCAACAGCTTATTGCTAAACAGAATGAAGGACTTCGTAGACGCCCAACTTCGAGACCGACAGGCTGGATTTTGTAAGGATCGACTACGAGAAACACTATGGGGGCTTCTTCGTCACTACGGCGTACCGAAGAAGATAATCAACATTATACGGAATTCTTTTGATGGATTAAACTTCAAAATCGTGCACGGAGGTCAGCCGACAAACTCATTTGAGGTGAAGACCGGTGTCAGGCAAGGTTGCTTACTCTCACCCTTTCTCTTTCTCCTGGTGATCGACTGCATTGTGAAGACGTCAACATATGGAGGGAAGCACGGTATCCAATGGACAACTAGGACGCAGCTGGACGATCTGGACTTCGCAGATGACCTGGCTCTTCTATCGCACTCGCAACAACAAGTGAAAGAGAAGACGACCAGTGTAGCAGCAGTCTCTGCAGCAGTAGGTTCAACATACATAAAGGAAAAAGCAAAATTCTCCGATGCAACACAACATGCACCAACCAAATCACTCTTGATGGAGATTCTTCGGAGGACGTTAACACCCTTACATATCTTGGCAGCATCATCGACAATCAAGGTGGATCCGATGCAGATGTGAGGGCGCGGATCGGCAAAGCAAGAGCTGCATTTTCACAGTTGAAAAATATCTGGACCTCCAAACAAATATAAATTAACACCAAAATCAGGATTTTCAATACAAATGTCAGGACAGTCCTACTGTATGGAGCGGAAACTTGAAGAACTACGAAAGCCATCATCCAGAAGATACGAGTATTTATGAAGAGTTGTCTACGCAAAATACTTCGGATTCGTTGACCAGACACTGTCAGCAACAACGTACTGTGGGAGAGAACAAACCAGATTCCAATGGTGGAGGAAATCAGGAAGAAGCTCTGAAAGTGGACAGGACACATATTGAGGAAGGCACACAACTGCGTCACAAGACAAGCCGTCACATGGAATTCTCAAGGTCAAAGGAAAAGAGGAAGGCCAAGGAACACATTACGCCGAGAAATAGAGAAAGATATAAGAACAATGAACAAAAACTGGAAACAACTAGAAAGGGAAGCCCAGGACAGGTTTGGTTGGAGAAAACTGGTGGGTGGCCTATGCTCTATTGTGGGTAACAGGTGTAAGTAAGTAATGATGATCAAATACAACCTCAAGCTAAAACACAAGCTTAAAATATGATATGCACTCCCCATACATTGATTTGGCTGTCAGTCTTTAAGTATGAGATAGTTTCAGACAAGATTTTGGCTATTTTACAAAGGAAATTAATTGATCAGCAGTATGACAGATCACATCGGTAAAACTATCACTTGAATTTATCCAAACTTCGATCACTTCAAGTGGCTTAAAAACTATATCAAGTTTTGATTTTATATTTTGTTTCAGGTGAAGGTTTCTAGCAACAGATTTTACTGATATGATCTAATCCAAAATCCATATTACAGTGTTGGCAAAGACAATATTAATGTTTACATCTTTTCCGAGACTTCTTGTCAGGTTTTATAACGAAAGCTGGAATTATTTATTCAGAATATTTAACGAATCACGTTTAACGAAATTAGAGCACTTGAATGTAAACTGGAGGATAAAAATATTACTTTCATTATCGGAACTATTATATTAAAAATTATGAAAATGTTTCCATAGACATTATGCTTTTCTAAGAATAATGTGTATTTATAGTAATACTGTGCATAGAATAAGTGGGTTGAGTCATTCATCATGAATTGTTAATCATTTTAAAAATCTTAAATTAAATTTGAGACAAAGATTAAAAAATTGCTACTGATAAAAAAATTACAACTGCAATTATCCGATGTAATTGGGACAAAGAATATTTATTATCGCGACAAACTTGTGAGGGAAGGCAATTGAAAGCATGAATAAAATAATTTTTTATTGATTGATTTCTTCAGCTAAAGAATATTGATTACCACTCACACTTCCTCTATAATTAGTGAGTAAAACTGAATGGTATTTATTTTATCTCTTTTATCTGTATCACTTTCTAATATGAAAAAAAATTATTAGCTATAGTTAAATATCTTGAGAGTTTTAATGTGTACTTACATGCATACACCAACAGTTGGTTCGTAAAATTTGTTTATTCTCATCTAAATCCAAAATTTGGAAAAGTTGTAACCCATAACGAACATCAACTTTGATTTTACTATCATTCACTGGTCGTCCAATTATACCAAATTGTTCATATCGATTTAATAACATTCTTATCAGATCTTTTTCCACTGATTTAGTCTTCAGTACTGTTCCAAAGAATCATAAAGGGGATATTAGTAATATCAGAATTGTCATAGCTCTTAAAAAAAGTAACGATTAAGTTTTAAAAACTAGTTAGATAATACTGTCTAGCCAATAATCTGAAGACGGTAATCAACTAGTTTTGAATAGGGCGTATTAAAAGACACCACAGATAACTGTTTCTCATTGAATGGAAGTCAAATTATTCTTCGTGAAGCGAGTAAGTCTGCTGCGAAAAATTGTATGAAATAAAAATCACTCTAGATTACGCCGAAACAAGAGATCAATTTTAATGGACTGGTTCCATAGTGATCATGAAAAGTGGAAATAGAAAATTAAGATATTTTGCAGAGTAAAAGTCTTGTTATTTGTGCTTTAAAACTAATTTTCTGGACCAGCCAATAGTTGTAGTCATTAACAAAATAATAAACTATCATAAACCACTAGATACATTTCACTATCACCTATTGTATCCGAATTAACTAGCGGATATCATTTTGGAAATTCACCCCAGAAAACTACCAATAATGGGTGATTCATTACTACACTTTCTAATATTCTCTAACCAGTTACCAAGTACGAGATACATTGTTTAATGGCTTCAGAGGAATTCCGACCATCTCTCTGGTTACATGAGACATAAATTGTATGTTTATTTTCAGGACGTATGTTACCTGACTTCCAGGTAAAGGCATGAAAATTGTTATTGATTATCTTGTAACAACCACAGCCGTGATCAAATGATCAAGTCTTGTGAGGATGAAAGTTTGAAGACTTGAAATAAAAGAGAATGGAATAGACGGAAATAATTCCAATATATGAACGAAGAATATTCTTTTCAAGAAAATTTAATCACGTCCTACAATGATTTATCAAAATTAATAATTGAGAAAAACGGCCAGGTTTTTGGGTAAAAATACATCATGTTAAGTTAGGATTGTTTGCGAAATAGAATTAAATTGTTTATTAATAAGATGACTAATAAAAGAATGTTCACTTGGGTAAATTTACACGTTCAATGAAACTGTGACATCAGTGATCAGAATGAATATGAGTCAGATAGGGTGAGAGAAATGTGCTTACGAAATTTGATTGAATGTTCAATGGATAATTTTATATAAATTCAATATGAGATCATTTAAAGTGGGTTTAATTCTAAGTAAATTAACTGTTCATATGTTTAGGAGATTAATGGTGATATAAAACAAATACTACATTTATTCAAGTATTAATAATACATGTGAATAAATGTAACAAAGAAAATTACATTTAACCCAAAAAGGTTGAATATGCCTTAGGTCATTCTGTAGTTGACACAACTATCGATTGATTGGGCTTTAGATTGTCCTCTGTAAGATAAGGGGATGAAAATATTGCTTTTGCATATAGCTCCAGCTTTTTAATACATTCAAGTGATTATTAGCTATCTCAACATTAACAATTTTATTTTATTTCACAAACGATCCTGACTTTTTGATGGTATTTCATTCTCTAAGCTGGATATTTTTGGTTGTGAAGCTTTCATTGGTCTTCTGAACAACATCGTCAGCACAAACTTCAGATCCTAACTTTACATGCTGTAATTTTAAATAGTGTATTTTGCCTTAAACCTGATCAATTGTTGGATTATTAAATTGGATAAATAAATTTAGAATCTGATCAGAATATTCTTCGTTCGTCCATTCATGTTTTAATATGATGTGGAGATTTTAAATAGCTAACAATGAAACAGTTAAAATAAGGAAGTATGATGTGAACACAAAAATTCACTTACCTCATAAAACTACTTCATTATTTAAATAATTTGATCAAATTATGTCTTGAAAACACTATACAACCTAGAGATAATGTTACTAAACGCCATTGTAAACTAAAATATTTTTTTTTGTTTTCAAATAAAATATGTAAGTAAGTTGAAAAACTTACCTTGTTTATGGATTATAGTCTTATAAAATTTGCAACTCACTAAAAGTTCATTTAAAAAGAAATTAGATTATTTACGGTACATTTTTTGGAACATCTTTTCTTGGAATTTTGTTATTTAATAAAAAAATATGGTAATCAGCTATAAGGATTTAAATTTCATTGGATAACGTTTTATCTGATTTCAGAGTGATTTACTGTATTTATATATCAGTGGGTTCTAGAAGACTCAACTCAGCACGTTTTTTCGCAAATAACCTCAAATTCGGAATAAATAATCAACATACGATCGTATATATATATATATATATATATATATATATATATATATATATATATATATATACGTTAGCCAGTTAGCTATGCAATTGAGTGGAAACAGCTAAGATATATCTCTGATTTTTCAATACCAACTGGCATCCTAGAAACAGGCTTTTGTATGTAAATTTTTCTACTCCCCCTTCCTCTATTGTTTTGTTATCCTTTCTTATGTCTGGATGTCGTAACACTGTGAGTTTACTATTTTTAGCTTGTGCATGACGTAAACAATATTTTTTTAAAATAAATAGTCCTTACTTTGTAACACAAAAACTGATTCTATTAGTTTTTCTAAAAACTCTAACTGATTGCATGTAGACCAAGCGGTAACTACTGGAACCCGATTACGTGAATGATGTTTAAACTTCGGTTTTTCATCAACAATATTCCTTCCAGCATAGATTCACAAGAAAGAAATATGTAATCACTACTGGCTTGGTTTCCAATTAGCAATAACCGATTAAGAGACTGATGAAATAACTTCTTTTTTCTTAACTGGTTCTTGATATAATTTTGTTTGTAACTAATACTCCTACAACATAGATAAACGCTAAATATAAACTTGATGAGTGATAATAAAAATTTGTTATATGAGAGTTACAGATCCATAGTAGTTAGCCCTTTTGACAGAATTAAATTTAATTAATTTCAATCTAGTTTTCTATTGTCATAATCAAAGTGAATCAGTCTAAAGTTTCGATTTCGGTACGTAACAGAACATCTGTAACTCAGAAAGAGAATGTGTAAATCAAACTATTCGATGATACCGAAATTCAAGAAAAGCTAAACATACGCTGATCAGCTAACTTCCAAACTAACAAACATCTTTTGAACAAAACGTAATTCCTATCATTTTATCGGGTTTTTTTACTGTACATATGAATATCAGTACTTCGAGTTTGTACATATTTATCGGTTTCATATTTCCATCAGAAGTGTACTCTCGTACATTAGGTTTTATTTGTTTTATTGAAAAAAAATATTATTCATATAATACACATCCAAATCTACATAAGAAATACAAACTCTGTATAGTAATCTGTGAGTTAATGCCTATTTCTGTTTACAAAACAGCATTTTAGTATAAATGATGATTTAACAATATTATTGGTTGTAATGAAATAAATAAAAGAATGGATTAGTCTTAAATCAACAAGTTTAAATAAGATATTTCAAATCACTTCGAATGTAAAATCAAAATATTCAGTATTTACGGTCCTAACTAGACAGCAATGTTCAAATTCACCTCACATTATACAATAATTATTAAGACTTTATTACAATTGATAGATTCTGTACTATATAGGCGTGTTGTTGGAGGAATTACTAAATGAAAAAAAAATAATCTCAGAAACATTTATGACCTTTTTAGCAAGTTGAACTACAGAGACCTGATACCTAAAATATAACTGGCGACACCTGATAGACAATAGTTTATGTTAGAGTTTTTATTACTAAGGTAAATCTAATACTCAACAAATTTGTTTTATTGTTTAAAAATAGTTTTCATCTTGAATCGACATCGTTTGAAGAAGCAATGAAAATCAAAAATAGCTCTGGATATCAATTTATTATGAGACTGTTCGGATGTTTGGAATCGTAACTACACCAGCGATCAAATACAAAATCTTTGAGTCTTGATTTCCTAAGTGTATTGTGTTTATTCTAAGTTATTTTTCAATAGTCTATAATTATGACTTTTATTAGTTTGTAATATAACTCATTGACAATAACTATCTCTCTTTAGACTTGATTTATTGTGCGAACTATGAATAATCACATGCATTTACAATAAAACTAGTCACTAGTTGATGCTTAGTAATATACAAAATCTTTGATCCATAAAAATTCATTCACTTTTGTACAAGAATGAGAACACTCTCTTTAATGTCAACTAATTCTCAATGAAGCCACAGTAAATAGACCGTTTGAATAAGGCTACCCTCAAAATGAATCTTGTACTATAAAGCTCTAATTTAAAAGTTTCACTGTCAATTGATATATTTACCACTCTACTATTGAATACACTTCCTGAATTTAATGTTTCTGTTTAAATAGATAACAGACTTACGTACAAAGTGCATTTGTCTTATTTATTTTAAGACATAAAATTATGTTTTCCTTTCTGTAAATAATCTCTTATACTTAAGTTTTTGTTCATGAAACTGAACAGTTTAAGCTAATTTAACATGGTAAATATAATCAATCAATGCACTAATCGTATTCAGTTACAAATCAACATTAAAAAGAAATATGAAGGCGATAAGATACTACATAATGATACTTTATTATGAAGATTTAGTTGATTTGTGTCGATTCAAGTTTAATAAAGCATTAATTATCTATTCCCAAAAATCTTCAAATTATGCTCAAAAGTAAACTTTAGACTTTCAGATTTCATGGAAGCTATTAATATAATATATGCAAAATCTACTTCAAAAATTGTAAAAAAAAGAGTTTTTCCTGATAAGCAACCTTTCATTTGATTACTTACTTTTTCAAAAACACTTTTATTTTTTCACTAACTGGGAGCTTTATCTTGTACTCATTTGTTATTAATTTTATTTATAATTTACTTAATCACTTAAGTCACCAAGTCTCACGAGTTCTCCCAGCTGTGTTCTGATAGATGTTCTGTTAATGTTTAGCGGCAACATTACAACAAATCAGCTTCTCTGATAAATTTAGACAATTCAGTGGAAGTACTACGATGATCAGAAATATATGATGTATTAGTGAAATGAATTTCGAATAATATGATCGAATACACTACTTGTTAATATTTATATAAATGTAGACATGAAAAGTCAACAAGACAAACTTAATTCAACATTTTAGGCTTTATACAGCTGTTGGAAACATTTTATTGATGCGTACTCACTCTAACTTCTGATCAGTTTGATTTTGATTTGCTGAACTTCACTGAGAATGTTCGAAATTGAAATATCACAGCTTGTTAGCGATTGATGACAGTCTGATGAAACACATTTATTAATAGAACATTCAAGGCTGCCAAACTTGCATTGACATTCTCCAGTCGACCACCGATGTCTAACCAAACGAAGGATAAGTTACCTGAGTTGGCCTCCTCTATGTGCATTTACAAATTCAGCTGCTCCTGTGGAGATAGCTATATCGGGCGTACTTTCAGGCAACTTACCCAACGAATGAGTGAACGTCTACCAGCATGGTTTACGAAGGGTCAGTCAAAAACAATACGAAGTTCTATCTTAGCACACCTGGTAGACAGTGGTCACATTGTAGATAAATTTAGATCTTTTCGGGTGATCTATCGTATACCTTCATCATTTCCCAACGGAGTTCGATCCCGTCTCCTACACATAGCAGAAGCCATAGGAATACGTACATTCAACCAGAAACACATTATCATTCATTCCATTCTAATCAAACTATTCAGTATCGTATTTTTAACGAATTTCAACATAAATTATCAACAAAATTTTATTTTTCTTCAGAAATACCAATAGGAATCGTTAAAACTCCTAGACGATTGACCTTTAAACTTTAAAAAATAATAAATCCAACTGTAAAAAAAATTTCCAATAAGAAAAGATAATAGTACGGGTAACAATTAAAAAGTATACTAAATAACAGTACATTTTAAAAATATGGTGAACTCAAAGCACTTCTACGGTTTTTTACCTTTAGGATGGCCTTTTGGAGCAACTGCTGAAACTTGCGATAATCCGTAACAAACAATAATACTAAAAATAATTGATAAAGCAAAATCAAGAATTTGGTTCATTTTTATGAAGTGTAATTTCAATGTTATATAATTTAAATGAAATTTATTTATTTATCCATAAAAATGAAAATCGCAGTAAAATTATGATTATTCAAGTCTGTATTTCTTCTCTGTCTGTCTATCTGCAACAAAATAGCTTTTCTAATTTTTCACAATCCTATTTATGCATAAATTTCTGGGGAAAAACTATATTGATCTAATTCATTGAATTTTAACTGGACAAGAAAGTTTGCCAGACATGCGCAAAACTGATAGGATGTACAGTAGGATGACTAGATAAAATTCTGAAGTATGTGACCAAAAGGTATTATCCTTTTTATTTCGAATTCTAGACGGTTCCCTAATCTTTATTGCAAAAAATAAATCATTTAAAGTATGAGAACGAAAACTTATGCAAACTATTATTTTCTATTCAAACATTATTCCGGTTCCGTAAGTGTTAAAACATGCATTTACGTCTAAAATTTGATAACAAAGTGCAGTACAGCAATATAAATAAATCATTCCTTAATGGTCCAGTAGATTTTACATTTCCTTGAAACTGCCATAATACTACTGACTGGTATTTATTCTCACCGTGTTCTTAAGTAGGCATAAATTTTATTGATCATGTATGATGTTCTCAATTGGTTTTGTACAAGTTACACTAACATACAGATGAATTCCTACTGCTTATCTTCATTTTTGACTCAAAGTAAGAGCACACTTGAAAGAATTGAATAAGATGGCATACTGATGATAGTTTTCCACCACAGATTAGTTAAAATCATTTGATTACAATCTGTATAAGACCTTAGAGATAGCACTACGATACTGTATCCAATTTTGTTCACATGCACACTGCCGTCTTTTATCTATCAATGTACATGTTACTTAAACACTTTCTTCAGACAAACGATTTCCGTTAGTCACATCACCTCTTGAAAGTTCACATATATGAACAGTTTTTTAATGATAACTTAATTATCCTGAGTTACATTTATTCAATATTAATTTGGAAGAAATGTTTTCTTGTTTGAGATTTCTCATGTTGTCGAAACGCACTACGAGTGTGCTTGTTAAATTTGTATAGAGCAGTCTAAGTCTTTTAATAATTTGATTCCTGTTGGCATGATATTATGTTGAGCTTGAAAAACGATAACTTTATTCATTTCCTCATTCACTGGTCACAGAATTGAGCTCACAAAGTCGAGGCTTGAATTCTGTCCGCACACATATCCACTTGACTGAAAATTTCTATGATGGTTTCATGTTATTAGCAATACTGATGATTGGTTTTATTGTTGCTTACTAAGCATATTTATATTCAAACTAAATAAAATAGTACATGCGTAAACTGAATGTAAATATTTTCAATAATTTTAGAATAATAGATAAACCATAGATAAACCACTTCTATTGTCTCCTTAGATAAACTCTCATAAGCAATCAGTTCTGTAAGCAAGTTTTTGATATTGCATAGGTGTGGAATCCAAGGCTGATGTTTGCGTCCTTGTGTCGATATTCACACCGATGCCCAACATTGGGATCCAGCTGATGAATCTCAAATAGGATAGTAAATGGGTCCTATGTTCCGCTACAAGCCGCTGTCAAAAACTCTGATTTACAATACTTGTGAGTTAATGGAACTATCGAGGAGATCCTTAAGGGATCAAAAGGAATGCTAGATTAAGGATCATAACATTAACAGCAAGGTGATTCAAACTCTTGCTGAAGAAACTATAATCTATTTTTGCTATAATTATGACGAAGTTAGTCATTTTTATTGTAAATATTATGAACTTTAGTTTAAACTCTTAAATAATCAATGATCTAAGTGATGTCTTCAGAAAACACAATATATGCATAATTAGATTAAATTTTTGAAAATATCATGCATAGCTTAGTCTTAAAATAACAATCAGACAACCTTGTAATATATTTAGAACAACGGCATATGATAATATTAAACTAATTATTCAAAATGTTCTTTTCTCAGGCCTATAAATATTAATGAAGATGTAAGAAAAATCATTTATGATCGACTAGCCGTATGCAATCAATAATAAAAAATTTAGGTCGAATGAAACGACATTCATTCTAGCCGTATGCAATCAATAATAAAAAATTTAGGTCGAATGAAACGACATTCATTATCAGTAACAATCAGTGAAGTGAAGAAATACTGATATAAAGATTATTTGTTTATTAGACGTATAAACAGTCAAAACAAGGCCATACAAAGCATAATTTTAGCAATTTCAGTAGTGTAGAACATTAAATAGTTCTTCCTCATGGTATGAGACATTTATTCATTTTTCAGTGATGAAATTCAAAAAGAGATTAGGTTTTCCTCGTAATTTTCAAGCTGCCCGAGTTATCATCCAACGGTTTAGACCGAAATAGTATTATATTTTACATAATTATGCGTGTTATATCTAACCTCTGAAATTGCATTTTGATCTCTCAGAAACACTCTAAATCCTAGTATATTTGAAGCAGATGACTCATAAATTGATTATTCTTTTTCGTGTCAGCCTAGTATACCAAAGTTAAAATATAAAAATATGTATCGTTTGATAACGAAATGATCCACACAAAAAATGAGCTATTTATTCATGACACTGTGTAGTAGAGTACTATATTGTTTCCATGCATTTTAATACTGCTATCAAATACTGAAATCTTGGTTATTTATCATGATGCTTTGTTGATTGTGAAACAGGATAACACTAAATGTATCAATGTAAAAATAGCCAGACATTTAGAGTATTTCTATTCTACGTGTCACTAAAAAATCAAATGTTTCGTATACTTTTAATCAATAAGATACTGTATTTGCACTATATTTAAATCAAATGAAATATAACTTCTTCATAATGTTTAAAAAATTATACTTCTGGTGATGACTGACAATCTATTTTATAGAAATGACTATCAGAATGTCATGTGTGCTTAAATCAATTACCAATATTATAACTACCAATCTATATGTTAGCTTTAAATGAATAGTTAGCTCAAATAAAGATAATTTGATTAAAAGGTAATAATAAACTGAGTAGCAGATTGTCAAACAAAACATTCGATTTACTTAAAGTCCAGTTACCGGGTTTAATACGGATATCATATTCCTTCTCAATGTTTTACATGTAACAACATTTTCCACATATAATTTAATAAATAAATCTTCTTAGTTGATTCATTATATTTGTTATTTTGACACTTTCAAGGAAGAAACTAAATAAGTTTGAGTGGTGGCGTTCAATTCAAAATAGGGCTCATCACTCTGGCTTTAGTTTGAGTGAACGGTCCAGTATGCAATTAAAATAATCTTTTCAGTTTCCGTTTATCATACTTAGGTGAATCCTGTTCGGGAATCGGCGTTTATAAGAAGCTAAAACGGATTCCGTTGGATGACTTTATTTCATGCATTCATTTAGGCAGATAGACATGAGAATCAAACGCGTACAAGCAAGGTGAAATGAAATAAGAAAAGCGGGCGAACCAATTCAACGTAATGAGGCATGAATAAGTAAAAATAGTCACACATATAATAAGCGTAGTTAGTAAAGGACATACACACAAGTATAAATAACAACTAAGGGTACTAGCCAATAATCGATAAACTCGAGAGACGTGTAAATAACTGAAGGAGAATGGATTTAGTAAATTGTCCAAAGGCCCAGATAAGCCCTGTTGGCTGGACACAAAATAACACACACCATAAAGTACTTTTAATCTGTGGTTAGTCATAAAATGTCTAACGCCTTTTTACTTGTGATTATCACTGAATATGATGTTTACAATAAACGACTTCTAGGTTGATTTGTCTCAGGAAATTACATCATCACTACCCACTAATCTATCGCGGTACTTCGTAATTGATTTGTATAACAACTGATCAGCGTGTTGAGTCTAATACAGATGTGAAGGCGCAGATCGGCAAAGCAATGGCTGCATTTCTACAATTGAAAAAAATCTTGAACTCAAAGCAACTATCAACCAACATCAGAGTCAGAATTTTCAATACAAATGTCAAGACACTTCTACACTATGGAGCGGAAACTTGGAGAGCTACCAAAGCCATCATCCAGAAGATACAAGTGTCCATTAACATTTGTCTACGCAAAACACATCGCATCTGTTGGCCGAACACTAGCAGCAACAAACTACTGCGGGAGATAACAAACCAGATTTTAGTAGAGTAAGAAATCAGGAAGAACCTCTGAAAGTGGATGGGACACATATTGATGAAAGCACCCAACTGAGTCACACCTGGAATACTAAAGGCTGAAGAGAAAGAGGAAGGCTATAGAACACATTACGCTGAGAACTGGAGACAGACATGAGAAGAATGAATAACCATAGGACAGAACTAGAAAGAAAGGCCAAGGAAAGAGTATGGTGGAGAATGCTGGTCAGCAGTCTATGCGCCATTTGGGGCTAAAAGGCAAATGGAAGTAAATAAGTAAGTATAACAATCTGGTTGTTTTGATACTTTTTGATTTCTTCGCATCGTCATAACACCAAGAAAAATAAATATTGCTATCAAGTTCTAGAAGAAGTAATTCTTGAATTTTTTAAAAACTAATAATTTCTTTTACATACGAAAGACTTTCTTATGTGTGATAGCAAAAACCTGATGAAGTAGTTGTCTTAGGAATTTCATCTTTTAATATTAACAAAAATTACATACCCAAGAGTAATCTGTCAAGCTGGAATAAAATCAAGTAAATTTGATATCAATTAAACATTTAAACAAAAAAGGCTAGGTTGACATCTGACACAGATATGATATTGGCAACTATTTTTTATTAAGGACTTATCTGTACATTGCATCATATAACTAAACTTATTGTACTAAACATTACTAAACCCTAATCAATAGTCTTTACCATATTTGTATGATGTTTCATTTCATGCTAAAGATAAATTTAAGTACAGACATAGTCAAATGTACTTGGAAGTAACTAATTTGTTTATATCATTAAGGGCTTTCAAATATGAATTACTTCATCTGCCCACTTCATACACATTTCACATGATATATTTTCCTTACTTTCCCTATTTTTTATGCTGTTTTTTCGAAGTTACGAGAAGTCTGTGTTCTTTCAATTCCCTTGATACTAAAACGGAATGAGATTTTGCTCAAAGCGAAGGACAAGCTTCATAAATACTCTATATGCATATTTCAAACTATTTTTCGCAATAATAGTTGTACAGTAACATTGTCATTTACTTATTTCCTATGTTTGTGTAAAACAATATTTTTAATTTTGAAACAAAGTCATTAAATCAATCAATGTTCATTTAGTTGTGGATTTATTACTTTAAGTTTATGGAGAATTTTAATTTTTAGCTAACTTCTTAATTCACAGTTTTTATTTTAAGCTGGTTAACACTAACCATTGGTACTAACTTCGTGTCTCTTGAAAGCTTAAATGAACCAAACATCCTTTGATTTATTACAGTGCTAATATTGTTGTCTATATTTGACGAAACATAAACCCCCAGAACTGGTTGAAACATACTCCACTGTTCATGAGAAAACCAGAGAAAAAAAACAGGGAAGAACTTGAAGTCATGTATTGTATTGTGTTTGATTAAAGATACATCCGGCAAACGGAACACAACACTTATCGATAAGCGAAAGCGTGGTATCTCTATCGTGAAACTCCTTAAAACCTTCCAACTGAGAACTTTCTGATTTGATTTATACAGAAAAGCAACTAGAAGTCATAGGTAGCTAGTAAACTAGAGACATTTTGCTTACAAAAGTAGCTTATGATTTACAAAAATGTAGCCTCAATTTATCAGAAGACTGATGTGATTAACAATGATTCTGCAAATGGACTAAGGTCACTTCTACAGAACCCTGTTAATTTAAATAAGAAATACATATAAATACTATACTGTAATCTGTCTTGTCATATACCACGTGAATAAAATCTCATGCTTTTACAACACTAGTATAGACTTTCTTCATTTCTTTTCCGCCTTTTAAACAGAAAATAAATGTGTGTTTATCTACATAACCAACTTTAAAGCACCGATTGTTAAAGTGAGTTCTAATCAGAAGAAGGCTGATATCTGTTTGCGCTATGTAGTTTAAGTATATGGTGAGGTCAATAAATTTCTGAACATAACACAGATTAATTAAAAAAACCTCCAGTCTACTGATATTTCATAGCTTGCTTGGTAACCGTATAGTCAATTATAATTTCAAAGCCAATGTAAACTGAAGCTCTCTAAAACTGTTTCTGTTATTTTCTGTAAAGTATTTCGATGGTACAGTCACTTATTAGCATGAGAGACTTTCGTACGATCAATTAGAACTGTAAAGAAAAGCTAGATCTTTCAAATTCAGAAGAACCAAATCAAACTGGAAAAAGATGACAACATAGAACAAATTATCCAACTTATGTTAATTATTTTCCCTACTTACTCATATAATTTATCACGAAATGATAATCTGACTAAATTTCTGCAAAATAAAAGTACTGTTTTACTCAGTTGTGAAGTGGTGTAGATATTCATTCATCTAATATTTGCTTTCTTAAAAGTACATCTTTTTCTTTCACTAAGTACACATAACGTTTTACTATGTATATAATCATATATATATAATCATTTGTGATCTCGTAACAAAGTCTAAAATTTAATCACACATTCTATGTTAGATTAGCATATGTACAAGAGCAGTAATTAATACCTCTTAGTAACAGGAAAAGTGATGTTTTCCAGCAGTCTTACGCATAATTCTGATGAATAAGAATTACGAAGTTGAATACTTTATAAGTTGATCAGCACGTCATATATGTGTATACAGAAGCTCTCCGATATCTTCAGTGATACTAACTGCTTGCTTAAAACAGAAAACACTAATAGATCAAATGAATATACAGAGAGGGGAGTTTAACTAGCTTCACACAATTTTAATGATTGATCATTTTTCTCATGACTGTGTAAATGAAAGAACTAAAAGGAATGATGAATGATCTTGTAACTTTAAACTCAACCTATTTATAAACACCATCTAATATGACAAAAAGTAAACAGGTCAATCAATAAAGATCTCATGCCGTCTATTCAAATATCACATCTTAAGTAAGTTTTCAAGCTGCATACAATAATATTCATTTTAAATAAGGAAAATCACAATAAGTTAACATTGGTTGGCTTAGCTTAATCCATTTAAAGTTCAGTTCACTAGAAACTCATATCGCGATGCTTTAAGTTCGCTTATTTTGTTCCTTTGTACGATGAATTTGTTACGAACTATCCAGTTTTTGAATTTCTTATCATGATTTATCAATATTACTAGCAAGTTATTCATTTGCAATAGTATTAATGAAACTTTTTTATACAGTTAACAGTTTTATTTATATTTAGTAAACAAAGAACATATATTTAGCCATACTACTATTTACATGTATATTACCAGTAGTGTTTGTCTAAATTATAACCGATTCTGAAATCTCTACATTAGAATTCGTAGCCTTAACTAAATTAATCGATCACATTATATGGCGTGTACACTTGTTATAAAACAGAATTCAACAATATATAACTGAAAAAGTAGTATGTGAACTTCTTCATTTGATCTATATATGATTGATTCAGTTCAAATGTCTTCATTATGATGAAGAGAGCTAGCAAACTTTCGACTTCTTTTAAGAAAATTGAAATATTTAATCGTTCACATATTTCACCAATCCTAAAAGTCTCTCAGTTTGAAGTAAAATGATTTCAAAGTTTCACTCTCCAATGAATGTTTGTGATCTCCCAAATATTAAGTGTATATTTTTAAATAATCTGTAACGCACACTACAAATACCTTCTTACTTTCATAGTCTGAAAACCTTATCATGTCAATATATTAAATATTCTTCGAAGTAATACTACCAAATTCAAGGAAATGAATATAATAATAAGCGAAATACTATGTTGTTTAAAGAACATCATAAAAAGAAATTGATTTTTGTGTGTGTACATTTTAATATGAAATTTTCTTTGATGTTAACGAGAGAAATAGTGAAATCGGAAGTACTTTTACTTCGTATTATAAGTTTAATCATAAATATGAAAAACAATCAATATTGTGTGATGAATTAATCAAGAATATCCTTTAGAAAAATCTACTAAACCTATGAGGAAAGTTATAATGAATAACTGTAACTTCATCAAATCCTTTATTCTACTAATAAGATTAAAGGCTATAGTTAAACAGGATAATTATTTATAATTAACAAATAAGTTTATCGTTTCACAGTAAGAATAACAACACAGATTAAAATATAACATTAAAAAAAAAACAGTTGTTTGTGTATTTCAGAATGAAATTGGTTCATTTTGTGATACATCCCTACAATGATAAGACTGACTAAGAAACAATTCACTAGAATACATATATCAAATGCCTTATTGTAAAATTGTATGGAGTCTTAGTGAAATTTATACACAAATGAAATGCATAACAGCCTGTAATGAACAGCAAAACTGAAAGTTGTTTTGATACAGTTTTACAAATAGAAGGAGAACTATTTGCAAAACAACAACTAGATCCAATTGAATCTATAGGAAAGTAATCATTTTAATCTAAGTTACCCTTAATGAGAAGGGATCATTCAAAAGTTATAAACAATATACCTCCTTTATGTTTATAATTTGTTCGTAAAATACAATTATGCGTCAAAGAAATAAATTATGAATAATTAACAAGGACGAAACACAATTTTTATTTTTGCTAGCCAAGAGACCTAGAAAATAAAAATAAATTGACTAATTATGTCTAATTCATTTTCATGCAATGTTTCCTTTTTGAGCAAAAACTCCTTCATAGGCATCACCTGATGCAGTGGATATTTTTAATCATCTCGAAATGCTGGTGGAACTTCTGGTTCTGTACTTCGTGGTACTGAAACAACTACCGCAATCACAATGGTGGTAATATAAATAAAGAAAAACAAACGATCTAAGACAATTGCCAAAGTGCGCCATTCCATAGCCACTAAACTTTTACGAGCTGTTTCCTTTTGTCGATTAACTAACATTTTGACGTATTTTTTCAACTCTCTCACATCACGTTCCAGTGTAGTCGTTGAACTTAAAACTGTTGGTGATTCATCGTGATTAGCTGTGTTATCTGGCTCATTTTGTGATGATTTTCTTGCACTTCCGAGTATTTGAGATACATTATTAATCGGTGTAGCCATTGCATAAGAATCGAACTGACCGGGACATCTTGGGATAGAACAATGTTCATTTGGAGTAAACCAATTACTAACAGCTTCTCCTAATTGCTCTTCTCCGTACAAAAAATTACTACCAACCATATTGCATTGTTGAAATTTTCCAACTCCAAAATGCCTAGTACGTTCATTCTGACAGCATATTTCTTCAGTTGTTGGCATTTTATTAGGTGACATACTTGGAATTTGAATCTTTTTGTGAGGTTTTATTATTGCAGGTCTAATTGGTTTTTTCATTTCTGGTAGAGGAATTCGCTGTCGTACCAATGTAAGTCGTCCAATACCTTCAATAATAATCTAAGAAATGAAAAAAAAAAGTAATATACTCAACCAACTAGCTGCCACATTCGACTCCAGTTCGTATCAGTATCTAGATTATTAGGAGCATTCACACGTTGTTCTTGGTGACTCAATTTACCAAGGACAGATTGTGGTAATGTGATTTAAATCAAAATGTCACAATTACTAAATGTCGATGAACACCTAAAGTGCAAAATATGTAATGGTGTCAAATACACTCAAACTTAGTAGCGTTTCATTGAGATTTATCCTAGACTTTTAATTCGTATTCATAGATTGTTGTGACTAATGACTCAGTAAGTTGCATAGTTGTGCTAAGCCTATATAACATGAATATTATTTTTTGTTGCTCTACCTTTTCAATAAACAAATTTCGCATACTTGATATCAACAAGATGATAAAATGCTAAGCTGTTTATTAAGCTAGTTAAAAATCGAAATGACTTAGGCAACTAACTAAAGTAAGACAACAAACTAAACTAAAGTTCAGTCAATGGATGATTTGATGATAATAATAATTATTATTATTATAATCACATATACATGTGTATAGTTTCAATCATCTTAATGGCTTCATTTCATGTTAACAAATTACACAGTAGTTTTATTTGATTTTACTAAACTATTCACATAGACATTAAAGAGGAAAATTATATTTGTAACAATCTAAAAATACAATGTACCCGTTTAATGTCTGACACTAACTCGACATCTAACTATTCGTTTGTAATTTTAGACGGAATTATTTATAAAATAATTGCAAAGACACTTACTCTTCTCAAAATATATGGAACTGATCCATTGCGATCACCTCGGAAATAAAGATGAATGACCAAAGTTGCCAAAAACGTAGACAACGTAATCATAATCATATTCAAACAAAAATACACTCCTAAAAATGTAGAAATATTGGTCAAAGAATCTCTTTGTTAAATGGAATAAACTTCTTCAAACTTGTTCGAAAATTTGTAATGGTTAAGCAAAATAGTAACTGTATTCAGATCATTTCGGAAAGTAGATCATCCTTTTAAAATATTAATAGATGGTTCTTAGACAACACAAACACTTAAAAACAATCACCACTAAGATATTTATGCAGTATGTGTTGTTACTGAATGAGTGTAAGTATCAGTAATAATATCATCTGAAAATAATCTATCAGTTTATTAAACACCGAAGTAACAATACAATATGATATAACCAATCATTTATTCACTGACTACTTACTATATATAAATAATTAATAAACTATGATCTTTTTTAATAACAACATTTTATTAAGTAATTTTATCGAAAAAGAATGAATAAATGAATAAACATTACCAATCAATGGGAAATTTTTCACAGCACTAGGTGTTGATTCAGCCAATAGTAGGAGCAAAACGAAGAATGCAACAAATATGTTCATACCTAAATGAATAAACCGAAATATTTACCGATATGTATAATGAGATTAGGCTTGTTAAATTTAAAGAATTCATGGTGAAAAAAATGTTCTGAGAAACACTTATAGATTTATTTGTAATTGTTACTATTTCATAAAATTTATTCATAGTAAAATAATATCTTAGTCTAAATAAAGAATCTAATCAAGGTAGATTGGCAAAAAACTAATGCTTAATTCATTAGTGAAAGTGAATGACAAATTGATGTCGGAATACACAGATTCGGGGAATATTTGATTAACGACTAAAACGATTTGATATTTTGGGATGCACCATAGGTTTTTGAAAAAGAAACAATGGCACCATACTCATGTCAAAGGAAGAATGATAGCAACCTTTATTCATTCATTATTCAAATATTTTGTCGGTATTATAAGTAAGGAATTTGTTTCATTCACCGTTTGACATTTTAGTAAAAGCTCTAAATTATCTAAAAAATGAAAGCACTTGGTACTCGGACTAATTAAAATAGGTAACGAAAAGTAAATAACACTCACGTCATAATATCAGTAAAACAGTATAAAATTATTATTCTTACCAAGCATCATTTTTGCTGGAGATTCTGGAGGCAACCAAAATACAACCAACGTCAAAGATGATAACAGAACACATGGAATCACTAACATGAATACATAAAAACTCGGATTTCGTCTCAAACGTATCAAATATCGTAACACTGGATATTCTCTTGTGATCACTTCGTTACCAACAGTTTGACTTCGACGTCGATGTTTCTTAACTGATCGAATCTGTATAGTACGATTGACATGATGTACTTCTCGTTCTTTCTCTCCATCGGTACGCCATTCATTACTTGGTACGTAATCGGAAAAGTCTAAGTATGGCATTTCTTCTATGGGAGGTGAATCTGGAATCCACCACAGTATATCCATTTGTGTCTTATCGTACGTCCAAGATCCGAATTCCAGCATACATATCTATAAAATAATGCACATTCATTGGACCAATACAACAATTTAATGCAAATTTCTTTAAAATTTAAAGAATTCTAAATTGTAATTGAAAAGTAATGTTTGATTTCTGTTTCTAAAAAACAAACTAAGTTGACAATCACGATAATAATACATTACGATTTAATTCTAAAATATTCTGTAAACGACTGTAACCCAAAAGATCGGTTCAGTCTGGCGTCAAAAAGTAACTTATCAATGCTTCTTAGAATATGAAGTGATTAGGACCTGAAATGTGAATTGTATCGCTTCAATCCAGGTTTTCATTCACATCATGCTCAACGTGATATGAAATTCATAGATTGAATCCCATCTGGGTTTCGCTTGCTCAAAATTACGAAGTTTAAACATGCTTACACATATATTACTATAAACTGTAAGCTATCACCTGAAAGTTCAAAGTCGAAAATTAATACTTCACTTATCTAACACTTGAAATTAAATACTATAAGTGGTTCCTCAAATTTAAACTTTATTCTTTAACAATTGACATTCTCTTCTACTTGTTAATTGTCCAAACCTAAAAATAGGCTGAATTTCACAATATTTACTGCTCATCTATAAATCAGTTTCGTATAAAATTTGCCGAAAATATTTCACGAAAACTAATTTTTAGTAAAAAAAAAGTATATAGTTTAAAGGAAATAATATTACTAAGTGACTGGTTACGATCACCCCCGCCACTGAACAACATTCACTAAATATATATTTGAGATCACTTGGTCAAAAATATTGAAAGAAATTATCTAATTATAAAATACAAGTTATACTAATATAAAATTAGAATTACTTGTGTATCAAATGGAAAATATGTGATTTCGACTTCACATGTACTTTTAAACAGTGCTTGTGGAACCCATAACATTTCGCCGTTACTCGATACCACAACACGAGCATCTCTGTGTTCTCGTAAGCGTTCATCAGCACTAGAATAAAAATTGTTTTGAAATATATTATTAACTATTAGTAAACTGAAATTAGCAATCAAATAACTATCATAAATACTGACAGGATAACATGATCAGATTAAAATTCCTTAGTTTAAAGCGCTTACTATTTAAAAACTGTTTTATCAACTGAGTATCACATATTGTCTAAAGACTTATCTAATGAAGTTCAAAATAGGAAATTAAAACTTGATCTGGTGCTTCAAAAATAGTAGAGTTTTCCAACCATATGATCACTTGATGAGGATTCATGCTCAGGAAAATTGGCAAAAACTTTGTCAAAACAAATACTTTTAAAATGTATGAGTTTGAAAAATGGTAGTTTCATCTAAACAGATTTGTTGATAACATTTGTCCTTCCGAATCTTATAATTAGTATTATTTGACATTTTGTAAAACGTTTCTTGAATGAGGAAATCCTTTCTCAGGAAAATAAATCAGAAGTATGCTTTCACGATGAGCTTACATTCAACAGATAGAGATAAAATTCTTGCACTAAGCGCACTCTAAAAAACAAAAATGAAGTTCAGTACATAGTCAAAAGGCTCTTATGACACATAAGATATACTTTATATTTCATTCTTTGAATACAAACTAACACAACAACGAGACATCAATAAATGTAAAAAAAATTAACAAGCGGACCGACCGCAGCTACTACCTTGACGTGGTGGTCGGGCTTGCCTATCGTGGTGACCCAACCAAGCTATATTGGATGGGACATTTGTTCCTGTAAGTTTTACTATGCTAGACAGGTCGATGGGACAACGATGAGACTAAAAACAGTAACTCAAGGTCTGAGGGACCGACCTTTTTCTGAACAGGACAACAAGCCTCCTTAGTTAGTACGTTAGAGTCTTACACCGTTGATCTATGCTGCATCTCCAAAAAGCTCATTCAAGAACCAAGTAGAGTCATTCATTTGACTTCACCTTGTCCAAATAAAAAACCAGCTCGGTTTTCTGTCCGTGTGTCTGGAAGCCTCACTACTGCTCCCCATAGCTTGGCTGGCGTTATTGCACTAAGTTCTCAAGCTTGACTAGCTCTCTTAGACTGGATCCTAGTAAATAGTCGCTTGTGCGCTGTCCGACTAAACGTGATAGTAAGGACTCGGAAAGACAGGGACACTCACTGTTGCCTATTCGTTGTCTATGCCTACGATCCTACTGACTGCAGCTCAGATGAGGTCAAATATGAGTTTTACGTGAACTCTCCAACCTTCTTCAAAAGATTAAGCGCTCTGATGTAGTAATAGTGGTGAGCGATAACAGACAGCCATTCGGACTTATCAAGGAAACTGGTTTTTAGAAATCAGTTTGTAAGAAAGACCATAACCAAAAAAGATGGGTGAATTCTTATTTTCAATCCAGAAAATCCCATCGATAGGCAGAAAATTTTACTGAGCAGTTCAATTGGCCTTGAGCCACACTTCGGTTACCCACAATCTCCAGTCCACATGATTGGCAAGTTGATATTAGTCCTCCAACTCTTAACGAGGTTCAAAGGGCTACAGAAAATCTAAGGCAAGGGAGATCAGTGAGCCCTAATGGGTCCACTGCTGAGAGTCTTTTAGAATGATGGTCCAGTTATAGCAGAGAAATTGACCGGGATCTAGAGTACAATGGTGGAACTGGACGTGATCCAATCCAACTGATCTCAAACACTGACTGACCCAGTCTACAAAAAATGACAAAAGTTCTCTTGTGACAATCACAGAGTTATTAGTTTAACTAACAGAGTGTTCAAAATGATAGCATCGATAATACTTAGGCCCATAACTTGTGAAGAGCAGACTAGAGAAAATCAGACTGGTTTTCAACCTGGACGCGGATGTATTTATACTTTGTCAGGCTTTAGAACATAGACACACTTTCAGACGTCACACAATAGTCGTACTTCTCGACCTTAAGGCGGCATTTGACTCTATTGATCGTGAGGTTCTATGGCCGTGTCTGTCATGGAAAGGACTACCAGAGATGTATGTTAAACGTATACAAGCTCTCTACTCGAACACTTGAGGTCGAGTTAGAGTTTATGGCGAACTGTAATCGGAATCAATTTCTTCAAGTGGTGTTCGTCAGGAATGTCCACTTTCTCCATTTTTGTTTAACTTCATCATTGACCTGCTTTCAGAGACGACACTTTCATCGTCTGACTTTTCAGGAGTTGAACTTTTACCGGGAGATTCGCTTGTTGACTTAGGATATATCTATGATGGTCCCATTTGGTGAAGAGGATGACAAAAGGCAGTCTTCTGACTACCCTAGGCGACATTACAAGCATGTTTGGTATGCGGTTTTCCCCTGTCGAAATGCAAAATGTTGCTTCAGGATTGGCTTGCATTGGAACCTGAACTGGTGATAGGGAGTGAAGTAGTTTGGGCGTGTTGAGCACTTCACTTATCTCAGTAATCTCATTAATGCTAATGGCCTGGTGTCTGATGAAATCGCAGCACGGATACAGAAGGCACTACTGGCTTTTGCCAACTTCCGTCACTTATGACATAGGCGAGATATATCCGTCTGCTAACTAAAGGACGAGTGTACTGAGCAGCAGTTTGCTCTAATACCATTCACTCTACAGGTGTGAAACATGTCCTGTAAGAGTAGAGGACATTCGTAGGTACTAGTATTTGATCACAGGCGTCTTCGAAGCAATGATCGTAAATCCTGGGTCAACCGAGCAGACAAAGCTCTCGTTAGTCAACGATTACTAGTTAAGGATGGCAAATCAATAAATGAAGTAGTGAAACTTCATCAGTCGAGGTGGTTGGAAGTTGTGTTACGTATGCCTACCCACCGACTGCCTCGACGAGCTATGTTTTGTGGTGTAGGAGTATGTTTGAAGAAATCTAGGGGCAGCCAAACCAAAACATAGCACAAGTCCATGAAGTTACTGACGGCTGGATCGGTAAGTGTAGACTACCTGGTTAGGATAAGCGAGATGATAGTAATCGATGGTTAAACACCTTGAATGACATTGCTCAAAATAGTGCATGAAGTGGTCAATAAAGCTAAATAAAAACATAGGATAGTCATTTACCGAACGACTATCAAAATCAGTTTCAGAATATACAATCACTCATTTAATCAAAAAATAATCGTTATTCATGTGAAAATTTACCATATCATTTTAAAATCATTAAATCAAAATTATAAATCAGAGTACAAGTATAAACCATTGTCAATCAATAAATTTAGAAAATCATTTTTCAACTTAATTCATAGTAATTTACGAGTGATTTTCTATTGACAATGCTATATGATATACGTAACATATGTTCAATAGTTAAAATGTATAACACCAAAAATGTCGACTTAAAATAACTGAATTAATTGTGCTTCACTAGAAATATAAACCATTCAAAAACTAAACAACGCTATTCATCTTAACAATTTTGTGAAGTGAAATCTACAATTTTTTTGTAGGAGTTTATTTGATCATAACAATTGAATCATTTTAACTTATTGATTCTATACTCAATGCTTTCTCTCCACCTACTGTTTTAATGAAAAAAAAATCAATTAGTGTGCTTACAAATTGTACAGCTTAATGTCTGGTGTCCAAATCTGTGAAGGAAATATTCGAACTGTTTTAATATTTCCATAATCACTTTCATTCCAACGAAGAAGTGAATCTGTCCATTTCTAAAAAAAAGAATAATTAGTATTAAGATTATTATCATTCTAGCACTGCAAATAACCTAACAATGAAAGTGAATGATTATTAATTTGAACAGATGAAGATCTATAATCATTACACTAGAATAAAAAAACAAACTTTCAAGGAAGAGAGAGTACTGTGCTTCTGTTGTAACCGGCCCTACCTCGATAGTCGTCAATTTTCCAATAGTTTAAGTGTATTTGAAAATATATAAGTGACAGCAATAATATCATGCTGAAATGGATTTTCACTTTCCATTCGACCTATAAGGTGAGCTTAAATTATTTTAATGGAACATAGTATAGTATAACATAACATAGTATACTATAACCTCTGGTAAAAGGTGTTACAGATCAAATTGTATTTGCTTTCTAAGTAAATTAAGGGACGAAGGTGCGCTCATTCATTTGCACTAACTAAACGGATCTGCTCAAGAATAAAACTTCAGATTTAGCAAAGAAGGATGAGTTTTCAAGGCTATATAAAGATTTTAGATCACAGTTTAATCTGTTTACGAATACACTTTCTTCTGAATCTAATGTAACTAAAAAGACCGACTACGTAAATAATTCAGAGCTAAGTGACTCAGATTTAGATTAACGTGGCTATTTCACCTCGATGTTTTGTGGAGAAACTTTTAAAAAGTAAAATTCCATTTTGATTTAATATTTATGGATTTTCTGGATTCCCTGTTTTCGAACATTCATGACAGAATTGCAATATCGTTTTGTACACTCGTGACAAAAATATCTTAATTTCATATTTACTACTACAAGTAGTATAAAACATTTCGCATAATTTTAACGAAGATTTTCATTATATGGAGGAAAGGTCAAATATATGCTTATATATTATTAATGTGTTTGATAAGAAGTTGAAAGAATTTCGCTAAATATCAGCAAGACTCAATTTAATAAGTTAATGTTTGGTGTTATCTTGAACAACAGAATTCCTAAAGAAACTAATTCAAATAGGCTCTGAAATCTGATAATTATTTCACATGTGACTTACATACATTGACCAACAGTTGGTTCGTAAAATTTGTTTATTCTCATCTAAATCCAAAATTTGGAAAAGTTGTAACCCATAACGAACATCAACTTTGATTTTACTATCATTCACTGGTCGTCCAATTACACCAAATTGTTCATAACGATTTAGTAACATTCTTATCAGATTTTTTTCCACTGATTTCGTTTTCATCTCTGGCAAATAATTTAGGAAAGTTTTTCTCGAATATCGTGAAATATAAAAAGAAATCTATTGGAAATGAAAGCGAATATGTATTGAAATGTTGTAGGTTAAAAGTCTGAGATTTTGATCAGCATGGAAAAATGCTGTTAACTGACGTATGATATTTATTCGTAATTTACATAATGATTCCAGTTACAAGGTAGTCAACATATTAATTTTTTATCTGTTCAAAAAATGGTATGTAAAATTAATTCTCGGATAAGTTTTGGAATATACTAAACCATCATGAGATAGTTTCATCCTGAATCACATAAGCAAAAAAGCAAACATTAAAATTTTACTGGAATGTTTCAGTACTTTTAACCCAAATCTTATCTTGAAAGTGTTGTATTTTTCTGCCATTATTACATTTGAAAAACGGCTTAAAATTTCTTGTGCTTATAATACCAGATGATGATAATGAATAACTCGTCAGACCAACAAGTAAATATGGATTCATACCAATATTGATTCAGTAAATCAAATCAAGGAGCGTGTAATATTAATCCTTTTATATCACGTGTCATTTACTAGCATATTCTTCAAACTGATTTGCCCAGTATACTTGATCTTGTTAATAATTAGGGTAATCGGCATGACCATTTAAATTACGATAATGACCTGTCAAAGAGGTTAGCAAGTAAAAACATTTGGAGGAATGAAGATCGTTTACAACCTACTTCCGTTACCCCCTCCACTAGTCAATAGAATAAGAAAATATTTCCACGTGGCAAAACCTAATTTTCTCCCTATCTCCAGAATTCTATCAACCCTTTCATTTAGTAACTACTAAGTAGAACTTCACTTGATGATATAGTCTTAATGAGTTCATGGTACTTACACCGACTGATAGACCAAAAGTACAACGGTCCCCTCTAAAATCCATCTATTGACTTGCTCTTCAGAAGCAGGTAATGTTCACACAGCAGACATCTCCCAGCATTGTCCCTGAAAAATAATAGTAGTTTCACATTGTTGTCCCATGAGTTGGTTACATTTCTTGCTAATTTTTTGTCTCGTCATGTTTTGCGACTTTCAGCCAATAAACAATTAAATATCGTTTCCGTTTCTATTCTCGGAAAGTTACAAACCCTCTGACCCTTAAATTAACTTATTTCACCGTTTATCTTTAATCTTTTTGTGATTAAAATTTCCAAACACTCTACGAGAATGACTTCTACTTTTTCAATCGACTACTATGTCTAACAAATAACTTTTAAAATAAATGTGCAGCTTTAATAAGTAATATCATCTTAAAGGAAATTTTCTTAGCTGAATTGCCTTTGTTAAGTTCTTCCATTCTATACAAATTTTCGTGCTCTCTTTATCTGCACATCGTATACTACTGATGATTTTTTTTAAATTATGAGATTTACGAATAAAAATACTGAATTAATACTTCCACTAAGTAGACGGAAACGTAAAAAGAATATTAAATGTTGCATTTTGAACCATGTAACACAATCATTTATAAATCTGTAAAATCGTTTACCTTTAGGATGACCTTTAGGTGCAATTCCTGAGACTTGTAATATTCCATTTGTGATAACAAACAGCAACATAAAACAGTATTTTAACTCCATTTCTCGCCAAAGTGAAGTTCTGCTCTAACTATATCTCCATTTTATCCAACTTATCTGGAATGCAAAAATATAAAGAAAAATTTAGCTTACTTTCATCTTCATTACCAATCTGTCCCAGCCAATCTGTTTATTACCACTATTTATCCATTGGAAATAAAGTTAAATCGACCCAACAGCCTATTTTTTGATTGGTCAACCAAGTATGTCTCACCATCGATTGTAGTTATTTGTGATTATAGGTTACAGATTCAGTTGGCCTACACACTATCAAGTTGTTTATCCATTAGTAAGATATCCATGTTCTTTTTAGCCTCTAAGAGATTCATGCGAGCATAAACTGCAATTACACAGTGATAGGTGAGACTGACTATATTTGGTTGCAAAACCTCTCCTGTTTTACATGGTCTTTGAATTAACAAACATACCAGTTCATTCATGATCTGAACACATGGCTCAAGTGTATTTCAGTGAGAGAAATTGAGTACGATGAATAAACTAATTTAGGTTGTCCACAAAAATTTAGTGTCAGCATAAGCTAATTGTAAATTAATGAATAGACAATAATTCCAGAACTTTAATGTTTCTTTAAGATGAGTTAATTTGCAGTACATAAGTTAACTTCGATGGAATTTTAAAATGTTACTCGTCAAGCTTTTAGAGTTTAATGTTTCGGACTATAAATCACGCGCGTTGTGTTAATGGGTAAATAGTACTAGGTAGGACCTGGGTTTTGTGTCAGCCTTTCTTTTTTCAATCACTGTAACAAATTCAGATCCTCTCAATGGACTCCAGGTTGACCTAATTTCAACTACAGAAGGATGAAAACTACAAACTTACATATTATAAGTGGCGTTTTTTCGTGTGACATCCTCATATTATTCATAATTAATTGATACAACCAACAGCAAGTAAAATTACAATACACTAAATAATACAATACTGATCTATAATCTCAATAGCTCCTGAAAATAAAGAAACATGGGTGAAACGATAGTGGAAGACTATAACAATAAAAGAAGAAGAATATATCAGTTATCGTATGTACAACCAGAAATTTAAGTTAGTTCATGAAAACAGAAAGAACATATTCCTCACTCGTCTGCCTTTCATGTATCATCTTTTTGATTAGAATGAGAATTGAGAAATCAGTATTTGATTTTTCCACTATATTTTAAAAATTCCCCATTTTCTTACTTGAAAAAAAAACAGGAAATTAAGATTCTATACTTTCTTATTAAGGTTTTCTTAATTGATACTGAGAATAGATTGGAGTTCAGATTACTTATTAGTTTGAACATGAAGCAATGGTTCAGTGCTTACCTCATTTAAGTTCCAGGTTTGAACCTGGTTCCATTAATTTCGGTTTGATAAAATCGAGCAGTATCACCGAACGACCAATACGACCAGTAATCGAGTAAACGAATTCATATCTGGTAAGTGAGTTAATAAACACAAAACAAATATTTACTATTTTGTGATAAGATAATAATTTAAGACTCATATACATTAGTGAATACTCGGATCAACTAATCATTATACATACTAAATTCTAATCTATTTTCCTCACTAACTGACTTCAGTTTTCAGTTTTATGGAAAACTATGATCAAACTACTTGGATTCAGTTTATTTTAAAGCAACCGAAATATTATTTCAACAAATATAAACATAGATTTTATCGTACAAGTTGAAGCTCAAAAATCTCACTCTAAATAATCAGCTGTTAGAAAAGATGAAGGAAATAACCTAACATAAAGAGAGTTGATTAATACAGAATAAAATTATAAATTCAAAAGAAATATAGAAAAATAAAAAAAATAAAGAAAGTAAGAAATTTCAATCAGATAAAATATGAAAATTGACCTAATTTCCATTAACTTTGTTATAGTAGTTGTGTTTCTTCTTCACCCTCTCTTACAAATTGCTCGAGGAAAATATTTCTAGAAATAAAAGGAAAAATCAATTATTTCATTACTCTTTTACTATGCCAAGTCAAATTAGGTGGAAGTATGTAGAATAATGAGGTGGGACTATTTCCATAAAGTTATTTCCAAAATAACAGTCTTAAACATACTGAACTATATCTTGATACTCCTCAGTAATAGAAAAAATTGATTCTTATCTATCTTATTATGATGATCATACAAACCGAATTCGATCTAGTGACATAGAATGCTGATAAAATGCATGATATTTAATAGATAAATTTAACTTTATCAGAGTGTCTAAGCGGTAGAAAATCTTAGTTAACGACATTCAATTTAATTCTTCGAAATTCAATGCAACTACAGTCCACATTTTTCAACGTAACTTCACTATACGTTTGTATTGTTAATAGAATATCCACTTATTATGGCTTTTGTAAAAAATGAGTCAGTTAGCTGTCATCCGTGCATGATTTTGCAGTTTAAGCCATCATAAGAATTCCGTATGATGCTAACTACTTTCTCAGGCACACCGTAGTGTCGAAGAAGCCTCCCCAGTGTTTTTCTATCCGCGCTATCGAATGCTTTCGCGTAGTCGATGAAGTTGATGTAGAGTGGTGAGTTCCATTCAATTTATTGTTCCACAATGATCCGTAATGTTGCGATTTGGTCAGTACACGATCGATCCTTACGAAATCCAGCCTGTTGATCTCGAAGTTGGGCGTCTACAAAGTCCTTCATGCCGTTTAGCAATAACCTGTTGAAATCTTTGCGTGGTACTGAGAGAAGAGTGATGCCTCTGTAGTTCTCACACTTGCTGAGATAGCCTTTCTTTGGTATTTTGATGAGGTATCCTTCTTTCCAGTGTGATGGTACTTGTTCCTCATCCCAAAACCTCTTGAAGAGAATGTGAAGTATTTTTACAGTTGCTTCCATTGCTTCTGCTGGAATGTTGTCTGGTCCTGCGGCTTAGCCACTCTTGATTTGTTTGATGAACATGCTGATCTCCTCTATTGTTGGTGGGACAAAAGTGATTGTGAGATACGTGGATGCTGCTTCGATGTTGGGTGTGTTCAGTGGAACTGGTCAATTTAGGAGTTGCTTAAAGTGTTCTACCCACCTGATTCGCTGTTCTTCAATGTTGCTGGTTACTTTGCCTTCCTTGCTATTCACTGGTCGTTCTGGATTATGATAGTTTTGAGCGAGCTTCTTTGTTGTTTCGTACAAGTTCCCTTCTCTTGCAGCCTTTTCCGCCATCATTCCTAGATCTTCCACATATTTTCGTTTGTCAGCTCTGATGCTCTTCTTCACTGCCCTGTTTACTTCTGTGTATTCAGCCTGTGCCTTAACTTTCTCTGCTCTTGTTCGGCTGACATTGATTGCTGCCCTCTTGTTCCTCCTTCCTTAAATTTTTTCAAGAGTACCAACAGAGATCCATTCCTTATGATGGTGCTTCTTTTGACCCAGGACCTCCTGACATGTTGAAGTGATTGCTTCTTAGATTCTTTTCCATTTGTTATCCAAGGTTGTTTCCTCTCCATTGAGTAGATCCTGAAAGGCCTGGAACGTGTTGCTGAGGGCTATATTGAATTCGCTGAAGAAAGACTGTATCAAACTTCTGCGATATTTTCTTCCGCGTTGTCCAGTGCTTCTTCAGTTTCAGTTTCATTTTGGCGACCATCAAGTGGTGGTCCGAGGTTATATCAGATCCTCTCTTGGTTTTCACCTCCTCCATAGTGCTTCTGAACTTTTTGTTGATACAGATATGGTCAATTTGGTTCTGAGTAGTTTGGTCCGATGAAATCCATGTAGCTTTGTGTATACGTTTGTATGGGAATACTGTGCCGCTGATGACCAGTTTGTTGAAGGCACATAGGTTTGCAAATCTCTCACCATTATCATTCCTTTCTCCCAGTCCATGTCGTCCCATGATGTCTTCATATCTGGTGTTTTCCACGCCAACCTTGGCATTCAGGTCTCCCATAAGAATCGTCAAATCCTTTGGTGAACATTTATCGACGGTTGACTGCAGCCTTTGGTAGAATTGATCTTTAACGTCGTCATTGTAGTCATTGGTAGGTGCATAGCATTAGATGACGTTCATTGTAATGTCCTCCTTCTTTGTTTTGAAGGATGCTTTGATGATTCTGGGCCCATGAGATTCCCATCCTATCAGTGCCTTTTGTGCATGTTTGAACAGCATCAGTGCAACTCCTTGTGTATGTGAAGCATATTCCTCTTCATGACCAGAGTATAACAGCAGTTCCCCTGAAGCTAGTCTCAGTTGTCCTACCTGTGTCCAGTGTGTTTCACTGATGCCGAGCACCTCGAGGTTGTATCTTTTCATTTCTGCAGCAACTTGAAATAGTCTTCTATTCTCCCACGATGTTCGAACGTTCCAAGTACCTAAAAGAATGGTTGCTCTGGTTGTCAGAATAGGCATCGGCCTCGTGACTTCCGAGGGTGCTAGGTAAGAATGGCAGATCAGTCAGTCAGTCAGATGCAACGTAGAACTTCGTGCGTAAGTACCTCAGTTCATGTTGCCATACCACATCAGCACAGAGATATAATTGTCAATTCAAATCCAATATTAGAAGAGGTAGTAAAGGTATTAGAAGTAATCGAAGAGGTTAGGATTAGAAGATATTATTCAAGAAGTATGATTCAGTGAGTAAAGTTTAGAAAGTCAAAACTAGGGGGGTTGAAGAATCTAGAAGATTAGGATTTGAGAGAACAAAGAATAAATGCACCTGCGCCATTGCAAACGGTTTTGAGCCATGTCATTCAGGGTATCCAACTATCGATTAATATCATTTCGAGGATCCCAACCAGGTAGTCGACAATTACCGACATGGCTCAGTCTACTCGTCAATGACTTCATGGATTTCTGCCATGTTTTGGTTTGGCTGCCCCTAGCTTTCTTCCAACCTATTCCTATATCGCAAAATATAGCTCGACGAGGCAGTCGGTGGTTGGGCATACGCAACACATGTCCCAACCACCTCAACTAATGAAGTTTCACTACTTCATCTACTGATTTGCCACCCTTACCTAGTACTTGTTTAGTAACAACAGCATTGCTTACTTGGTTGTTCCAGAATACACGAGCAATGCTTCGGAGATACCTATGATCAAAAACCAGTAATCTACGAATATCTTCTACTCTGACTCGCCATGTTTCACAGCCATAAAGTAGGACAGAGTGAACTACTGCACAGTACACTCGTCCTTTGGTCAGCTCTCACCTGCGCAATAAGTGACGCAGGTTGGCAAAAGCCAATCGAGCCTTCTGTATCCATACTGAGATTTTGTCAGTCACCAGACCCTCAGCACTGATGAGACTACCAAGATGAGTGAAGTGGTCAACACACTCAACTGCTTCACTCTCTATCGCTAGTTCAGGTGTTGATGCAACCCAATCTTGAAGCAACATTTTGTATTTCGAAAGAGAGAACCGCATTCCGAACGCAATTTAACTGTTGCTCAAGGTGGTCAGGAGACTGCAACTTGTCAGCGTCTTCACCAATTAGAACTATGTCATCGGCATATTATAAGTCGACAAGTGAATCTCCTGGCAAAAGTTCAACCCCTGAAAAGTCAGATGATGAAAGTGTTGTCTCTAAAAGCACATCACTGTCGAAGTCAAACATTAGTGAAGAAAAAGGGACAACCCTGACGAACACCACTTGAAGTATTCAATTCTGATTACAGTTCGCCATAAACTCTAACTCGACCTGAAGTGTTCGAGCAGAGAGCCTGTATAAGGTAGTGTACTTCTTTGGTACACCTTTCAATGACAGACACTGACACAGAACCTTACGATCAACAGAGTCAAATACCGCTTTAAAGTCAAGGAAGACAACTATTGTCGGATGCTTAAATGTGTGTTTGTGTTCCAGGACCTGTCGCAGTGTGAAAATGTGTCCTATACAGCCACGTCTAGGTTTGAATCCAACCTGGTTTTCTCTAGTCTTCTCTTCACGAGCTCTAATTAGGCGTCATGACTCCCGAAGGAACTCGGCTTTCATCATGAGACGTCATAACTCTTCTAAAAGAAGACCGTCTAACTTAGCGTTTTTTAGGGAGTTAGTTTTTTGCGGGATGTGGTCGCAAACTCCAAGCCCAATCCTCCTCCTTCATTCGGGCTTGAGACCGGCAGTAGCCCCGAAGGGTCTACAGGCGTAGTTATTTAGTGACTATACGACTACACTGCAGCATGAAACACAGGTACATAAAGGTTTCACCAATAAATGACATGAATCTAGATACTGTGTCAGATTGGCAACATAGAGGAAATTATACAGTGTTTTAGTTAAGTTGATGGTATTGTGGTGCACGCTACTTATAAGAAGTATATGACGCGAGTAAAAACGAAATGTCTGGCAGCAGAAGACTGGGGAAGATCAAGAAAGGAAAAGCGGGAACACAATGGGATTTGTATGAAACGCATGAACAGTGAAATGTCAGACAATGGATTGATGTTTGCAACAGGAGCAGTCCAGTTCGATATGATAGATCGATATTTTGCAAATTAACGATTTAGGATATGGTTTTCCTTTTTTACTAATTAACTCTGTAATTTGAGATAATACAATTCGGTTGCCCTCACCTTCACTACAGTATAAGTCATTTGTTATTGAACCTAATTATTACTCAACCGTCAGTGTTAACGGTGCTACGTTATCAATCCAACGAGTGCAAGTGTGAGCAACTATTCATTAGTGTACTGTAATAAGGGATATTTTTTGTATCCTGATGCTTGAAAATAACATGAAATCCCTACCGTTAACTGATTTCAGAATTTTGAATTTATGCAGTTCGTACATGAGATTGTCCACAAACGTTGGTTAACTTGAAATACTTAACATTTTACACACAAAATTTATTTGACGACTAATTGCCAAAATGAAAATTAAATAATTGATAAATTCGTGACTAGTTGGTACATGAATCATCAATTCTGTGTTTGTAATTATTAGAGCGTATAAAATTACACCATGTACATGTAAGATCATCGAGAAAATTCGTTCAGAATTACTTCAAACAAGTTTTAACCTGACTTCGTTATTATACTACCAATTTATAGCATTTCGTAAAACTTCATTCTGTATGTTTACACGGAGTGCAGGTGAATTTTAAATAATCTTTGCAAATTATTGATAAAGGCTCACTCATTAATGGCCAGCTATGTGATGGGTTTCTAGATTTCAGCTAAGAGATGACCAGTGATCATCTAGATCAGGAATGATACAGCTATCGTGGATGGCAATGCGTAATTATGTAGCATCACCAGTTAGCTCAAATTGGAAATATGGATCTTTGAACTCCAACTTAGTCATCTAAAGTTGGCTCGTCTGAATCAATAGTTAAAGATTTTGGGTTCGGATGTGGTAGTGATTCACTCTTTCCTTGTTCTCAGCGATTTTCTACTGTATGTCAGTTTGTAAAGAAGGCTATTTAAAAACTGAAGAAGTATCCTAATTGAAACATTAAATTCTAATTCCGTATGTATACGAGAACTATGTTTGAGATTCTCTAACTGGTATAAGTTTGACAACGCGTGGAAGCACAAACAACTCACAAACAAGCTATCATTTCCAAATTAAGTCTTAAGTTTAACAAAAATATAATTACTATGAAGGTACTAAAGCTTTCTAAATCTCGTGACAATAAGCAAATCCACTGAAGTTTAAGATGCTACCTTGTTATGTCCTTGAATCATTTACCAATAAAACTCAAGAAATAATTTTGTCTGAATCTAGTTTAAAGATTTTGACGTGATAGGCTCTCTAGTTAACCTTCAGATCATAAATATGTACTATGCAGAACCGCGAAGCACAAAGATTTAGAAAAATACAATTATGCCTACATTAGCCATTTAGGGTGGAAAAATAGAGTATGGGGTTACGTTAGGTCTAAGTTACAATGGATTTGGAATAAAGAGATTATAGCACTCAATCACACCTTAACCGAAAGTTTAAGATTTACATAATAAGATAGGAACAAAAATAAAAGCCAGTACTTTGTAAGTACAATAATGTCTCCAAAATAAGCCTTCATTATTTGTTACTGTCTCTTATTGCCCTCTTCACGGCATACTTATTAAACGCCGAATCAACTGCCTGATGGGGTTATACAACATACGACGCAGCGCTCTTGTAATCGATCTTAGAGTAGGTCGTTGTTGCACTTTGATCAGGAGTTGCCAATTAGCAAAAAAATAACTATTCACTGCACCTTGGTTTCCTTAGACTCTAGTTGGGATTCATTACACGATGTTAATCAACTTCAAATTGAAAAATCCCCCCATAAAACTTCCATCTTGGTACGAATCTATGACTTCAAGTAATTTAATACCTTATTAATAGCACCGATAAGATCTCTATCAACATTTCATACAAGACTAAGTCAGATATGTTAACGAATTTTGTTCAAGTCAAAATTAGATTTAGTAAGTTGGCCAACTTTATACACATACTTATTTTAGAAAAAATCAGTTTTACTATTTCTAAATTCATTTATTTATTTTTAACAATTCATCAGAATACAGTTAACAAGTGAATAGAGATTCGCTGATGTTATCCTCCAAAACACTGAAATAGTTCAGATAATAAATGTTACCAAAACATGATATTACAAGTGAGTGCATATTTTATGGTGTATATAGTACAGAAATTGTCTTAAATGAGTAGATATGTTGTTAGAAATGTATTATTATTAACAATGATCACAGTTGACTTAGGTAACTTCATAGAATATTATGTTTGTGTTTCATATAATAACTAATATCATCGTATCTATATATGTTCAGTTTAAATTTTGAACTTCTTGGTTGTATTAACCAAATAAAAATTTAATATAAATACAGGTATGAGCACTAAATTAAATATGTTTTAATCAAAAAAGAAATTTAGTCAAAATTTTCACAAAAAAAGGTTCAAGAACATTTACATCAATTTTTTATTAGTTAATCACTTAAGATTGAATAAACCAACGAACTGTTTGTTTTCCAAACAGATTATTCATTTTCATGTTGTGTCACACTGGAGATTGCTTCACATTGTGACATTAAATTGTATATTTACTAGAATAATCTTATTAGTGCGTTAATAAATAACTGATAATATAACATAAAGGAACGAGAATCAATGACGTAATGATAGCTTGCTCTTATATCTAATCATTGTAAAATAAATTGTACACATTCGGAAGTGAATATTTTACAGAATATTATTAATGCTTGATTGGTTTATGTATGATTACCATGTATCATGATTAATAAAGGCCAGTAACACATTGATAAATAGTATTATTAAGAAAAAAAACTATTTTTCGTACAATACACCATTAAAATACAGCCTCAGTGAGATAAATAACAGACAGAACACATGACTAATATGTGTACATTATTGCAGATCAACTACATTACGATTTATTAATTGTAACGTTGTGTCCGGTAGATCAGTCTTGAAAATGACAACAGCAGCAATAGTAATCAATGTGAATAAATAGATAATGAAAAATAACCGATCAATAATCAAAGCCAGGATACGCCATTCAGCGCCTAAGGACGTTTTATGTGCAGATTTTATTTGTTTAATATTGATTTGTTGCAATGATTCTTTTATTTTACGTGAATGTTGTTTTAATGCACTATGATTGATTTCAGTTTTATGATCCGAAAATATTTCATTCGATAAACAAATATTGTCCAGTTGTTGTTTATCACTTGAATTAATGCTTTGGTTAGCATATTTCATCTGTGAATCATTGAAACAAGAATAGTTTGTGTTGATTTTATCATGATGATTGTTGGTATGTTTTAATAAGTTGGTTCCACTTATTGAAATTGTAACAGAAGAAATTTCCGGATATAAACGTTCTGATTTATCAATTAATGGGATTATTTGTCGAATTCCTAGCATACGTCCTAATCCATCGATAATAAACTGGAAAAAATAAAAATAAAACAGCAGAAGACAATGAAAAAAATTTACTTTCATTAACATTTAGAACACAGCTCGAAATATTTTTAAATTGAAACATTGGCTGTATGTCTGTATATTGTGATGAAATACAAAGATTTTATTCATTTTATTAACACTTGAACAATTTAAGTGAAATTCAATATAATTAATCGTTATTGAAATTGTTTTCAAACCTTAAAAGATTATGCAGTAGTGTAAAGCGATGCCGCAAAATCGAGTTCTATTTTGCATTTTGGGAGAAAAAGAGCCTTAGCTTGGAATTTACTTCTACTGTGTCATAGTTCCAGCTATCTCAGAACATAAACTTCAACTTCCATTGTAATTTCTGTATTGAAGCACTACAACTATAACGAATTAATTCAAATAGTGATTATTTAAATGTACTGTTTTCGAAAAATTATATTAAGACTAACTGTTGTTATCAGATATGCAGATATTCATCCAATTGTTTGATCAATATAAATTTTCATATCGTCTTTTTAACACTATACGATAAAATTAAGCCAAAACGTAAATTAGGATCAGCTTTCTTAAGTTTCCTAGTTTTCAGTAGTGATCTAAGATCAGTTCCTTATTTAACCTATGAGATAAATGGGTTATGATAACGATCTCGACTGAGTACTGCTCAGTATGAAGTAAGGCAAGTTGTGACTGAGTAATGTTAGATCACAAAAACAAAAATGATCAATACTAAGGTCTCCAAATGAATAAATACTTAGTTCTAAATAATAAACTAGCAAATTCACGAATTAATCAATGTTGGACCATCATCGGAAATCTAGAAGCAGTGGACGGCCGTCTAACCCAGTGATCTCAGATTACCAATGGTGGTCTAACATTGATTTCAGTGAAACTCAACAATCTTCACAACCATATACTTATAATAGACTAGTAAATATATACAAAAATCATGAGTAGAATTTAGAGACAGTGTTTCCTATTCGTAAGCAATGATTTCCAAAGTTCAATAAACACGAAACAAGTTAGCACTTCGCATAGCTCTGGGTTTCGCACCTCCACACAATAAACTTGGCAGAAATTTTAACGTTTAACATGCATTTCGAATTTCGATGTCCACTTTGATCTATTCTTTGAGTAGTTGGTCCCTTCATATATGATATCGATTTTCATACGAAAATTATATGTTTAATTTGTGATACTAAGTACGCATAGTTAAAAAATGAATTGCTAAAGATTTGATTAAAACGGTTCATGTAAAATATCTAATCTAAAATATTTAACGCTAAATTTTGTCTCTGGTATAGGAATTACTGACAAACTTATGATGTTTCAATTCCACATCAGAATTTATCTGAGTCAAAAAAGCTATGTAATTTCTTTCCGTTAAAATAGGTTCATTGAAAAATTGTTATATTTGATTGTCTGAAGTGTATGACCTACTCGACGAATCCAAAATGGAACTGCTTGACCTTCATTTCCTTTGTAAAATAGATTTACTACCCACGTAGCCATAAATATCGACAATGTGACCATGACCATATTTAAACAAAAGAAAATACCTAAATCAAAATCACACGAAAAGAATATTAGGAAATTAGGTGATAATCGCAAGTGTTTTCTCTTGATCCTAGTAAACAAACAATCATGGTATATATCAATGAGTTAGATAGTAGAAATGAACTGCGGTAAGCTAAACACCCTGACAACAAAGCTTATAGTTGACCTAATATGAAAATGGTCAACATCAATATTAATTTATTTATACCTGTTGCCCCTTGAGAGCATAGGTCACTGACTAGGATTCTCAAACTAACTCTGACCCGAGCCTTCCCTTCCAGTTCTACCCCACTATTATTCATTCTTTTCATGTGTGTCTCCAGTTCTCGTCACAGTGTGTTCTTTGGTCTCTCTTCTCCTTTGATCTTAAGGATTCCACTTTTGAACTTGCCTCATTATGCAGTTGGGTGCTTTCCGAAATGTGTGTCCTGTCCACCTCAGGCACTTCCTAATTGCTTGCTCAGCTGGATTCCGGTTTGTTCCCTCCACAGTAGGCTGTTGTTGATGGTTTCTGGCCAACGGATCCACAGTATCTTGAGTAGAAAACTGTTAATAAATTCCCGTATCTGTTAGAGGTTACCTTTCACACTTCTCCAAGTTTCCGTTCCATACATCAAGACTGTTTTGACATACGTATGGAAAATTTTGACTGATGTTGGTTGATAGATTTTTTGAGTTCCAGATGTTTGTCAACTGTAGAAATGTTCCCCCTAGCTTGCTAATCCTTGTCTCTACATATGCACCGGATCCACCTTGTTTATCAGTGATGCTACCCAGTTATGTAAACGTTTCCACACCTTCCAAAGCTTCTTCATCAGGTGTGATCCGGTTGGTTGGAAGATCTTGCTTTCTCTCTTGTGTATGTTACGATCTCCTGGTGCAAAGTCTGCCGTCACACTGGCTTCTTCATCTTTATTTGTTGCTGTGATTGGGATGTAAGAGCTAAGTGATCTGCAAAGTCTAGATCTTCTAGCTGTCCACTTTATTCTGTGATTACGCCAAAACGCCCTGTTACAAATAAATTATGTTAGTAAACGATAATACAATACGTAGTATCTCATTAGATCACTGAGTGGACACATATAGCAAACGAACTTTAGGATGGCTTGGTCATTAACCAGTAGGTTTGAAAACCGACTCAAACACTTTAGTTTACACAGTTTGGCAGTATTACTCACTATCTCTTACACCAAAAACTGTGATTTATAGTTGAATAAACGAATGTACATTATGATTATCGAATTTAATTACCGTAGCTAGGAAATCCTTCACAAAGTATTTCATAATGAATAATTAGTTTTGTAATATTATCATATATTTTACAATCAGACAGTTATTGAACGAGTAGAGTTATTTTATTTCATAACTTACGAATATCTCAAGTAAATATCGAAATTAAATCTTATATAAACCAGTATCATGAATCAATACTAACGATTTTTTATGTTTATTCATAAAAGCAAACGTACCTATTATGGGGAAATTCTTAATTGCACTTGGCATTGATTTTGCCAACAGTAATAGCAATACGAAAAATCCAACGAAGATGTTAATGCCTTGAATAATTAAAGCAAACGAAACTTATAAGGGAACGGGTGATGCATTTATACTGTTTGTTTAAATAAAACAATATGTATGTAGTACTCATTAGGTAAAACGGGATATTTAGTTACATATTTATCAACCAGAAACAATCTTCGCATATGTAACTATTTAGGCAAACAAACAATTGCATTGTTAACTTTAAATATTTTCATCCCTCTGAATCTTTTCAACATTAATTTAATATTATGTATACATTCTCAATAAACTTGGGTAAACTAGAGAATCTTGGAACTTAATGGTCAATTTTAATTTATGGACAGTATATAAAAATCATATTCGGTCGGTTGAAAGAGGTTAAATGATGTATTTTTGAAACCTGAAAGCGCTTAATGGTTGTCTCGTCCTAACGTGGTGCTCATCTACGATTTTGCGCGCAGGAGTTGACCTTAGGGTCTCTGGCCTCGGGGGCTAACGGTAATTCTCTATGCCACCGAACCCGCATCCAACAGTGTTAATATCTGACTTCAGTTAATTCATGATATTGTGCAACCATCTACTATTATTCTTGGTGGAAGATTGCCTAACACACAGTAAGGTTGTACTTCATTGATCGCGGCTTTCTGCAATTTTTTTCTCAGTTTAATTAGTAAAGCTTCTTACTGAGTCATGTATTCCCAATGCTTTCTTAAAAAATACACTTTCTATTATTTTAATCAAGTGATGAAATAAACTTATACGGTTTATAGCGAACTTGTAGTTCTTCGGATTTTAGTTTCCAGTAGTGTAATATAAAGTCAGATTGCGTGGTATGTAAAAGCTATTAGTATAGTTAGATGCCATAAACCAGTAGAACAGACAGCAGATTTGCAATTTTTACTTAAACTAATCACTGCATACTGAGTATTGTATAAAAGATATCAATGTCTGAGCAGGAAAAGGAAACCAAACCTTTTTACATTCTTGAAGGTTAAACCAATATGCACAAAGAACAAAACTGACGACGGATTCAATAAAGTCTTATGAGCACTTATGAAGAATGACTGTTCATCAGACTCACTGACAACATTAAGATGGAAGTAACTCTACAGGAATAAAGATGATTTTTCCATTGAGATTGAATTTAAAGGGCATATGACAGAAGAAATTCATGAAAACAAACTGTAAAGATTACTTGGGTTTTAGAAAATCACTAATTCTAACTGAATTTCTTTATCTAAGAGGTTCATAAACACATTCTAATTCTATGACGGCCGTAGAACCGCATCTGATTTTATAAAATTTTTCTTGATACTTAATTCCTGATTCTTTATGTTCGTCAGGTGAATAATTGTCTTACCTCTCTCTTCTACAAACTACATCCCCTTACTTTCAAGACTAGTATGCAACTTATATATAAAGCGCTGGAAAACTTTTGAAATCTTTGTTAAATGATGTAACACTTCTCTGTTTTACTGTAAACTACCATATGTAAAGATTGACGAAAAATATTATCATGCAGCTTTAGTCTGTGACAATGTGGAAAAAATGTTTTTTTGCAGAAGTGAGTCTATTTTGTAAAATATGATTGATTATAAGTAATTATGCAGTTTTATTGTTGTAAGGAAGAGATTTAATCAGATTGATAACCCATTGACAATGTTATTTTCATTGTATTTGCCTTAAAGAAAAGGCAGTTCGACTATTGGAACATTACAAAATTATAAAACATTTACCATCTAATGACGAATGTCAAAATTGTAGCCTAAGGGAATTCTTGATAATAAGTTAAATAATCAAAAAGCCTAAATACTAATATAAAGCAGCTGAAGTGAATACGTGAAGACTGAGTGATAATTAGATAAACCAACCTCTATGGTTAATGTACATCGGAGATCTAGGTAGATAATGATAATCAAAACTAGTTTCACACATTAGCTTATCTAAAAGAGTAGATACGAAGAAATCTAATAAGTCATATGATAAATTTAAGGCGGGGAAGCTCATTGATGATTGTGTTTAAAAATACAATGAAAATTTTATGAATAAGTCAACCAGTTGAAAATGTTGAATACTATCTTACCGTACTGCTTTTTCTCCTGTCATTTCATAATAATTGGTTAAACAGATATATTTCAGCTGATCATTTACAAATACCATAAACGAAACTTTTATCTTAAACTAAGACTTAAGGATTTATATAGTAGTTTACTCACTATTTCATAAGACCACTCAATTTACTACGGTTCTTTGTATTTAAACTGTACGGTAATGAATAGTCCTCATTTTCTCATATACTGAACTCATTATCCTTTACTTCATACGATGTATTAAGCTTTGATTTTATCTGAAATTACCATACTTAGTATTGATAAAGGTATCAGTTAGGAAAAAAAATTAAAATGAGGAATTAACCGATGACGGTTGTTTTATTGTGCTTAGTAGTAAGTATCTTTACAAATTAACGCTTATCTAATTATTTTTGCGATAGAATGAAAAAACCTTCACGTTAACATTAAAGTTTAAAATCTATGTAAGCGATGCCAGTGACAGACGTATGATAAAATTTACATTTCGATTTGTTCATTGATTACATCACTTATTGATCTGAGAGACCCAATGAAAATCAGGAAGCTTCTGCCATACCCTCTATATTAATTAAATTTGTGGCTGAAAATAATTTAGCAGGAATCCTTGTCAACTTACCTAACATCATTTTAGCCGCCGAGTCTGGTGGTAACCAAAAGACCACCAAACTTAGCAGTGATAATAGCAAACATGGAACAATTAAAATAAACAAGTGAAAACTTGGATTACGATAAATACGTATTAAATAGCGTAGTACTGGATAATATCTTTCGTGTTTTGTTGATCCAATTAAATGTTCTCTAACTCGATACCGTTTTACCGACCGTAACTGGAAACAAAGAGATAAAAAACAAAGACACGAATGTCTCTCTGATTTAAATACTTTTTAATTAAGAGATATAAACAAAACGTGAACATATGCTAACATATCAATGATCTCGAATTAAATTATTAAGAAGTTTTTTAGTATACAAACAGAATACAAACCCTTTTTGGTCATTATAAGAAATTATTATCTTTCAAATCTAGTTGTTTACTTGAAAAATAACATACGAATTTAGAGAATGGTTTGTGATATATGGAATTTAGCCAACCGACTTAGTAATGAACAAATTGATAAGCAATCAGATTATACAAAATCTGTTTACAGGATAATAGTGGATTCGATATACACCTAAAAGTAACTTGAGAATAGAGCTTCATCGGATGGTAAGCATTTTTAAACTTAGAGATTGACAATACCAGTTTTAGAAACTTTCACTCATAATTGACACAGGTTTGAATGTTTGAAGTAGGAATGGTTTCATTAGGATTGTGAATATTTCCCTCTGCTCTTTACTGCTAGTCAGTTACAAAATGTGAGTACAGTGCTTTGAACAAAGTCTTATGTTACTACATCTTTTCAACGCTGTTGGTACTTCAGTTTTTCTCTTTATGCATTGACATCAAAATCTTTACACAATTATGACATTAGCGATTCTAGTAGAGTAGTTAAAATATAGATGTGCCTAGCCAATATAAATTTATACCATATAAAAGGTTATAAAATAAGGATGTACTTTATAGATCATGTTACTTCATTAATATTCAATAGCCTCCATATATTATCGTATTTTATTCCAGAAAAGTCCGGTAGAAAGCTCATCAAAACAGAGAGAAATCTGATTGATATCTAAAGTCTCCTGCCAATATGTTTCGATTTCGGTGTTTACGATCATACCATAATTTCTAATCTGTGATCACAGTGATTATTATCTACCTACAATGTTTTACAGTTAACATTCAATTGTTATTATGACTTCTGCATTGATTATTTCTGCACATCTTATTTTTCTTTAACCTTTCTATCGTTACACAACCTTCCTTTTGGTACTTGAAATCTCTGAACACTTTATGATGTAATCTCTCAGCGGCCTGCTTAAATATTTGTACCACCCATTTTCTAACATCAAAATATTGTAACAAGTTACCTTTGTTGTTTGTTTCAATACGTCATCTATGTCTGTAAATAGTATGGTCTATTCAGGTGCATATTAAGAAATCTTAATACCTATCGCTTCACAGGGTACAAAAAAGTACAATCCGATACCTCAGAGTGGCTGGAAACATGCATTAAAAAGAATGATTGTTAATCAGATTTAGATTTCTGAACTGTTGAATTCCAACTGCCAATCACTAATTGTTTTGTATAAGAAACTTGTTGAAATATTCCGTGCTGAGAATTCTATATTGTACTAAATATATAATGATGAATAAAGCCACTATTGATTTTATTATTACTAGTATTATGATTATCAGTATTATTATTATTATTAATATACATTTCTGTAGACCATTGATCTGTTGAATCACATGCAATTGTACAGCTTTCGTAGATAATTTTGTCGAGAAATCTACCCTCCTCGAACTTCCTTCAAACGTACGATAATTTTCTTGCTAAAATTTCTTTTGATTTACCTGATGTACTCGATCTTCGTGCCTAATATGGCGTTCTGCTTCTCCATCTGTAAACCAATCATTTGCAGGCACATAATCTGAGAAGTCAATATATGGCATTGGTGTATCACTACCGTCCGGTATCCACCAGTTCAAATCTAATTGAGTTTTATCATATGCCATTGAACCGAACTCTAACATACAAACCTGTAAATTAAGTAGAAAAAATTCGTTTTTGAATTGGTATTATGATCTTGTAAAAATTTCGTTTTCAGTTTAAAAATCTGAAAATGATGGTTTGAAGTCATTCTAAATTTGTTATACACATGTTGAAGTGTTAAAAAGTTTTATTTTTCTCAAAAACCTCTATTCAGGTTTTTAAGAAAAAGATTGTTTCAGGTAGATTGTATAAATTCTAATCAAATTCTATCGTGCGAATAATTGAATTCCGTCTTAATAAGTTAATGGAGTTGTACTCAGTACTAAGACTAAAGGTCATATGTTCTTACTTCGAAAGAATTCAGAAACTCAGGTGAAGGGACTATCAGATACTTTCTAGATTTTTGCAGGTCACAATATAATGTCATTTCGTAGTAAAACTTACCTTGAAAAATAAACTTGTATATTAAAACAATGTGTTACTTAGTAAATTAAGATGTCTATAGTTAACAGTCTCATGAGTGATTACGAGACTAAATTTACTGTTTGGTATCACTAACTGACAATTTCGAAATGACTGACAGTTACAAAGATTTGAAAACGCAAAATGCAATTACAACTGAATTTTCCGTGTTAAAGTTTAAGACCAAGTTAATATGAATAAAACATAATGTAATCTGCAGCCAGTCGGCTTTCCATAATACCAAAAATAGCATTTTGACACTTAATAACCCGAGGGCTTCAAATATTAGTCAATTTTTTGTCCAATATGATATAAAGCTAACTGAATTGAGTGGATTATTCGAAAATTCAAAAGGTTTTCTTTATTTTTCATGATTTAATTAATCTTTGGACTTAAAAATTTACACAAAGATGACCTTATTTACATCTAAATCTTTTTCATCGTCAATTACTTTTGAAAATGTTGTTCTGCTTAATTTATGCTAAAGGTAGTCATTTTTCTGTTTCTAATTGTTTTTACTTTGTAAGATGAAACTCAACATTAGGGAATCACCGCTCGTTTATATAAAGTATTTTAAAGATAACTATTCTGCTGATTGGAGTTCATTTGAAAAACACTGTTGTATAGTTATCATAATATGTATAAACAATACATGCTCTTTCCAATTCTTCGAAGTTAATTCACAACCAACAAAGTAAAATTATTCCTGACATCTCCAGGAGTATTTTGAACGTACACTTTCATTGAGATTTCGCTGCTTGACTACTTCTTGTGATCAGGTTACTAGTGTTTCATGCTATTTGGTTATTTTATGATATATATTCAGTCTTGACCAATTATTAAATAGTTGATAACACGTTTCAACTACTATACTACTTGTGTGATGAGGTAAATGAAATTATTCATAAATTTCATTGAATTTTATCTTTTTATATAACTTGGAAAATAAAATGTAGCCATAACAGTTTTTTTATAACATCAAACTAAACTTGAATATGTCCAGTAGACATATTTGTTAACAGATCTTTAAATCAGATTTATAATGTGTATCAAGATAAAACTACCTGGTTTCTTAAACAAAAACAGTTGGAATAGTAGCGGAAAATAAAAGTCAGTGGTTCAAAGAATTAACTAAAACTAATAAATTATCCACTTATATTAACATAATCTACTACAATTTCCATTCTCATTATTTCTTATAATATTTTATTAAGTCTCGATATCTATTAAACATTTCCACATTATTCGAAAACATATCTAGTTAATTTTCAGTGTATTAGGCACAGAATTCAAATCAGCAGTTAAACGGACTGGGTTAGTTGTAAAATAACTTTTGATTCAAACTGATATAAATTGTTTAAGGGTAATATTTTCTACATAACATCAATGTATGCAATTACATCTTTCGGTTATTTTTTCTAAAGTGTGTTTGCGAAGTTGCCTCTTACTCTTAAAATACTCACTCACCTGGCTATCAAATGGAAAGTATGTAATTTCAACTTGACATGTGCTTCTGAATAATGCCTGTTGGATCCACAGTATATTGCCACTGCTATCTACTACTAAACGACCTTCTCGAAATTCCTGTAAACGTTCATCAGCACTGAAAGTCGCAAAAAATATCGGAGGATGAATGTGACATAAATTATTTTCTTCAATTTAACCAAGTAAAAGGAGTGTAAGTACTTAAAAACAGTACAGATGGATTGCTGTCTATTATCAATAAACGTCAGAAGATACTCATACTTCGACATATAACTGACTGACTGTAGTAAAGCCTCGAAATCTTTATATTTTAATTGTCAGAAGCGACTTCTCAGGTTTATACAAGTCCCGACTATTAGATATATTAAGCCTTATCTATGTATTGAAAAGTTATTTGAACAATAATAACAACAAATGAATCGAAACAGTACGAATTTATTATACCTTCAATCTCAATCGATTTAACAATGAATGTTTATTAATTTAGAATACTCCTTAAAGTTACATAGTCATATGCACCTATCTAAAATGCTGACAGTGAGAATAGTGTTGGGAAACTTCTCCGAATTTCTATACCTGATCATTAAAAGAATATTTCAGAAATAGAAACGATAAGGTAAGATCAGAATAATATAGAGTTAAAAGACCGCCAATATAGGTTACGTAACAGAGGAAAAATTTCGAAGATTTATTTAATTATGACAGTTATTTTTCAAAAAAAATAACTTACAAATTATAGAGTTTTATATCAGGTGTCCATATTTGATGTGGAAATATCCTTAATTCTTTGATACCACCATACTGACTTGCATTCCATTTCAATAAAGAATCACTCCATCTCTACGTCACATTCAAATAAAATGATAAAAAGTGTTCTTCAGTATAATAGGCCACAAAAATTATGACTGATTTATGATTTATTGTCTACTGAAACAAACTTAATTTACAGTACCTACAATGTCCATGTCTGAAATTCTTCAAATTATTACAAAATTTGACTTCTGATATACTGAAAAAATTCCAGGAACTCCAGTTTCCACAGTGTTTAACTTCCGAAAAGTTTCAAATTACTCACTTAAGTATTTTATAATTTTCTTCAAAAAGAATTTCTGTTCCCCTCTTTGCACATAAATTAATATTGAACGAAATGAACGCTGAATGGTAATCAGTGTTACTTTATTTAGCTTTCAGTGGTATGAGCATTCTATCAAATCAATTTGTAATATATTTATTGAATTTAGTGACTCCAGACCACTATAAACTTTGCTGGATGTCAAATGTTTGTAGATAATAGACAACAACTTTTAAACCGACTTTTTGTGCATGTTGCCTACACACTTGAGAGAACTTATGACCTATTAGAAATTTAAACTCTGGTCAACATGTATCACTGTCAAAGACGTTAACTCTAAACCAATTAGATTCAGCAATATTTAAATAGTATTTATAATTATTTGAAGTCAAACCAATAGAAGATATGGGGGTTTAGTCGGAGTGTTCAAATAAGTTAGAAACAGCAGTTACCCGATGATGTTTCAACTCACTGACCGCCATTAAAATAATCTGTTAGCTCCAAAGAGACTACAATTATTACACACCAACAATCGTTGTGTTTCTTGACATCAGGGCTACCTTTGACTTATTAGATAGAACTATGGCTTGTGATTTTCTGTAAGGAAGAGTAAGTCTGGTAAATTTCCCAACGCCTTGAAAACTTTATACAAAGACCCTTCAGTGGTGGTATGCAACCTTCCTTCAGTCTTTCAGTCCGATAGGGATATTACATAGAGTTTCTCGGTCCCACCACTTATCTTCAACTTTGCAGTCAATGACATTCTGGAAACAGCCTTGAATAAAGCAAATGGTGATGGTCAGAAGCCATTAACTGGAGAAAGACATTCAGATCTTGTTTGATTGGATGAGAGTTTGACTGTCCAATAATACATAGCCTATACAAATCGCAATAAATTATTAAAAAAATTATATTCATATGTACTAGATGTATTTCTCACTTTCTATATGTACCCTTAGTGGTAAACTGTTAAAAACAGTCAAGAAATTTGATCATCTACGTACTTAAGTGGTTGCTAGTGGTGGTTTGGTAGATGAGAGACCTATTTTAAACTCAAGTGTCTTTAGCACCGCTATGTCAATCTGAAGTAGAAGGTCAAGGTTGCAATAAGTCCATTAGAGCAGTTTTATTTTACGCTCATGAAATCTGGTCGCTTTAAGCTAAGGATGATTGGTGACTTTCTGTACTGTAATGTGTGCATCTGATAGCGACATTGTGTTTATAATACCAATGTCGACCACTGGGTTCGAGTGTTCACTGTCTTGGTGACTTGGAAATGTTTTACACATCTTATTCAAGCGGCGTCTACTTACTTACTTACTTACGCCTGTTACCCCCAATGGAGCATAGGCCGCCCGCCATTTTTTCTTTGAAAAAAAAACAATTCAAAGCGGCTTCTACACCGCGTATTATTGTCCAACACTGAAAGTGGGGGAAAAATGGGAGGTGGTCAATCCAAAACATACCTTAGTTACAGAAAAGATAGTTGTATGAGACTGACATCTGTTGGTTCCCCACGAGTGTAACATTATATTCCTAGAGAGAGAGCACAAACTATTTGCCTGAAATGTTACCGGATCTGACTCAAAACAGAACAAGTGGTGTTCCAGCTGCAATTTTCCATTACATTCTTCATGCAAGTGAGATAAAACTTCTCAAGTAAGAAAATCTTTTCCTGTTTTTTTTAATGAACTACATGTTTGTTAAGATAAATGTACATTCATTTATTGATTATGCTACCCTTCTTCCTTTCTTTCTTCACAATATGGCCATTTTATGTGTATTGTCTATGTGTTTTTATTGTCTTACTGAGTCAGAATTTAATTTGAATAATAAGTCAATATATAAAAAATGGCAAGAACGACGGGTAAGTGCTTACATCTTTCGGTGTTTCTTGCAATGGTGTAGCTTCAAATGTTCAAGAGAAGCTACTGTGGCAAACGCAGATATGCAATCATTAGACCCAAATTTATTGCTCCGGATCAATTACATTCCAATAACATATCACATCATGTATGACTTCGTGTTAACCTGATGCAAAATGACACAGACACTGTTATTCTAGTCAAACAAAAGAGCTAAGAAGGTTTAACACTAGCCTCCTCATAACCATAAAGTCACATCACTTGTTAGACTTATGAAAAACTATGATGTAACAATCTATTGGAATTCAATATATTTAAAAAAGACACCAGATAAAATAACATATTACAATAAGCTAGCTTACATATACCGCCCAACAGTTTGTTCTTAAAACTTGTTTATTTTCATCGAGTCCAAGAAGCTGAATCAGTTGAAGGCCATATTGAACAACCACTTTCAGCCGACTATCATTTACAGGTCTTCCAACAACACCATTTTGTTTATAACGTTCTAATATTACGCGAATAAGTGATTTTTCCACGCTACTTTCAGTTTCTACATGATCTTATTCAAATAAAAGATTCATTCAAAAAGATAGAATTTTCTTGGTTAAAATTGAAATAGAATGGTTGTAGTTTAACAGTGTAATATAGTTTATTTTTCAGGTCAAATTTAAACGATGTAGATAACGTTATGAGAATCACTTGCCAACTAACAATTCCAGTTTTTAAAATTTCTTTATCAGACAATGCTCTTTAAGTAAGAAAAACCTAGAATGATTGTCGACATCCATAGCTGGCAGTACACCCACACTACAAACTCTACATATATTGTTGCTGTTGCCTAACAACCAGAGTGGGGATTATGATTCAGCCAAAAGTTTATGTAACTAAAGAGCGAACTTGATCGCAAGAACTCACAATTGAAATATCCCCGTTTTCTAATAGCCGTTACGCTATGTGATTTTGTGAAAACAATTGATTACATTCTCCAATATCAGTGAAACCTTATGTTAATCGACATGTGAATTTGAAAGTTAAACTTAATATTATCTAGGTATCACTAGTGAACGGTTTAGAATCACTTGACTTTACATCATAATCAAAAGGTATTCTTCCAATACATTTGCTGTACCATTCATATACTGCTTGATATATTCAGTTGACAGCTTAAACTGAAGATTTTCTGTTTCCTATTTAAATATGACATGAATATTATTTACGGAACGGAACATAGATTTTGGAGAAATTATCGCTAAAATAAAAAAGATTTTCTTGTCATTCTCTGTACTTACTAGATAGTGCATTTATTCTAGACCATGTAGTTGCATGTGGCTTATTTGTTGAAAAATTTTATATTCATTCCCAACCACTGGACCTTATGTTCACTGACCTCGAACGTCCACCTTTAGTTTTTATCAAGACGGTAAGATGGATAAAGTACTGATACGAAATATAGAAACTAAAGTAATTGTGAGTTGGTGATATTCAGAAATGGTGGAGGATTTCATTGTGATTGGCTAGTGAATTATCTGCCCACTAATCTAATGTTACCAAAATAGCCATAAACATAACCTGTAGACAAACATATGTGCAGGTGAATTTTGAAGAATGATTGTCTGTGTGGTCTAAAAAAATCCTCACTTCCAATTTTCATTTGTGTCAAACTCGCCGAAAAATCGTTCACAACCGATAGATCGGACAAGCCGATCTAGCTGCTTGCGTGAACTTCAGTTCATAACAGTCAGCAGATCAAACTTCTAGTGTCGTCACTCAAAACTAATTTTTTTAATTGTCATTTAACCATTTGGTAAATTGTTTGTTCGTATTTCATTTAACTTATCAATCAGAAATCGAATCGTATTTTGGAAAGTACGTTGAAACCCCGTTGGGTTAGCAGATACTAGATTAATGTAACATGTCTTCAATCGGATTTGAATGTGAGTTGTAATGAACAGTGTTTCTACGATAAGCCCATCATCTAATTGCATAATTTCCATGAAAAAGAACCTACTTAGGAAACGAGACCAAGCAACAGTTAAGAGAATTTTATTTTTAAGAAAAACCAGTATTTCGGATTCAATACACTACGGTGTTGTATCAGAAAGTTATATTTGTTGGATTATTTATGACGTTCATTATCAAAATGTTAGTTACACCTTGGAGAACAGCTTGTTGAATGAATCAACTTTAATAGGTTAATCGCAGACCAAGAAACTTTGACGGTGATGAACATGCTGTTTATCAGAAGTTTAAACATCACAGTCGAAGATGATTGCTGAGAAATATGCAACCTGGATTATCTACTTGTCAGATGATATTCGAAGATATATGATGCTTCATAAAAATTTCAGATTATTTTATAACTGTTAAAATATTCTCTAATCGAGTAGAATTATTTCTACTCAGAAGAAATAACATTACCTCATAGGTAAAAGTGAAAAAGATTAACAATAATGGGCTTTAATGTAATGCAGAATACAGTGACTTACTACGTGAACGAACTGTTGGAGACAGAAAGAAGTAGACAATCACAACAACGCATCCACTATTGAACAACATTGATCTTAAACAAGAATACCATTCACGCTATAACGATTAACTCATCGTTAGACCAAATGTATTCAAATTGTGATGGAAAAATAATAATGCTCAACGTTTAGAACTGTCAAGGTTATAGCTGCTGAAATACAATTGGTTGGTGAGACTAACTCAAACAATTTAGGAAGAAAAGTTAGGAAAGAAAATGAGCGATGGCTAAGCCGAGACACATTGTCGAAAGCAATCAATAAGCATTATTAACTATGATAGAGTCTATCAGTCGACCTACAAGAGAGTAAATAAAATCAATTAAAAATGGAAAGACACACCATACATTTTTCTTTACATGAAAAATTCCAAAATGTTCATTGTAACAATGTACAGGGATTTATTAACTAATTTTCGACCGCATGTACATGCGTAAATGTTAAGTTAAAGTTGTCAGACATAAAACTTACTTACCCGATGTCTCTAAAACAGTTTTCGAGCATAAAAATGTGGAACAGTATACTGTTCACCTACAATGAACATTTTGGAATTTTTCATGTAAAGAAAAATGTATGGTGTGTCTTTCCATTTTTAATTGATTTTATTTACTCTCTTGTAGGTCGACTGATAGACTCTATCATAGTTAATAATGCTTATTGATTGCTTTCGACAATGTGTCTCGGCTTAGCCATCGCTCATTTTCTTTCCTAACTTTTCTTCCTAAATTGTTTGAGTTAGTCTCACCAACCAATTGTATTTCAGCAGCTATAACCTTGACAGTTCTAAACGTTGAGCATTATTATTTTTCCATCACAATTTGAATACATTTGGTCTAACGATGAGTTAATCGTTATAGCGTGAATGGTATTCTTGTTTAAGATCAATGTTGTTCAATAGTGGATGCGTTGTTGTGATTGTCTACTTCTTTCTGTCTCCAACAGTTCGTTCACGTAGTAAGTCACTGTATTCTGCATTACATTAAAGCCCATTATTGTTAAACGTTTTCATTCATACCTTTAAGGTAATCTTATCATGTCTTAATACTGATAATTCTACTCGACTGATATCAGTAATTATGCAAATCGATCGGATAATGTTGAATTCATGATATTTTTCAAACCTACGTCAGCATAAAATATCATTCAATACTTAATGTTGAGATCTGTTCGGTCCGTATTATGTTCCAAAACGATGGAAAGTTCGTTAAAGTTGTCAACATAATGAAACATAAGAAACGTCAAACATCAGCGCAGAATTAGATTATGAAATATATAAATATATAACCAAAAGAATTACCTTTGATGCTTCATTCTTAAGATTAACTGACACCCCGTTCGAGAATAATTTAGACTATGGTTTAACAATGAATAAGAAAACCACAAACATGACAAGAAATCAACGCAGTCAAGGTATTATTTAGCCACTGTAATATGAAATTCGTAGAATGAAAAAGCAGTGCTGCTGTTAGGGTAGACTTTGAATGTTCATGAAAGAAAGGAGTACATAGGTTGATCAAAGTTGTAATGTAATCTCAATGAGAAACTAGTCCATAATCTGGAAAATTCACCAGGAAATTCTGGACAGGTCCGATGAGTAAAGACAAACTGGTTTAAAACATTTTCAACAATCAAAAATATTTACCTGTTAGAAAGACAGTTAATTAAAACTGCCAAAAGAAGGGCGAAAAATGAAGTATACTGGATGCGATGAGTAGTCAGAATACGGTGTGAATAACAGCTATATAAGTCAACACTGCACAGATTCAGAAAACATAGGTCACAATCTAATCCTACCTACACCTCTAATCTCCACGACTAGCTCTTCTCACATTCCTTTATCACCCCGTACCGATAATGCAAACGATTCGAGTTAACAAAACGTTACTGCTGGTCTCCAGAAACCCCATTCTAGACTACATGTTGAAGCTTTTAAAGTCTAGACACTGTGTCGAATAGGACAACAAGCTTCCTTAGCTAGGACTTTAGAATATTGCGCCATAGAAATGCGCAGACAGGATCCAAGGAGGGTGGCTCATTTGCCCTCATCATGTCAAAACAAAGATACTGCTCCATTTACTCTTCGCATATCTGGAAGCCCTGCTTTCGCCACCCGTGGCCTCGCTGGTGTAGGATTAGCAGTGAGTCCTAGGACAAAACTAGCTCTCTTAGACTGGGTCACACTAGATAGTCGCTTGTGCGCCGTACGACTAGACGGGACAGTAAAGAATCGGAAGGATAAAGACACTCGCCGTCGCCTTTTCGTCGTAACTGCCTACGTTCCCACTGACCGCAGCTCAGACGAGGTAAAAAAGATGAGTCGATCTTATGGTGTCAAAGCTCAAAGAACCGACAATGGTGACCGTCTGCTGCAGCTATACTCTATTGTAGACTGCCGCTCATTCTGGAGCACTTGTTCAGACTCAGACCATGCTCAGGTGCGAACGCGTATTTGTTCGCGCCTTACTGTACGTAAGTAAAATATCGCAAGGAAACCTGTTAGGGTTTTACTCAATGGTAATAAAGCTAAGAGTATATTTCGAGAACCACTAGAAAAATAGTGAGCGGCCATGTAAGTGATTCCCATCCGGAGGCGTTTGGAATGATATCAAAAGGCAGTGGAAACAGCAGTGATATTTGCTAGTAAGCTAAACCATAAGGTTAGGGAGAAGCCATGGGTCTCAGTAGCATCTGCCGAACTACTAGATGCTCGGAAACTCATCTCGCCTGGCTCTGAACATGACGAAGAGCGAAGTCAGCCTAAGCGCAGGTTGATAAAAAGCCCACGTAATGATCGCGAAAGCAAGAGCGATGGAAAAGGCAGCAATGATAGATAACAGAAGACAACTGTTCCGCCTTATCAAGGAAACCGATATTAGGAATCCGATTGTAAGCGAGACTATCTCCGAAAAAGATGGGCATATTTTTCGTCCTCAATCCAGGAGTTTGGTTCGCTGGGAAGAACACTTCAGGGATCAGTTCAATTGGCTTTCAGCCACACTTCGGTTACCCACGATCTTCAGTCAACCCGCATGGCAAATCGATGTAAGTCCTCTGAGTCTTAATGAAGTTGAGAAAGCTATAGGAAATCTGAAGCGAGGGAGAGCAGCATGTCCTGACGGATTGGCCCCTGACATTTTTAAGGATGGTGGTCGAGTTTTAGCAGTTAGATTGACCGAGATCTTAGGTAGAATCTGGAAACTGGACGTAATCGCATCCGACTGGTCTCAATCTCTGATTGTCCCGACCTATAAGAAAGGACAAAAGTCTTGTGACAATCACAGAGTTATCAGCCTGACTAATATAGTGTCTAAAATGTTGGCCTCGATAATACCTCGACGCCTAACTAGAGCTCATGAAGAGCAGACTAGAGAAAACCAGGCTGGTTTTAGACCTGGACATGGATGTATAGGCCATATATTCATACTTCGTCAGGCTTCTGGACATAGATACACGTCCAGACGTCCCACAATAGTTGTACTTCTCGACCTTAAGGTGGCATTTGACTCTGTTCAGGTCGAGTTAGAGCTGTTAGAACTGTAATCAGATTTGATTATTTCAAGTGTTGTTCGTCATGGTCAGGGTCTGCGAGACGATAGTAACCGATGGTTAAAGACCCTAATTGACATAGCTCAAAATTTTTTGCAATGGTGCAGGTTCATCTATTTCTTGTCTTCTTCTAAATTGTTTATACAGAATTCCTCGTGATCGTTTCATATTTATTTAAATGGGATATATTTCTCGGACTGCATCTTCGATCCCTAAACATTATGTGTTATCACTAACGCTGCTACTGCTATGGTGTACGAGCTGACAGACTCATCTCTTTGCGATAATATGGTATGGCAATTCTAAATGATGTACGTACGGATGATGTTCTAGGTTGTAGCTAACTAACCCTTTAATCTTAGTTGAAGGTGGAAATGCGTTTAGCTTTAACTGTCACAAATCAGTTTGGGTCGGAATCTTTAAGGAAATCAATTATGGGGCAAATCATAAATATTAAACCATGATCACCAAACAGAAATTTCGATCATTATATCACGTTTACCAATGCATTGTGAGTTATATGGAAACTAAATAACTCGAATAAAGATTTTTTAACTGTAACACGCAGGTCGTGTTACTGAACAAGATGATAAAATTTGAAACGCTTTTTTATACTTACGCCTGTTACCCCCAAAAAGAGCATAGACCGCCGACCAGTATTCTTCAACCTACTCTGTCCTAGGCTACCCTTTTCGGTTCCATCCAATTTTTGTTCTTTCTCGGCGCAGTGTACATTCGCCTTATTCTTTTTCTTCGACAATGAGGGCTTGTCTTGTGATGCAGTTGTGTCCTGTCCACTTCCAGCGCTTCTGTCTGATATCTACCGCCACTGTAATTTGGTTTGTTCTCTGCCACAGGTTGTTGCTGATGGTTTCTAGCCAAAGGATACGAAGTATTTTGCGTACACAATTGTTAATGAATACTTGAAACTTCTGGATAATGGCTTTCGTAGTTCTCCGAATTTCCGACCCATATAGTAGAACTGTCGTGACATTTGTAGTGGAAATTCTGACTTCCGTGCTTGTTGATAGTTGTTGAGTTCCAGATGTTTCTCAGCTGTAGAAATGCAGCCCTCGCATTGCTAATCCGCCCATTAATATCTGCATCAGATCCACCTCACTCGTTGATAATGCTGCCCAGATATGTTAGGGCTTTTACATCCTCCAAGGCATCTCGATCAAGAGTGATTGAGTTGGTGCACGTTATGCTGTATCGGAGAATCCTCTATCTCCCTTTGTGCATTTTGAGACATCCGGCTGCTGCTAAACTGGCCGTTTTGCTTTCATTTGTTGTTGCGTGTACGATAGAAGAACCAGATTGTCTGTAAGGTCCAGCGGCATCCTGGATGTCCAATCTATGTCGTGCTTCCATCTAGATGTTGATGCCTTCACAATCCAGTCGATCACCAGGAGAAAGGATAAGAGTAAGTAACCTAGCCTGAAACCAGTCTTCACATAAAACGAATCTCTCAGCTGCCCTCCGCGCACGAGTTAGCAGATTTATCCGTCATAAGAGTTCTGTATGATGTTGAATATCCTCTGAGTCAAGCCGTAGTGTCGAAGAAGCCTCCACAGTGTTGTCCTGTCCACACTATCAAATGCACTCACGTAGCCAACAAAGCAGATGTACAGTGTAGAATTGCACTCAACCGTTTGTCCGACAATGATCCGTGATGTTGCAATTCGGTCGACACAAGATCGATCCTTAAGGAATCCAGGCTGCTGATTTCGAAGTTGAGCGTCTAAAAAGTCGTTCATTCTGTTTAACAACACCCTGTTGAAGACTTTGACTAGTGTTGAGAGAAGAGTGATGCTCTGTAAATCTCACACTTGCTGAGATCACCTTTCTTCGGTATTTTGATCAGGTATCCTTTTTTACAATCTGTTGGTACTTGTTCTCCCTCCCAAATCTTGTTGAGGAGAATACGCAGCATTTCTGCAGTTGCTGCCACGTCTGCTTTGATTGCTTCTACTGGAATGTTGTTGGACTCGGCTGCTTTTTCGCTCTTGATTTGTCTGATGATCATGCTGATCTCTTTAATTGTTGGTGGGCCAACATTGATTGTGACGTCCGTAGGCGTTGCTTCGATGTTTGGTGGGTTCAGTGGGACTGGTCGATTCGAGAGTTCTTCAAAGTGCTATACCCACCTGTTTCGCTGTTCTTCAATGTTGCTGATTACTTTGCCTTCCCTGCTTTTCACTGGTGGTTCTGGTTTACGATAGTTTCCAGTGAGCTTCTTTGTTGTAACCTACAAATGTCGTAAGTTTCCTTGTCTTGCAGCCTTTTGCACCGTCATTCCTAGATCTCCCACATATTTGCGTTTATCTTTAACGTCTTCGTTGTAGTCGTTAGTAGGCGTATAGCATTGCATGACGTTTGTTGTAATGTCCTCTTTCTTTGAGTCAATGAGAATAAGGTTGCGTTGCATTATACGATCAAGATTTTGTGTGGTGAATGTAATATTTTAAAAATAAAAGGGTGTTATTTCAATGTAATTACAACTATACAGCTTCAGAAAATGATATCAGTCAGTCAGTTACAACGTAGGACTTTGTACGTATGTACATCGGTTCAGGTTGCCATACCACGTTAATTGTGACCAATTTGGTCGTGTGTGCTGTTACGGATATCGTCGAAAAGAAAATTTTCTTTGCTGAAATGCCCTCATTCATTGTAGAAATATCGGTTAGATCACATTTACTATTGCATACAATCAATTAAATTTTTATAAAAATCTTCAATTAGTAAATTACTGAATAAATTAGAAGACAAGGACCGAATGACAATACACAGCTTAACCCATTTGAAAAAGGTATAAAAAAACACTTTATCAAAAGAATAATTATATTGACAAAAGGAACGTAGATAGAGCGGATGAATAGAGTCCAAATTACATAACCTACAAAATAAGGAAAAATACATCACTATTATTATTAATGTTATATGGAGCTATTTATCTGAATGGAGCATTAACATAACTAATAATACTAAATAATCAGGCCACAATTACTATTTCGTGGTAAAAAGTAACAAACCTATCCAAAATGAACCGAACGGAAGGGTGAAACCATGATATAATTATCATGAATGATATGTTTAAACTATGACTCGAAATACAGAAAATATTGTTTCGACAATATGTTGAGAATGTTATTTTTCGGAATATTAATTTTCTATGTTTATATATTTTACAGTATAATTTGCAGGTAACTTATTTGTTACATTGCTTTAGCCCTCTTGTCATAAGCTTTCAGTGGATCTATCAACTGATGTAACAGAGTTTAATATTTCTTAGTTACTGCTTACTGATTATTCACCTTTTGCTTCACCCTCCATCACTCATAGTAGGATTATGCTTAAAGTGTGATTTCGTATTTGGAGTGCTATGTAGCCAGGCATTTTCAGCATATTATTACATGAGCTTATAGTCATGATCGAATCGTAAACAGTTGGTAATAACGTGGAACTTCGACATTAGTTCAGGTTGCCATACCACATTAGCAAAATCGCATAGTCAGTTCAAATCCCGTGGCCGTAGAGATAGTGGAGAAGGTAAAGGAGCAATGCTCCGGAGACATTTATAATCGAATACCAGTAACCTACGAATAGCTTTTACTCCTACTGGCCATGTTTCACACTCGTAGAGTGAATGGTATGGAGCGAGCTGCTGCGCAGTACACTCGTCCTTTGCTCAGATAACGAATATCTCGCCTATGCTATAAGTGACGCAAATTAGCAAAAGCGAATTGAGCCTTCTATATACGTGCTGAGATTTTGTCAGGCACAAGGCCATCAACACCGATGAGACTACCAAATATACGACTACTAGCGAATGTACTTGAATCGTTGCTCAAGGTGTTCAGGAGACCGCATTTTGTCAGCGTCTTCACCAACTAGAACTATGTCATCGGAATATTCGAATTCGACAAGTGAATCTACCGGTAAACGTTCAACTCCTGAAAAGTCAGACGAAGAAAGTGTCGTCTCTAAAAGCATGTCACTATCGAGGTTAAACAATAGTGAAGTGGACAACGAACACCACTTGAAATAATCAAATCTGATTACAGTTCTAACAGCTCTAACTCGACCTGAACAGAGTCAAATGCCGCCTTAAGGTCGAGAAGTACAACTATTATGGGACGTCTGGACGTGTATCTATGTCCAGAAGCCTGACGAAGTATGAATATATGGCCCATACATCCATGTCCAGGTCTAAAACCAGCCTGGTTTTCTCTAGTCTGCTCTTCATGAGCTCTAGTTAGGCGTCGAGATATTATCGAGGCCAACATTTTAGACAGTATATTAGTCAGGCTGATAACTCTGTGATTGTCACAAGACTTTTGTCCTTTCTTATAGGTCGGGACAATCGGAGATTGAGACCAGTCGGATGCGATTACGTCCAGTTTCCAGATTCTACCTAAGATCTCGGTCAATCTAACTGCTAAAACTCGACCACCATCCTTAAAAATGTCAGGGGCCAATCCGTCAGGACATGCTGCTCTCCCTCGCTTCAGATTTCCTATAGCTTTCTCAACTTCATTAAGACTCAGAGGACTTACATCGATTTGCCATGCGGGTTGACTGAAGATCGTGGGTAACCGAAGTGTGGCTGAAAGCCAATTGAACTGATCCCTGAAGTGTTCTTCCCAGCGAACCAAACTCCTGGATTGAGGACGAAAAATATGCCCATCTTTTTCGGAGATAGTCTCGCTTACAATCGGATTCCTAATATCGGTTTCCTTGATAAGGCGGAACAGTTGTCTTCTGTTATCTATCATTGCTGCCTTTTCCATCGCTCTTGCTTTCGCGATCATTACGTGGGCTTTTTATCAACCTGCGCTTAGGCTGACTTCGCTCTTCGTCATGTTCAGAGCCAGGCGAGATGAGTTTCCGAGCATCTAGTAGTTCGGCAGATGCTACTGAGACCCATGGCTTCTCCCTAACCTTATGGTTTAGCTTACTAGCAAATATCACTGCTGTTTCCACTGCCTTTTGATATCATTCCAAACTGCCTCCGGATGGGAATCACTTACATGGCCGCTCACTATTTTTCTAGTGGTTCTCGAAATATACTCTTAGCTTTATTACCATTGAGTAAAACCCTAACAGGTTTCCTTGCGATATTTTACTTACGTACAGTAAGGCGCGAACAAATACGCGTTCGCACCTGAGCATGGTCTGAGTCTGAACAAGTGCTCCAGAATGAGCGGCAGTCTACAATAGAGCATAGCTGCAGCAGACGGTCACCATTGTCGGTTCTTTGAGCTTTGACACCATAAGATCGACTCATCTTTTTACCTCGTCTGAGCTGCGGTCAGTGGGAACGTAGGCAGTTACGACGAAAAGGCGACGGGGAGTGTCTTTATCCTTCCGATTCTTTACTGTCCCGTCTAGCCGTACGGCGCACAAGCGACTATCTACTGTGACCCAGTCTAAGAGAGCTAGTTTTGTCCTAGGACTCACTGCTAATCCTACACCAGCGAGGCCACGGGTGGCGAAAGCAGGGCTTCCAGATATGCGAAGAGTAAATGGAGCAGTATCTTTGTTTTGACATGATGAGGTCAAATGAGCCACCCTCCTCGGATCCTGTCTGCGCATTTCTATGGCGCAATATTCTAAAGTCCTAGCTAAGGAAGCTTGTTGTCCTATTCGACACAGTGTCCAGACATTTAAAGCTCCTGCGAGCGTGACCGCAGAGCCTAATGGAAAACTGCTAGAGCTTAGTCACGCACGGCCATTTAAAGGGTAGTTTTTAAATTTTTAGCTCTGTCCCTTTTTTAACGGCCTTACTGCTCGAGGCAGAAGTCTGAGATAAGGTGAGGTGTGACATTTTTGTGTCGATCTCTTTTAACTCCTTCCTTCCATGTGAGGAGGCAGCATCGCTGCAGATGCTGGCCGTCCGAGGTAAACGCCTTACTGCTGTCACATCGTTTTACGATCAGCAGTACGATTTCGCCCTCAGACCTTGATTTGCTGTTTTTAGGCTCATCGTACTCCAATAAACCTGCCTGGTATGGTAGAACCTAGCCAATAGAGATCACGATAGGTAAGCCATTGTTCTTAATGAACCACTGAGTTAGAAAGGGGCTTGAAGAAGACTTTTAGGCACTAAAGTTGTCGTTTCTCGGTCAATGTTTTAATTGGTGAAATCGTCACTTGTCAGAGCCTTGACAAATCTGTAGCAGACCCTTTTCTCAGGATATGAAACTATGCTAATTGGAAATATCTTTCAGTACAAACAGACAAATCATTTGATAACAACTATCAAGTCTAGATTTAATTCAGATGTCTATTGTCTGTAAATAGGTCTTTTCAAGACAAAAATCACCAAACTTTAAATTATAATCGTTTCGATCGAGATTTCCACGTTTAAACATAACGACTGAAAAACGAAACTGGGGTTTAACGTAGAGTTGACATAGTAGCTGCTGGGGTGGTTCCCGGAAAGTATGATGAAGCCTCCAAAGGCTCATAAGAAGCCGAAGAGTTCCCATACAATCACAGACCAGCAGAATTTATAGAATATTCACGCAGTTGAACATTCGTCTGACATCGCCGTTTGCAGAGTGAACGATTATAATAACGTTTGCAGTCTACACCAAAAACCAGAAATATACATGGCTTTCCTGTGCATTTTGAAATTTAATGAAGCAAACAATTATTCAGACTATTTTAATCTGCAACTTAGGAGTTCTATACATTCAGGTGCCGAAGTTGCATACTGTATTAGCCGTACCAAGTAGACGATTCAACAGTAGTGATTAGGATCAGTGATGAATATCAAACAATATGATATCTCAACACTGAAATAATATGAAGTAAAATAGTGATACAATCGGGATCCTTGAAGTAAGATTATTTTTTGTTGAATATTTCACTAATTAGAGGGTACACTGTGGTGACTATGTTAAAAAGGCATGATACCGATGATTCTGGGAGATTTAAATAGCGTTTAGGTAGGTCTTTAATCCAATTAATAATTATGAACAAATTCTACCTGTTATGTTAGAGTAGCTTAAATTTATTAAAACCTGTGTCATTTAATATTACTAAACTGACAATATAACTTGTTGTATTATTGCTTATTGTTCCACGTAAAGGAATTAAAACTCACTTTTAGTTCTGTCAATCATCTACTATAACGCCTTTCTTCAAATAAATGTTATTTTCGGAACTTTCTTCCATTTCTTGTATTAGACTTGGACTTCTTTTTCTGCTTCTTGTCATTCGCTCCAGCTGAAGATTGAAATAGGGAATCAAAGATATTTTTCGATGACAACTTTTTCTTGATACTCTTTTCTTTCAACTGATATTTTTTATCTATTATAGGATCTCGAATGTCACGCTGAACTGTTGCAATTTTGGACTTTTGTTTCACTGGTTTGCTACATGTTGCTGGTGATTTATTAATTTTGAATTCAGAATCAGGTGAATCAATAGACATAGGCATGGGTTGATGAACTGTTGGTTTAGCACACTTGTCTTTATGAGGTGTTAGAGTACTGTCTACATCCATCTGGTACATATCAGAGGCGTGAAGCTTTTCATTCCTCATTGATATCTTCACAAAATATAGAGAATATAAAAAGTCAAATCAATTGAAGCTGGTGATGATGACCACTTTGACAATATCAAGATTAAACACGTGAAAAACATTGAATGAATAGATACGCAAGAAAATTCCTGACGAATGAACCAGATCAATAAAAAGCGGAAATAAAGTGAAAACATTAGTATTAAAAAGAGAATGAAAATGTAGTCCTACTGTGCTTCACAATAGATAGTATCCTCATGTGCCCTGGTAAAGTGGATGGTGGGAAAAGTTACGGATTTTCTGATAGGACAACGCGTTTATAGACTCGGTATGAACAGCCGAGTCGCCGTCATGTAGCCCGAATGCTTTTAAGAAATCGAGAAGAAAAAGGTCGCTATCCAGAGATCTCTACGAGAGATGAAACTTTGAAGACAAATTTATCAATCAACATGTCTGAGTAGATCATGCCTGAGAGATTTTTAACTCCCTGAATTATTGCTGAATCGAAATGCTGAAGATGAATGAAATATGTGTATGACAATGAAGTGAGTAGAGTGCTAAAATAGATTTTGAGGAAGCCAAATAAATCAAGAAAGACAAGCAGTCCGTAAAGTACTTTTTTATCAAATAACTCCATAATTAAAAAATGAGTGGAACGTACTTTCTTCGGATTTTTAAGTAGGAACGTAACATATATAGATTCACCGTGGATAAATGTCCCATGTCGTAATTCAAAATCTTTTAAAGCAATGTGGCGTGAACGGTAGGTTAGGGTGCAATACCTAGAAAAATAAGCATCAACAAAGTTAGGAAGTCCAGTATTTTACCGCCAAACTTACAATACTCAGCAAAATTATACAATTTAAGCTAATTATCAATCAAAAGTACCGTACAAATTAGAAATATTAACTGCTGTGAGTTTTAAGTCTGTGAAAGAGATAGAAGCAATGAATGGGAAGACTCTTAGTCTTCAGTTTATGGAAACATGGAAGCATATATATTATTAGGTTTATAATCTAAAAATGGTAACTGTAAGATATTTATTTGGTAAGTTAATAAGCAACAGTTGAAGTAAGAGAGTTGTAATGCATCAGTAGTAGGTTCAGTACTTCCGATTTCACAACCTCAAAAGGTACGAAAAAGTTAGGTGTTAAGGTGACTACTTTTGGATAACAGGGGTACTTTCTTAAGAAAGTGATAGACGCTATCTGGATTTCCTGTAATTTCATATTAATTGTTCGGTTTCCATATAAACAACTTATTTTGCGTAAGAATATTTGGTTTTGTGTACTTTCTGCTTGAACATATTTGCTGTTGCCTAGAAGAGTCCTATACCTGTCACATCATCTTGAGACACTGGTAGCTTTACTTTACACAAAAGAACGTATACGAAAGTTTTCCTCACAATCGGAATTTATATAAATCCCTAAATGACGTTAGCATTTATTCTTACCCTCGACACGATCCATCATCATATGTTGGCATACGAATACCTACAGCTTTCGGAAATACTTGAGCCAAATCAAAACGAGTAGTCGCCCGAGGCAAGTGAAGTACATGAAGAGAACGCATATTAAAATCCGACAGTTTTCTTTGCAGTGGTTCAGTCCATTTACTTGAATCAACATTAGCAGGTCCGTGTAGTGAGCAAATTTCAATTTTAATCTGTTTACCGTTTAGCAGTTTACCAGTAACAGCTTTTTGAGCTGCAATCAATTCATCGTGATTTCGAAATTTCACAAAAGCAAATCTAATAAGTTGAGATGAAAAAAAAGTAAAAATGATACCGAAATTTGACGAGGATGAGTTTGATCTATGAAGAGAATGTTTCTAGCACAACAGACAGACTTTTCCCCATTATTATTGTTCTACAGTTTTACAAAGTCGTTTATATGGTGTCGAAGCTCAGAAAATCTCTTTAGCTCCTTAAATTTAGACTAGTAATCTCACCGACCTACCCCCAATACTATTCGACCAAGTTCGATCATCTAAAAGAGATAAATCCTTATATGACTAAATTTTGACGATCAATAACATTTCTTTAGATACGTGACTATACTCAATTTAGTGAACCTCAATTGTGTCTCTGATTAAAAAAAATTAGGGATTTTAAAGCTAATCATAAAATCTCTAGTCTGAAATAAGTTAACGTGAGTATTAAATCGGAATAAAAAAAGTAATATATCATATGTATGGGCTCTTGTATACATTTGACCAGTTTTTAATTGCACGATTTTTATGTTGGTTCGATCTCGGGGAAAATATTACCTGAAGGTTGGAAACTATATTTTGTAAATGCACGATTTATTACTCGAAACAATAATCCAGTTCTGTCAAAAGTAAATTCATAATGGTAAAGCTTTTGCGCTCAAACAATAATAAATTATATAATGTTAGGAGGGATATATGTAGACAAAACATTTCCTGATGTATTACAATGAAAAATGGGGCTACATTACATTTTAACACACAAAAAAATATGATCGATCAAAAGACTGTTTTACTTACCGAGCACTGCGTTTTTGTGGGATACGAACACTTACCGATGATGGGAAAAGATCCTTGACCAAACTTACAGGACAATTTCTTGGTAACGGACGTATAGTTAGAGTGTGCTGGTACATTTCGACTTCATACACATAAGAAAACAAATTTTTAAATTTAATAGTACTGCAAACTCAAACATAAATCTATCAGTTATAATAGATACAAATCAATAACCTGGAGTTTCTGATTGATAGTGGATACAACGAACATTCCTGTGATAAAAATAATTAAATACATAAGCAAAAGAGTTGGAAGTGGTTAGGTTCTCCAACACGTACTTCATCGTTTACATTCCGAGTGAAACATGTTACACTATATCTGTTATTTGTAAAACGTATCACTACTGTAGATAAAACACACTCCCACAGCTAACACATTACTGAAAGCTAGAAAAAGCAATTCTGACAATAGTTTTCGAGCAATTAACAAGCTTACAATTAACAACATCTGATCTATCTTCACTCAGCACTGATAATAAGAATACAATAATTACATAAGTTAAATTTATTGCTTTCTATGACATATCCGAACACAGTACTAAAGTCAAGCATATTAATAGATATTCATTACCCAAAAACTATTAATTTCACTATTAATCAAGTATTTAGTAGTCGAGATTAAGTTGAAAGCCTCGAAATAACTAGAAAATACATACATAAATAACAAGTAAAAACGTGATAAAATATTATCGGTCAAGATTGTTTCAGTAAAGTGTGAAAGACACTAATTCAACAAAAAAAACCTAATAATAGCGATTACCTAAACGGTTTCGAATGGCATCTAAGAGTTTTTCATCTGTGTCTAAAGCTGATACGTAAGCTTTTCTTTCTGGAAGTACAATACTCGATGAAGTGCGGGGTTCCTAAAATAGAAGAGTCGTTATAACAGAAATAGTTTAATGCAATATATGATTTCTTTATACAGCGGTCGTAAATATATCAGACTGAGTGACTTTACTGCTAACTATGGAACATAGTATGCAGTGAATCCAAGATATTTTGAGGATTTTTCGAAAGGCTATGCTCCTGTCAAACCTCTTATCACGATTTGTATACTATGAGATGTTTACAGCTGACAAACTTACTCAGTCAGTCGGTCAGTTACAACGTAGAACTTCGTACGTAAGTACATCAGTTCATGTTGCCATACCACATTAGCACAGAGACGCAACTGTAAATTCAAATCCCATAGTGACAAACTTACTAGGGATAGTTGCTGAGTTTTTAGTATCACAAAGAGGGGAGACGACGGTTCTAGATTTAGTAGGATATTACTGTTGCTACACTAACAGAACAATCAAAGAAATGAAAATGACTTCAACAAAACCAAAGATAAAATATTAGATGTTGAGAATTCAGAGATGTCAATCATGCAGATAAATGCATTGGAATTGATACAAATGTACCGCTGTAACTGATTTCGAATAAATTTACCTTAACACTCAAGCTGTCCCACAAACGATTAGTCAAAGAGATCAGATTGGTGCCATATTTTGGTCGTGATCTAGCAAGCATAACAGACCGACCGTAGCTGCTACCTTGACGTGGTGGTCGGGCTTGCCTATCGTGATCACCCAACCGAGTTATACTGGCTGGAACATATGTTCCTGCAGGTCCTACCATGCCAGGCAGGTCGGTTGGAGAACGATGAGACTAAAAGCAGCTACTCAAGGTCTGAGGGCGAAGTCGTACTGCTGACTGCAGAGGGGTGTGACAGCAGTAAGGTGTTTCCCTCGGGCAACCAGCATCTGCAGCGATGCTGCCTTCTCACAAGGAAAGAAGGGTTAGAAAAGGTCGACCCTAAAAATGTCACACCTCACCCTACCTCACGGATTTCCGTCTCCGGTGGTAAGGGTGCCCACTAAGGGCATTTAAGAGCGGAGCTAATACTCAAAAATCCTTTCATAAAAAGGCCGTGAGTGACCGGCCTCAAGCAGTTGTCCCTTGGACTCTGCGGTCACGCACCCAGGTCTCCAAGACCAACACTAATCTATCTTCCTTTTCAGGTCCCTCAAGAAACAACCTTCCACAGTGTGTGCAGTCGGGAAGTGACAACCGCCCTCATACCCGTAACAGCACGCGAGACCAAATTGGTCAAAATCAAATCCTTTCTACAACCACACATACCTCTCTTCTCTCCACAACTAACTCTACTCACATCCCCTTATCTGACTGCACCGCTAATGCAAACGATACGAGTTCACGAAACGTCATTCCTGGTCTCTTGAAACCTCGTTCTAGACTACATGTTGGAGCATTTAATGTACGGGCAACAGGCATCATTAGCTAGGACTTTAGAATCTCGTGCCATCGATGTATGCTGCGTCTCGGAAACGCGCATACAGGATCCTAGTAAAATTATTAATCTGATTTCACCTTGCCAAAATAAAGAAGCAAACCCATTTACTCTTCATGTATCCGGTAGCCCTGATGCTGCTTTCAGGGGCCTCACTGGTGTAGGTATAGCATTGAGTCGTAGGGCAGAACAATCTCTCCCTGACTGGATCCCAGTAGATATTCGCTTGTGCGCTGTGCGACTTAACGGGACAGTAAGGACTCGTAAAGATAAGGATACTCGCCGTTGACTGTTCGTCGTATCTGCCTATGCCCCCACTGACTGCAGTTCAGACGAGGTTAAAGATGAGTTTTACAGAAAGCTTTCGGACCTCCTCCAAAAAGTTAGGTGCTCTGATGTAGCAACAATGGCTGGTGACTTTAATGCTCACGTAGGTAGTCTAAGTGAGCAGGAGAGACACCTAGGTGGATGTTATGGCGTCGCGGCTCAGAGAACAGACAATGGTGACCGTCTGTTGCAAGCATGCAAAGACAACCGCCTATTCTTAGCAAACACTAAATTTAGGCATAAGGAAAAGCATCTGTTGACCTGGCGACCACCAAAATCGTCTCAACGTTGGACCCAACTAGATCGCAATGCCATCAGCCACCGATGGAGAGGTTCGATAGAGGACTACCGCTCGTTCAGGGGCACATGTTTGGATTCAGATCATGCCCTAGTGCGAGCTCGTATTTGTTTGAGGCTTACTGGGCGTAGGAAAGACACCGCAAGAAAGCCTCTTAGGGTTTTACTTAATGATAAAAAGGCGAAGAATATATTTCAGGAACAACTAGAAAGACAGTTAGGCGACCATTTAAGCGATGCCCATCCGGGGGCAGGTTGGAATGATATCAAAAAGGCTGTGGAAACAGCAGTGATATCTGCTAGTAAGGTTGACCATAAAGCTAGAATGAAGCCGTGGATCTCAGTAGCATCCACCGATCTGATGGATGCCCGAAAACTCATCCAACCTGGCTCTGAATATGATGAAGAACGAAGTCAGCTTAGGCGCAGGCTGATAAAAAGCCTACGCAACGACCATGAACAGTGGTTGGTGGCGAAAGCAAAAGCGATGGAAAAGGCAGCGGCGATAGGCAAGAGTAGACAACTTTTCCGACTTATCAAGGAAACTGGTATTAGGAATCCTAGTGTGAGACTATCTCGGACAAGGAAGGTCTTATTATCCATTCTCAATCCGGGAGACTGGATCGATGGGCAGAACACTTTAGGGATCAGTTCAATTGGCCTCGAGCCACTCTTCGGTTACTCACGATCTCCAGTCATCCTGAATGGCATATCGATGTAAGTCCCCACAGGCTTTACGAAGTTGAGAAAGCGTTAGGAAATCTGAAGCGAGGACGAGCTGCAGATCCTGATAGACTGACCCCTGAAATATTTAAGGATGGTGGTCCAGTTTTAGCAGCTAGGTTGACTGAGATCTTAGGTAGAATCTGGGAACTGGATGTAACCCCATCTGACTGGTCTCAATCACTGATTGTCCCAATCTATAAGGACAAAAGTATTCTTGTGACAATCACAGGGGAATAAGTCTAACTAATGTATAATATAGTATCTAAAACACTGGCCTCAATAAAACTACAGCGCTTAACGCAAACTCGAGAAAACCAGGATGCTTTTCGATCTACACGTGGCTGTATAGACCACATCTTCACACTACGACAGGTCCTGGGACACAGACACACATTTAGACGTCCGACAATAGTTGTCTTCCTGGACCTAAAGGCGGCACTTCACTCAGTAGATCGTGAGGTTCTGTGGCAGCGTCTGTCATTGAAAGGTGTACCAAAGAAGTACATCAACCTTATACAAGCTCTCTACTCAAACACCACTGGGCGGGTGAGAGCTTATGGCGAACTGTCACCGGAATTCTTCACTTCAAGTGGTACCCGTCAGGGATGTCCACTCTCTCCATTCTTGTTTAATTTTATCATAGACATGCTCCTAGAAATAACCTTATCCTCATCTGAATTTTCAGGAGTAGACCTTTTACCAGGTGGCTCGCTTATCGACTTAGAATATGCCGATGACATAGTTCTAATTGGTGAAAACGCTGACAAATTGCAGTCTCCTGACCACCTTGAGCAACAATTAAAGTGCGTTCGGAATGCGGTTCTCTCTTTCGAAATACAAAATGTTGCTTCAAGATTGGGTTGCATCAACACCTGAACTAGTGATAGGGAGTGAGGTAGTCGAACGTGTAGACCGCTTCACTCATCTTGGTAGTCTCATCAGTGCTGAGGGTCTGGTGACTGACAAAATCTCAGTATGGATACAGAAGGCTCGATTGGCTTTTGCCAACCTGCGTCACTTATGGTGTAGGCGAGATATCCGTTTGCTGACTAAAGGACGAGTGTACTGCGCAGTGGTTCGCTCCGTCTTACTTTATGGCTGTGAAACAGGGCCAATGAGAGTAGATATTAGTAGGTTACTGGTTTTCGATCATAGGTGTCTTCGAAGCATTGCTCGTATATCCTGGGACACCGGAGTGAGCAACGCTGTTATTAGGAATCGGGTGCTAGGTAAGAATGACAGATCAATAGATGAAGTGCTGAAACTTCATCAGTTGAGGTGGTTGGGACATGTGTTGCGTATGCCCAACCACCGACTGCCTCGAAGAGCTTTGTTTTGTGGTGTAGGAATAGGTTGGAAGAAAGCTAGGGGCGGCCAAACCAAAACATGGCAGAAATCCATGAAGTCATTGACGAGTGGACTGAGCCATGTCGGTAATTGTCGACTACCGGGTTGGGGTCCGCGAGACGATAATAATCGATGGTTAGAGACATGGCTCAGAATCGTTCGCAATGGCGCCGGTGCATTTATTCTTTGTTCTCTCAAATCCTAATCTTCTAGATTCTTCAACACCTCTAGTTTTGACTTTCTAAACTTTTCTCACTGAATCATACTTCTTGAATAATATCTTCTAATCCTAACCTCTCCGATTACTTCTAATACCTTTACTACCTCTTCTACTATTGGATTTGAATTGACAATTTTATCTCTGTGCTCATGTGGTATGGCAACATGAACTGATATACTTACGTACGAAGTTCTACGTTGCGATTGACTGACTGACTGAACAGACTTCAAACCTGCCTTAAACCATTCAGAAACATATCAGTATTGGCATTCTAGTACTAATTTCAAGAGTGTTTAATTTGAAATTAGTTCAAAGGCTTAAGCGCGAGACGAGTAGTCAAAAAAAAGAGTCATATTTGAGACCTGAAATGCTTAGAAAAATAGAGATCATTTCCTAGTTCAGATTGATTAGAAGTAGAACTGCCCTGGCAGTGACCATAAACCCATGGCCAGATAGGAATGTTTTGAGAGGGAGAGCGAACTCTCCACTCTCGGGTGTACCAGAGCATTTAAGGTTCAACTTATCGAATCTGTTTACTGTACATTGTTGAACTAATAGTAACACTGGTGGTTGGAGTGAGTGGAGGTAATAAACTGATCGTATGTCTAATGGAGTAATAGCTAACGGCTAAAAAGAGCCAGAAATAATAAAGCTTAACAACTTTGACAACCATTAATCCAAATAAATGTGTAAACTCGAACATAGAAAATACAAAACAATAAATGTCAACCTTAAATGTAAACAAATACTGAAGAATTAGTCCTCATTACCTTAGGTTCCGGTTTGGGAATCGATGCTTTTGCAGCTTTCCTCAGTCTTAGTAATTCTTGCTTTCGATGTCGTTTTCTTTGGGACTTTGTTAATTTTTCGGTGGCCTTTGAATCTATCTATTAGAAGATGAGAGCATTGTTAAAGCAGGAGTAAAAGTGAGTTCCCAGAACAAATGTGGCTAAAGTGAACACAAAATATATGTGCATAAAAAGTTTCTCACTGTTATACATACAAATAACAAGACAGGAAATTGTGACAAAGGTGAGGTTTTTGCAGAATGCTCTTCTAATAAACACCACCTTTCTATAAGATATACTTAAAAAACTGAAATGATGGTTTTCATACAAGAAATGGAATATTAACTCCAGAATTCATAGTTCAAAAGTCGACAAGAATTTCAGAAAATGATCACAATGATGCGTGGCTGAAAAATTTTACTGAGTTCTCATTTTAGAGCAACATTTTTGGGTTCACATAATTTGAAAGGTCATTTATTGTCTCCATCAAAGAAGATAGAAATCATATAGTGGTCATCCTAATTAAGAATAAAGGGGTCATCACATTGAATCGAAAAGCCAGGTGTGTTAATTTTGATATTTTATTTTATGAAGTCTAAATGCCCCCTTTACTTGTGAAACCTGGCTTTCTGGGTAGATGTGTAATGACCAGTTCAATTGAATGGCTCGTATTCAGTGGCTACAGCGTAAAAGTGATACTGAGTTTTAACTACTCATGTTTGTCCACAGGAATAATCAAATAATAAGTTGCACTATCTTGAAACGACTGCATTTTAGTTTCTTGTCTCAGTAAAACCCAGGCCGTTTCCTATCTACCTACATCGAAATCGGGTGGGAAGAGCATTACTTTACAACGTAGCCATGAGAAATAAGAAACATTTGCAGTTGGTTAATAATGGTTGATTTAATAAGATTTCCTGGGTGAATATCTAAGTAACTTGTGATTCAATGATTTCAGATATTATCAGATATAGTTCAGCATGGAAATCAGTGATAATCTTATTGTCCTTTTTATCGCACTCATAACAAACAGTAAGATGTACTTGCTGACTCTTTGAAACTAATTTCGGTTGGATGCTTACTTGATCTGTCTTCCACTAATTATGTATTTTATGACTGCTTTAATTCTACTAAATTACTATACAGTCGTTTCTTCACGTGTGGTGTTTTTTATTCTATAGTATTAGGTATTGCCATAACAATTAAAAGGTATTTGTATGTAGGGAGAAGGCACTTACCATCTTAATATGTTCAGAAGAAAAGTCCTTTTTTATCGTATCGTCCAAACTTAGTCCATCATCAAGCCCTTCTCTATTCGGAACTACTTTCAGTAACTGATCACATAAACCCGATGTGTTCAAGGGAATTCCATGTCCATCCACAGATACGCATTCAGATGCAACACGTGACTGTTATAAAATGAAAACCGACTAAATGAAACGTTCTGAGGATGAAAAGACTCATGTCAAGTATCACTGCTATAGATCGAATTAAAATAACAGTTAACAGGCTGAATGCTTCGTACTTTGAAAATCTCTAAAGCGATAGTTATTTCACCAACTGAGACTTCCGCTTCTCGAGGTTTTAGATTAAAGTCGGTTAGTGAATGGTAACAGCTTATCGGTTAAAAAATATAATTGCTAACTACTGACCCAAATTCAAATCCTCCTTTGTGTGGTTTACAGCCAAGTATATATATTCGTGCTTGGTACGAGAAATACATTTCTTGTAATAATGCTGGAAGGTGTTCATTATTATTAGAACAGAGAATATAACAATAAGGCAACGACAGGGAGAATTTGTAGGCAGCTAACACTTAGTCAGTGTTGCTTTTCCGCTTTGAAAACGTGGGGTTAGGAAACTTGCATACTGAGCCGTACAGCTTTTCAGCGGAGAAGGAAAATAAAATAAGGTAAACAAGGCGAAAGAGTGAGAAAAGTGGGGTGGTATATTATACCAACAATAAATCAAGATTCCACCAAAACACACCTGACCGGCCAGCATCGAGACCCATCCGGTTTCACTCATCAGCAAGAGAAAGTATGCGTCGAGATAACGCCAACGAACGTTTGAAACTTCATATAGAGAGTTTGTTTTGAGAACATTCAAAACTGAAGATGAGAAACGGTACATCAGGTTTATTGAGATGAAGTCTTGGTCGTTTTAGTGGGCTGGTTCAGTGGATGGTGACACTAAAAACAAGGCATGTTTGGAGTCTGTAGACTAATAACTGAAGGACAGTGGCCTGGGATGTGTGTATTCAACCCACTACTGGCGAAGTATGTTAGTTCTGCTCCTTTTAAAAGGTTTTATTGCCGGATACGTAAATCCGTGAGGTAAGGTGTGAAATTTTTAGGGTCGACCTTTTCTAACCCTTCCTTATTCGTGAGAAGGCAGCATCGCTGAAAATGCTGGTTGTTCGAGGAAAACATTTTACTGCTGTCACACTCCTCTGCAGTAAGCAGTACGACTTCGCCCTGACCTTGGGTAGCTGCTTTTAGTCTCATCGTTCTCCAACCGACCTGCCTGGCACGGTAGGACCTGCAGGAACATATGTTTCAGCCAATACAGCTCGGTTAGGGTATCACAATAGACAACCCCGACTACCACATCAAGGTAGCAGCTACGGTTGGGACTGATTGACTAAGAATGATTTCGTTGTCTTTAAGATTGTGTTTTTTACTGAAACTAGCTGCATCCAAACGTTCACTTTGTGATGGGAATAGGGACGAACCTAAATGGCCTTAGCACTCAGATCATATGACTGTGGATAAATCAGTGTTTTTATGCGAAAAGGGAGAAATACGTTTTATTAGTGCGTGTTCTTTTTGTCAACCTCTTATTTTCTGGCGGAATATTCCCCTTATCTCCCCATTTTCGATTGTTTGGATGCTGTGAAATCAGCGTACAGTAGAATTTCCGGTGGGGTTTAAGACGAGTCGCAATCCGACTAAATTGTCGCATGGCGTTTCCGCAAAGTAAAGTGTTGAACTTCAGTCACGAATCAACTAAAACTATTTATCTAGAAAAACTGACACTATGCATATCAACGAATTTTGTTTTGACTGCCCTCTGATTCTGGAAATTCGAAATAATGTAGTCCTAATGATCATTACGATTCGAGTGAGAAAGACGTACAATAGCGAAGGAGTCCCTTCCAGAAACCCAAAACTTTAATTTCTTACCTTATTTTTAACAGTTTCATTTTGTTCTTTAGAAAATTCTGACTTGGACTGAAGCAATTTCTTAAGTCGCTATACTTAAGTTGTAAACTATAAGTCACCTCACCTTAGTCTTATCACTCTTTTTTAATGCAGAACTTTTTTTCTTGCCAATTGAAGCTTTGGGAGGCTAGCGGGATCATAAAATAATAGAGACACTACCTTATTACTTTTGACCTTCATTGAAACGAGCAAAAACGTGGGTCACTGAATGAAGCGCACCAAAGTACTGAAGGACAAACAAACTTGTAACGGATTCAAACTAATGAACTGGGAACAGAGGCTCAAATGCTTATGCTAGTCCTCTAACGGTAAACTTCCATGAGTTTCTAGATTTTTATATGATTTCAAGTGGTTTTGGACGGACTAGGAGATTCTGCTTAACAGGCTTCCGTATCCAGTACTGTCGAATCACCTGTGCCTCCACGTTTGGATCTGAGTATATTTGGTATGTTGTGCAGTAGTCTCCTGTTTTCCAGGATCGTGCGTTGGTCTATTGAATATATAAACATCACGTTACCAAAGTTGAAGTCACTTCCATCTTTATAGCAGAATGAGTAATGTCCTTGTATAGATTATATGGTTTGCTGCAAATAAGAACAGTGCTTTGGCTCACTTTTTAGATTCATTTTAGGTTTCAGTTGAAGCTCTCGCTAATGCAGGTCGTGTGTGACGGTTGAGATTTTTGAAGATACTGGTCTACCAGGAGCTCTGTATCATCACTTTTGTCGATAGTATTAGGGGAATTGTGACTTTGGCTTGTAAGAGAGAGGTTGTATGACGAAATAAGTTTCCCAGACTTTCTGATGAATTCATCGATGAGCTTGATCTGATACTGATGCCCATCATTCAGAAACTTTTTACATTGGTTACTTTCCAGCCTGCAATGTTCATAAACCCTGTTATTTTCCTCCCAGTTGCACATTTTGTGTTTTATCACTCGAAGAGTGAGTTTACTTATAACTGTGTGCTTCTGATAACTTTTGAATACCTTTTTAGGACAGAATGGTTTGTAATATGAGAGATTCTATCTAGTAAGAAATCCTAGTGGGCATTCACATCAAGTTGAGGAGGGCTTACCAGTCCACCTGTATCAGATTGTCTTCTAGAGCTGATAAATCATATTTTGTTGAATTCCTGCGCGTTTGCTGTTAGGATGCTTTAACTCAACTTTGCCAGCGTGATAGCCTTTTCCAAGGAAAAACAGTATTAAAAGGTTCTCAAACTAGAATTCTTCCATCGTGAAATGCAGTTGAAGGAGGAGGAATTCTGATTGCCCACCCATCGAGTTGCTCATTTCACATTTATGTGCATTCCTAAATTTTCAATGAGGTTGAAGGACCTAGGCTCAGCAGGGTTTTCGTGTCCAGTGTATGTGTGTTGAGTGAACCTAATTTTAAGAAGACTGAAGTCTCATAAAATTTGAGTTTGACTGTATCCGAGTGTAGAATCTAATTTGAACGTTTTGTTTTGTGAAAAATCCCTTCATGTATATATATTTGTGTTATGATATGACTGACTCTTTCTGTTGACATTTCGGTACTCTATTTGATTCCATTTTGAGATTTTACCATCGTATATTGTTATTATTTCTATATCTTTTGCTTGTACTGAAGTTTCTATGTTTCTTTCTGAACTGTACATAAGATGTTTAAATTTGATATTTAATATGGCTACAGCCATATTTGAATTTGATACTTTGATAGTAACTGACTGGAAGTATTTATTCTTCCAGAAACGGAACCCATTGTGGTAATTAGAAGCTCGAAGGTGTAATATCGTTTTGGTAATTGTCTGTATTTCCCTTATTCATTAAAATAGAACCGTTTTCTCCCAGAATTATCGTGTTTTTGGTCCCTGACTGGGTGAACGCGTATGAACCCACACTGTTCGAGTCGGAGTGAAATGTAAGAGTAGAAAATTCAGAACACCGAGGTCTGTAAAACTGTAAAATCCTTAAAGCATGCTAATGTTGTACTTAGTGTCAGTAGTAGGTTTTCTGAAGATGATCTCAACTAGATTTATTGAATTTTCAGACAGTCTCACTGAGTGCTATACAGATTCATCAATATGGACTAACTCCCGAGTGTACGTATGGTCAAGCTACCAAGCAGGATCGTGTGAACAAGGCCGTAGCGCTCCGCACTCCGGTTTTTCGGTCGCAACAGCATAATGACACATCGGGTACAGCCAGCCTTTTCTCTGGGGTTTAAGATGAATTTGTTTCAGATATTTTCGTCAAATAAATACTACAGGCTTTGCTTAGTTCATTCAACCTATCAACCTTTTTTCGGTAAACTGACAGTTTTCATGTACGATCGAGAGGAAATTTCTATTTGAAATGCATGAACATATTCATCCTGTTTGTGTAAACGATCTTTGCATAAATAAACAAGAATCCCACCTACACTAGGTCTTCCAAGTAGGTAATCTTTCTCTCTGCCTCGTTTTTCTATTGAATTTGACGGTTCGGAACTAGAATATTCAGCTACCATTCGCTCTTGTGCTCAGTTCTTGCAACATATAGCTCTTCCCGATGCATGTGGACTGCAGTTTGCAACCGACATCTGTTGGTACGTAGAGTCTCAAGACCATAATAAAATATTAATAATAAACCGGATTTGAATAAGTTTTAGACTGTATGAAAAAAGCAGTCGAAATATTTAAGGAGGACGAACACGGGGAGTATAAACGCTTACAATATACTAAAACTAAACTCCTAGGATGAACAATAAACCGAGAAAAACTCAAAAGAAAAGCAATCTACCTTGCCGTAATTATTATTTTCAGTGACACTTAAAAATAAAAAACAAAAAAGAGAACAAAGTGTAGGTTCCAAACTCAGGTTTGAACTGAGGATTAACTCTCAAGGAAGCTTAGACACGCTTCTTGCTCAGTTGAAATCCAAAAAAATGTTTTTGGGTAAATAACGGTTCTAAACAATAATGCAACGTTATTCCCTCAATTATTTAAATATATGATATTCTATCCTTCTTATAATACAGTTCGTTTCGATTCTGGAAGAGTGCTCCAATTTCCAATCCAAATCGCACACTTCCAGTCAGTGCAAGCGCTCCCGCTAACAAAATCAATATGGCTGTTGCCATAGCTAAGTATCAACTAAATCAACATAATACAATTCAGAAAGAAACATCGAAACTTAATAAAGGCACAAAAAATAGAAACTATAATAAAATACAAATATTATCATCTCAAAATGGAAATGAGCAGAATATCAAAATGTAGAAATGAAGGAATCAATAAGGACACACTTCAGATGAGTAGGTGGAGGGATTTTCAATAAACAAAGCCTTCCAAAATGGATCTTACGCAGAGCTTCGGTCAGACTTTTCGGATCGCAAATCTAGTTTTCGTTGCGTGAAGGCCCATCAAATATTTGATAAATGCGGATTACCTTATAACGATACTTCCCGTTCACGAATCTTTGCTTAACGTGCCTTATTTTCTGGTAGTAGTTTCCAGGTCTTTAACTCTAGGGATAACCTGGTTGGCTAAGGTATTGGTTTTAAATGGTTTTTTAACTTGTGCTGTTTTTACGACAGTATTTAGAAGAAAAGACGAAGATTGGTCAGGTTATTTCTAGCTAAAGTTACCAGTCTGACATCTGTAAGAATGACTTTCAAGGGTATTACAAATAGGTTATAGTCCAATGAATGATAATAATGGTGGTCTCATAACAAAGACAAAGTGAGAAGAATTCTATAGAAATGCATTCCAAGCATATTCACCTCTTACTTCCAAACTAATATGAATCAATAAGCTTTCGTAATTCAGGCTTAAGTTTAGGTACCAATAGATAGAGTAGAGTAGTAGCTCTTAGATTAATGTGTGAACCAAGCCGTAGCGATATCTGATGGTGAAGCTTGGCTGAATCTATTTAGTTAGCAGATGTCCAGTGGAATCAACACAATCATAATAAATGCTGAGTCTTGAGATGTATTTGTTCTCGGGACTTTTCAAAAACTCATAGTCTACAAGCCTATAAACAGTTATTTAGCAACTTACCTCAGAATTATCAGCAGTTGGAATTCTACACTTAGATACAAAGCCAAAGCTTCTTCTGTTTAATAATACTGCTTTGTAATGTGTACAAATATAACCCACGAAATCTCCATCGCAGGTCCGAATTTTAAGAGAACTGTTTCGTAACAACAGAACGGTATTTACTGAATATGCAATATCCCAAGAGAAATGTGTTGCACAACAAACATCCCTAAAAGCCTATGAAGCATTTATGTATTGTACCAACCTTATAGGGAAAACGAAGAAATGTTAGAAGTCAATAATTTGATAGCCAACCCTCGGTTTTCTGTCACTTTAAACTCCTTTCATATTCGGAAAGCGGATCCATACTTTTTGGAATGTTTGTCACACTGGTTGGAGTTAGGGGAGACTGACGATGAACTGTCGATCGGCAACGTAGGAGAAGAATGTGAAGCAGCTTGGTCACAATCCATCTGTGATGACCGAGTTTCTCTGATCTGTTCGTTTAAATAAGCGCATTATTGCTATAGGATTTTAGCCACTGTCTTAGCGTGATATGCGGGATTATACCAGGCTAACTAGATAAAGATTTGTTAGATATAGGGTCACTGAATACTATAAGTTTGGTGTTAGATTTTATTAGTAAAGTATCTGAGTTTTCCTAGTTAACCTTAGTGAATGGAGGCCTCAAGGACTGATATCACCTCCCTATCTTTTGCCTAATCTGACGAATCGGGATATTGAACTTCAAAGGCTGTGAAACTAAAGATAGGGCATCTAAAGTAGATAACCGCTGAAACACTAAATAGAGTTTCTTGCGGTGTTTAAGACATAACAAACGTAAACAAGAAATATACATTTAACTGTACGTCTGAAAGTTTTCTTGTTTATCTGAGTTTACATAAAAGAAGATGGTGTAGGTTTTACAGAAGGTAATAAAGTAGTTGACTTAATAGACAACGTCAATGAATATTTTTATAATGCAAGTGACTTCAAGAGGTAGTTAGTTATTCAGAGATATTCGGAATATTATCTTCGTATTCTCGTATCAGCTCACCAAAACATTGTTATTGTCACATAGGCTATGAAATGTTTTATATAACTTGCTTATCTACGAATATAACTTGATTTTAATAGCAACATGACAGCCAAAGTTGAACATGAGATTATCCAAAAGCTAGGGATGTGAGATATAGAAAAGGGCAAGAAATATG